TTTAATCTCAAAGTTCAGCCACGAATCCATGCTTGACCCTTTTTTTGGCTTTTTGTTGTTTCCTATGTACTTGTGGCAGACTTCCACCAAAATGGGTTTTGTCTTTACCCATTATGTGTTTAGAGTCCTTCGGATAAAAAATATTCATCTTTGGTTCTGTATTGACTTGACAGGAAGGCTTCCCTTTTTCTTGGCTTATGTTGCCTTCGGGTTCTTCAACAGCCGCAACACAGGAGGCTTCTTGGTGAGCCATTCTTCCTTTTGCTTTTTTTTTGCTTGCTGATGCTTTGTGCATCCTTTTCTTTCCAATTTGATTGGAATTTCTAAGGCTTTGCATATTTTCCTTTGCAGACTCGTATCATTTGAGAGGGCCACCGTACTGCCAATTGAGGTGTTGGCTTTGCTTTGTCTCAGTTGCTTCATGTTTTGCCAGCAACAAAGTGAGAAGCTTTTATGATATTTGCATTTTGCTACAGAGGAGTGTTGGCTTGATAATTTTCGTGGGCTGTCCGACTTGGGATTTTTTCCTTGTTGGCAAACTTTGAAGCACAGAACGTGGGTGTGAATCATCAGCTTTTGTAAGCTTTCTGTCACTCAGTAATTTCTGCATCTCCTTTAATATGTTTTCTTCTGTTTATGCCAATCTGTGAGACTAAAACAGGATTGTTGATTTCTCCATTTGCAGCACGCTTCGCCATCTTTTTGTCTTCCAATTTGCAGACTTGGAATTTCGTTGTGCTGAAGGTGGGTTGGGCACAAAGCAGTTGGGATTTTGATGTTTTCTGTTTTTGGTACTCAAGAACACTCGCAAGGTCTTCTTTGAGTACCACAATGTGCCTGTGGACACTCACAAGGTGTTCACAGCACTTGTACAGTGGGGTTCTTGCGGAAGCCCATCTGTAATTCACAACAGAGAGGTCCTTGTGAGAGCTCTCTTTGTGTAAGTAGCACAATTATTGCCAATTTGGGAGGATTTGTTCACATTTTTCCACTGCTGAGGTCTCTGTTGATATGATACACTTCTTGATATCAAACATGGAGGAAGTTCAGGCTTCCGTCACAAGGTGTTCACAGCACTTGTACAGTGGGGTTCTTGCGGAAGCCCATCTGTAATTCACAACAGAGAGGTCCTTGTGAGAGCTCTCTTTGTGTAAGTGGCACAATTATTGCCAATTTGGGAGGATTTGTTCATGTTTTTCCACTGCTGAGGTCTTTGTTGATATGATACATTTCTTGATATCAAACATGGAGGAAGTTCAGGCTTCCGTACAATGGCTTCACATGCATTTTTTGCTTTACCTGTAAGTCAGTTGTACATAAAAGGATACTCAAATGAATTTGTTTATACCTTCTCAATGATATTGTGACAGAGCTTCGTATCTCTTTTGCTTGTTTCTGTTCTTTGGATTTCTGCAGCCGTGTTCTTTGGATTTCTGCAGCAGTTCGGTGTCTTTTCCTTTTTTTCTTCTGCCTCTCTTTGCCTCCTTTGGTTCCTTTTTATAGACCCAGAAGAACTGACAGAGTGGAGCCAGTTATGGCCTCACGTATTGCGTGGGTGGGAATAACTTCCCATTTTCACTCACCCCCTCAACTCCACACTTCAAAGTCACGTACATGAAACTGTTTCTGCTTTCAATATATTAATATTTCCTTGTAAAAAATATCAATATTAATTCATTTGGGCCTAAACCAATTTAGTAACAAGTCCACAGAATCATTTTTAGCTATGGGCCCGACTTCTTTAAACTTGGCCAATATTTAATTTGCTGTCAATGAATTTTTTTATTTCAACAGCAACTAGATACACAAATGCATTAATATCTATCAGGTCTTACTATTTCTCATTCTAATAATTGCTTAACTAAATGACATTCATGCCCTTATTATTTTCCAAAGTTTCCAACTGCTCCACATAATAATGCCTAACCCTTTCTAGAATTGGCAGTCGGTGTCAAAATTCAGAAAGTACAGAATTAGAAGTAGTCAAATATACTTGGAACATATTGCATCCTTCCTATGGTCGTTGTCGTGGCAGCCTAGCATCTTTCCAAGTTGCTGCCAGCCGCATTTTTTATGTGGACACAATATCACCACAAGAGCTAGATGTTAGTGGGATTGGCCTAATCAGTAAACAGGTATGGTGACCAAAAACAAGTTTAATCATAACTTCATTGAATCAACACTAAACGTGGCTACAAAATTTGATAATTGACTTCAAATTCGTTAACAAAAATAATCCTCCAAAACAACAATATCTATATTATGCCTTAATTGCACATGAAATGTAGCCATTTTGCTAGTATAATCTAGCCTAGTCTAATTCTACTCAACAAACAAAGCCTAAGGTTATGAATTAATGATCCTTTAAAAAATGTAAATAATATTACTGAAGAAATAATTTCGATAGCTTAGTTAAAGTTGCCGTCGATGATTATTGTCGATGAAGATTGATCAACAAATTAAGATATGGCAACCTATAGACACATAGAAAACGCTAACAATAGAAACCAAACGTACTGCCAAAGTTAGTCACTTTTTTCTTTCTTTTTTAAACGATAATCCAATAAGAAAACGTACATGTCTTCAATTGTTTAAATTTACTCATTTTTAGGTGATATTTTGGGTGCAACCGAGTTGCAACGACCAATGAATTACAAATATAAAGATCTGAAGTCAGCAACAAAAAACTTAAGTGAAGAAAACAAACTTGGAGGAGGAGGATTTGGGGATGTCTACAAGGTAAATTATATGCTAAAGAGCTCTAAAATAATTAGTTCAGTTCAGTTCAATATGGTTGAATATGGTGTACTCCTTTCTGACATGCATAAAGTTTTGAAAAAAAAGGGAAAGTTGCATTGTCAGGCTTTGATTATCCATGGGCATATTTCATTTATTGCTCAATATATAATCCCTAATGTTCATTTACAACTACATACATGATTGGACAGGGTACTCTAAACAATGGAAAAATAGTTGCAGTTAAAAAACTAGCAATTCTCCAATCCGACAGGGCAAAGGCGAATTTCGTAAATGAAGTGAAGCAACGTTCATCATCGGAATCTCATTCGTCTTCTTGGATGTAGCAAAGGACCAGCGTTACTTCTCATATATGAATACATGGCAAACAACAGCCTCGACAGATTCATATATGGTAATTTTAGGCTTCTTTGCTCAGCTACCTCTAAATGTATGCTTATATATACATTTATTGTTTTATTTGTTCATTTAAAGATCTTTTTTTTTCTTCTTCCTCGCAATTTAGTTTAACTATTAGTTTCGCTCTTAAATTTTCTAGTAGTTAATTGTGAAGAATATAAAGTTCCATGTCAGAAACATGACTAAATAAATTACAACTTATAATAAGTAGTTCTGCTCATAATAACACTAAAGTCTTTTGTGATAAAACCTCACATCTACTGAACTTTGTATATGGTTAAGTTAGGGACAATATTAATATTGCTAGTATTGGTGTTAATGGAAAAATATCGATATTGCTAGTAGTGCCTGTATTTGGAATTTAGAACTGGACCGGTGTTCAATACATATGGAGGAAGCTTCGTCCTCAATACATCTCTCGCATCTCAGTGTGAAAATCGAGATCATAAATGTTCAGCGGCTGGTGGGGCAATCTCCAGGGAGAGCGGTAAGGGAAGAGGGAAAGGAAATTAAAAAAATTCACAGCTGGCAACATTTCATTGGCTAGGGATACTGAGCTGTAATGCTGACCTGACAGCACCGTGCCAGGAAAGTTTTTCTCGCAATAGACATTGACTTTGTTACTCTATCACTTTGGTCGCTAACTTTGTGAGACTGTCATGCGTTCCCGTTTTTCTTATCTTTATTCTGTTATCTTTTATAGAGCAAGATTTTATTTCTCAAACACGAACACAAGCGGAACATACAAATGGTTGCTACCAGCACGCAGCAGGATCCGTCCTCTCACCGGTGCACTTATGATGCATTCTTGAGCTTCAGGGGCACAGATACACGCAAGGGATTTACTGATCACCTCTACAGGGCTTTGGAGGTGGCAGGGATCCACACTTTTAGAGATGATGACGAAATCGAGAGAGGAGCAAATATTTTAGCAGAGCTTCAAAAAGCCATACAAGAGTCTCGAGTATCCATCATTGTCTTCTCCAAGGACTACGCTTCCTCGAGATGGTGCCTAGATGAACTAGTGACGATCATGGACCGTAGAGAAACTAATGAGCACATGGTTATGCCGATTTTCTATGACGTGGATCCATCCCATGTCAGGAACCAGACAGGGATTTTTAAAGATACATTTGCTAGACACCAACAGCACTTCAACAAGGAGATGGACAAGGTGGAGAAGTGGAGAAAAGCTCTCAGAGATGTTGCAGATTTGGGAGGGATGGTCTTAGGAGATCGGTACTTTTTCATTCCCAAAATGGTGGTTTTCACTCTATCTTTTGGATGCTTTTTAAAGTAGATTATAGTGAAGCTTTTTCTTTAATCTCATGGAGTTGTTAGATGGCAGCACTTCTGTTTTGAAAGTTCATTTGCTTAATATCATTCATTTCAACCTATGATATAAATATCGATTATATTCTATAAAATAAAAATAAAAATAAAAAAGAAATAAGTTTCTTTTTGTTGAAAAGAAATAACTTATTGTGCCTTGTGTATTTTGATATCAATAATTTATAGGTCCGAGTCGCAGTTTATCCAAGAAATGGTTGAAGTTATTGGAAATAAACTGGATCACACATGGAATAGGAGATTAAGAGTCGATCCCCATGTAGTTGGAATAGATTATCGTGTGGAAGGCCTAAACATGTGGTTAGAAGATGGATCAAGTGATGTTGGAGTAGCTGTAGTCTATGGGATGGGTGGAATTGGCAAAACCACCATTGCCAAGACTGCTTATAACAAGAACTTCTATAAATTTCAAGGTAGCAGCTTTCTTGCAGATATTAGAGCAACTTCAAAACTTCCCAATGGTTTGGTTCACTTGCAAAGGAACCTTCTTTCAGATCTCCAAAAGGAGAAAGCAGAGAAAATATACAGCTTGGATGAAGGAATAACAAAGATCAAACGGGCGATACGTTGCAAAAGAGTTCTTATTGCTCTTGATGATGTGGACAACTTGGAACAATTCAATGCAATTCTTGGAATGCGAGAATGGCTTCATCCAGGAAGTAAAATAATCATAACAACTAGACATGAACATTTGTTAAAGGCTCATGAGAATTGTGCAATGTTTAAGGTGGAAGGGTTGCATGAGTATGAATCACTTGAGCTTTTCAGTTGGCATGCCTTTAGACAACCCCCATCCTAGTGAAGGTTACATGGATCTTTCAAGACCTGTAGTGCAACACTGTGGAGGGGTTCCATTAGCTCTTCAAGTTCTAGGATCTTCTCTCTTTGGAAAAGCTGCAGATGTATGGAAAAATGCATCACAGAACTTGGATGTGATTACTGAAGGAAAAATTGAAAAGATTCTCATAATAAGCTTTGATTCTCTGCAAGATCATGACAAACATCTGTTCCTTCATATAGCCTGTTTCTTCATAGGAAGACACAAGGATTTTTCAACTACAGTCCTTGATGAATGTGGGTTTGCCACAAACATTGGAATTCAAAATCTGGTTGACAGATGTCTGCTGATAATTCATGGAAACAAGTTAACCATGCACCAATTACTTCAAGACATGGGAAGGGGAATTATTCGCGAAGAATCGCCTGAGGATCCTGGAAAACGTACTAGAGTGTGGAATAAAGATGCCTCTAATGTTTTGAGAAAATTAACTGTAAGAAATATCTTCTTTTATGTCTACGTATTCGTAATTGTGTTGTGCATGTCACAAGTTACTTACCCAATGTTCTTATTTGTTACCAGGGTACAGAAACTATTAAGGGCCTCATGCTCAACATTTCTAAGATAATATCGAGTGGAAGTAACAGAAAAAGATTCCACGTTGAAGATAATGATGGAAACCGTTCAAGCAGCCGACGTCGGCTTGGTTTCTTCTCCTGGCAGTCAATTAGTTTTTCTTCAACAAACTCATTTCATGTATCAAATGAGATAGGTTTCAAAACAGAGGCATTTAGAAGGATGCACAATCTTGAACTCCTGCTGCTTGATAATGTAAAAATCAGTGGAGGCTATGAAGATTTCCCAAAAAATTTAATATGGTTGTCTTGGCGAGGATGCGCTTTAAAGTCAATACCAACCCATTTTTACTTGGAAAATCTAATTGCTCTTGACTTGCGGAACAGCAGCCTCCAACATGTTTGGAAGGGAACTAGGGTATGCTACTAATCTCTCTCTCACTCTCACACACAGACAAATTAAAGATGATTATATATTTATAGAAACTAATTACTTCTTTTTTAAAACAGTTTCTTCCAAGACTGAAAATCTTAAATCTCAGTCATTCACATGGCCTTGTGACAACCCCTGACTTGTCAGGATTCCCTAACCTCGAGAGATTAATTCTTATAGATTGCATAAATTTGAAAGAGGTGGATGAATCCATTGGATATTTGGAGAAACTTGTTTTCTTGAATCTAAAAGATTGCAAAAATCTCATGAAGCTTCCAATAAGAATTAGTATGCTGCGATCTCTCCAGAAACTTATTCTCTCTGGTTGCTCAAATCTTGTGCTGCCTGCCAGTAAGATCGTTAAAAATCAGTCAGACTCTACACCTGGTGACATGAAGAAACTCAGTCTCTTATCTGCAGTTAAACTGTGGCAACCAATCCGATCATGGGTATTGCCAAGAAAATATCTCCAACTTACCTGTGCAAGTTTGCCACAATGTTTAAAAAGCTTAGAAATGGCGTACTGCAATCTGTCAGAAATTCCCAATGATCTTCCAAGTAGCCTATCCTCATTGGAGTATTTGGATCTAAGAGGAAACCTATTTTGAGCCTACCAGTAAACATGAATGGTCTTAGTAAGCTCCAGACTCTTCTGTTGAATGATTGCACAAACCTCGAAATGATTCCCGAGCTCCCACCAAGTGTAGAGGATTTGAGTGCATATCAATGTACTTCATTGAAAAGTGTACTACTAAACTTACCCAACATGTTACCAACAATTAGAGATGCGGTTTATATATGCGAGAATTTAGTTGAAATTCAAAACGTGTTCAAAACAAGACCGTTGAGAAGCGTCGACATAGAAATGATCAAAGATATCGGTCTGTTCAATTTGGAATCCATAGGAAGCACTGAAGTTGAAATGGTCAACTACTTGACACGTACAGCAAAGAAGGGTCCTCTCCAGGTTCTCTCTCTCTCTCTCTCTTTCTCATGTATTGTATAGTTTTTTATGATGATTATTTCTGTGGCCTGTAATATTTGAACATATATAAATCTGTCCATGCATGCATGCATGAAACAGGGACTGGATGAATGTGGTATATTAGCATATTCCTTCCTGGGAGCGAGGTTCCAGATTGGTTCTGCTACAAGTCGAGCATGGGTAACTCTGAGCTGTCTATAACTATACCTCCACATCTTAATTTGAAGATCCGAGGCCTAAATGCATGTGTTGTGTATGCACAAGGTAAGGTTCGTGCCGTTCCTCATCAATTCCTTCTTCAAATCAGTAATGAGACCAAGGGTCTTAAGTGGACCTATGTGCCAGTCACAATAGGGCTTCCAAAGGAGAAGGAACATATGTTATGGCTTAGTCATTGCCGATTCGCAAACGATGAATTGGAGGGTGGGGAAGAAATACGTGTTTCGGTTAGAGTAGATGAAGATGCTATGTTGATAAAGGAATTTGGAATCCAGCTTGTGTACGAGCAGAATAATAATGAGGGTACTGTAACTGAAGATATAACCCACAATGTTCCAGCATGAAACAATTACACCTTCGAGCCAGAATCATCTCGTTGCTGGAGATGTGTCAGCATCAGCATCAAGGTTTCATAAAAATAATCAAAATAAGGTGGGTGAATACTTTATTTGTAATCGTAGTGGATGGTTTTTTCCAATAGAGATCATTTCCAATTAAAGAGAAAAGGAATGCAGAGAAGACAATAAAGAAGTTTTTGTATTATATATTTAATCATAGTGAATAAATGAATGCTTTTATAGACAGCTTTACAAATATTCTAGAATGGAATAGAAGGGACTAATAGATAAGGACCAGCAAAGGTAGCCGTTTGGGAGGAGAATATGCTGAGCATATGTGAGTCATATTTGGTCTTTGCTAGCTGGTGCATGCTGGCATGTACGATTCAATCTTGAGGCTTCATTTGGAATGGTGCTTTGTGGTGTTGCATCAATGGTTGTGATGGATTGCTGTGTATGGTTATGACCAATCCGAAAATGTTCAGAATTCAATATAACTTTCAATTCCAATCTTTTATGTTTTATGTATACATATACACTGTAACAAAAAAAAGATACACACATACATCTATAAGACCAAATGAAAAGTATTTCACATGGTATTACCTAATGACAATTTAATGAAAAAATAAATGTGATACGTGTATTTGATCATTCTAAAAAAAAACTGTGTTAGTTTACTCTAGAGAAGCTCACATGTACTGCTATCATGATTCATAGGTAACAAGCGCACATATGCATTTTTGTTATGTAGTATAGTCAAAAATCCATAATCTTAAAGTGATTTGTACTCTTATACACATATGCACATATATGTATATATAACAAACTTTTAGTATATGTAGGTGTGTTTTATACATGTATGCATGTATGTGTATGTGTGTTTTATAGTATAGTCATAAATCCATAATCCATAATTCTGATGTATACATGTATGTGTGTTTATATATACACATACATTATAACAAAAAATAGATACACATATATAGAATACATAAGTATACATGCATTTTGGTTATAAAGTATGTTTGGATATGATAACCACACATATGAATTTTGTAATATTCAAACAAACATGTAAGCCAAAATACAGTCTTATATATACTCCTATGTTTAGTATACATGTATATATGAATATTTGTATGTTGGATGGCACTTAAATATAACAAATAATAAATGAAACATACATGGGACCTATAAACTAAAAAAAATGCAATTAAAATTATAAATCATAAAATATTATTATAAATTCGGAATTTTTGGTAAACAATCGGAAAAATCGGATCGGATAGGGTTTTGAGAACTTCGGGAATTTTCAGATCGAAAATTCGGAATTTTCAGAATTTACCGATTCCGATATGAATTTTATCGGAAATTTCGAATTTCGGCACTTTTGGATATCAGATGTATCGGAGTCGGATTTTTTGGAAATTTTCGGACCGAAATCGGTCAGAATCGGATTTTCAATCCAATTTACAGCCCTATCCATTTAGGAGTCGTCTCATACATAGACATATAGGATATACGCATCAAAGTTTGAGTTGGAAAAGCTGCGGATGTATGGAAAAGTGCATTACAAGTGAACCATGCACCAATTACTTCAAGACATAGGAACAGTGGTGGATCCAGGATTCATCAGCCATGGGTCTTAGTGTAAAAGTTGGAAAATATTTTTAGACAAAATAGGATTGAAAAATTAAAGCCATAGCACTTTCATTCCTAATCAACCAACAACAAAAAAACTAATCAAAACACAAAACCCTAATCAATTAATCAAAACACAAGCCTTAATCAATTAATTAAAATACTATCAATAAACCATTAATGAAAACACAAATCTCATATAATAAATCAAACAAATTTCAATTTCAATTGAATTAAAAACTTTATATACCATCATCAATCAATTATAAACTCTAATCTAAATAACAATATCAATCAATTAAAGGAAGAGAGCATAGCGTTTCTCATAATATTTTACTCATCAGTGACTGAGTGAGAGATGAAATGAAACAGTTTTTCCTTGTTCTTTGGTGGTCTTCCCCTATTACTCTGCAATAATCAGTTGCGAGAAAAACCGTAAACATATCTTAGAGAGAGAAAGAAAGAGTGGACCTTGGATGTTGGTGGGCAAGAGGAGCTCTGTTTCTGGTCTTGAAGAACGGCCATTTGGCTCTCTAACTTTGTGGTTATGGAGGAGAGGGAATGTGAAAGTAATTGGGAATTAAGGGTTATGCTGGACTTGGGTAAAGGGTTGGGTGAAGAAATTGTTTTTTTCAAAGCCGGGCTTCAAACGACGTCGTTTCAAGCGAGGTCATTTAAAAAAATTTGAATGCGCCTGGACCAAAACGACGTCGTTTTGGCCAGGAGCTTGAAAAAAACAAAAAAAGAAATGCGTGCGCCTGGACCAATATCAATTCAGATTGAGCTCGGAGAACCCAGCTCATCTTGATTTTCAATAGGAACCTAAGACCTCCTTCAATTTTTGTTTAGGCTGGACGATGATTCCATTGTTTCTAAATATGAATTTTTGCACTGATCTTTATGTCATTGGCGGTTTGCAAACGATTAATTAGGGACTGGGGAAGAACAGAAGCAGCAGCTCCCTATACCCCGAGGGGGGAAAACGTTTCATATTGTGTATGAAAGACGGATAAGTATGACGAGCGGCACCATAAGTTGGGATTGCGGTTTTTTTTCTTTTATTTGAACATTTTTTAAGTTATTATTATGTAAGGTGTTGCAAAGACGGATAGGTATGAGCTGCACCATAAATTGACTGCAACTTTCTCATACAGCATTCACCTTAGAATCCCATGGCACTTTGGCAGTGCATGTTTAAGAAAATGCTCCTACCCCTTCCTAACTTTGACAAAAAAAAATGAACATTTGATGAAAAAAAAAATAGTAGTAAACCAAAAGGATAAAATTAAAAGCAAACCACAAGTACCAATTGTTACTTTTGGCCTTCTTTCTTAGCATTAAACTTTTCTTCTTCGGCTTCTCTGTTGCATCTCCCGCCTCCTCTTCTTCATCAACTTTCAAGACCTTTCTGCTTTCGAGGCAAAATTGTAATTTCATATTTTATGAAATTAATTAAATTCACGAATAATAATATTTTTGTGTCGGCATGTTACAATATGGAAGAAGCTTCGTCTTCAATACATCTCTCGCATCTCAGTGTGAAAATCGAGATCACAAATGTTCAGTGGCTGGTGGGGCAATAGACATAGACTTTGTTACCTGATCACTTTGGTCACTAACTTTGTGACTTTGTCATGCGTTCCTCTTTTTCTTATCTTTATTCTGTTCTCTTTTAAAAAGAAAAATTAAATATTTTCTTGTGAATTTCTTTGCTTTCTGCTAAATTTCTGAATCATTTATTCTTATGAAGCTCTGCTGTAAAGTGATACATAGGAGTATGAGTGTAATCTTTTGCTGTTGAAATAGTGGGAAAGAAAGAAATCAAAGTTTCGAATTTGTAAGCACAAATTTTCTTAATATACCCTGAAATATTGGATCTTTTGTGAGTTATGAACTTGACTTTAATTTGGACTTTGTTGACTCAGATGATCCAAATTTTCAGTCCCTTTTGCTGTATTTTCTCAGGAACCAAACAGAGGGTTTTGGACAAGGCTGAGAGTGGCGGAAATATGAAAAATGTGTAGAACATAATATATTGGGATATCTGGCCAACATATAGTGACATACAGCTTGAAAATAATGGCCTGGCTTAGAAAGACTGGTAGAGTCAACATCCAAGGCTGGCCCCTGAAGACTAAAATTGACGGAGCACAGTGGTGGAGCCTACTAGACCCCGTGAAGGCTGGCCTTCTTTTATTTTCTTTAATGTAATGCCGGGCCCGCCACCATACAATTACCGAGCACTTGCATTGTTTCTCTCATTGGCGAAGGGTCCTGGTCATCGGACTCTCGCAATCGAAGGGAAAATGTGGAAGAAAGGAAAGACTATAGACTCAACATCCGTCGTCTCTATTATTTGATGGAAAATTCCATGCACGTGGTATTTGACTAAATTTTCATAATGTCTGCTGGTCCAATCAAAGCTTTTCTTCTTTCTTATTCCTACCGCTCAAGACACGCGCATGCATGATGTCTCCCACTTCTTTATTATTCTTTATGCCCTTTTTGTTCCTTCGTTGCTGCTTCTGGACCACTTTTTCTACTGTATTTTTTCATCTCAAATTCTCTTTTATAGAGCAAGATTTTTTTCTCAAACACAACACGAGCTGAACATACAAATGGCTGCTACCAGCACGCAGCAGGATGCTTCTCCGTCCTCTCACCGGTGCACTTATGATGCATTCTTGAGCTTCAGGGGCACAGACACACGCAAGGGATTTACTGATCACCTCTACAGGGCTTTGGAGGTGGCAGGGATCCACACTTTTAGAGATGATGACGAAATCGAGAGAGGAGCAAATATTTAGCAGAGCTTCAAAGAGCAATACAAGAGTCTCGAGTATCCATCATTGTCTTCTCCAAGGACTACGCTTCCTCGAGATGGTGCCTGGATGAGCTAGTGACGATCATGGACCGTAGAGAAACTAATGAGCACATGGTGTTGCCGATTTTCTATGACGTGGATCCATCCCATGTCAGGAACCAGACAAAATTTTTTGAAGAAGCTTTTGCCAGACACCAACAGCGCTTCAACAAGGAGATGGACAAGGTGGAGAAGTGGAGAAAAGCTCTCAGAGATGTTGCAGATTTGGGAGGGATGGTCTTAGGAGATCGGTACTTTTTCATTCCCAAAATGGTGGTTTTCACTCTATCTTTTGGATGCTTTTTAAAGTAGATTATAGTGAAGCTTTTTCTTTAATCTCATGGAGTTGTTAGATGGCAGAACTTTTGTTTTGAAAGTTCATTTGCTTAATATCATTCATTTCATCCTATGATATAAATATCAATTCTCTTCTATAAAATAAAAATAAAAATAAAAATAAAAATAATAAAGAAATAAGTTTCTTTTGTTGAAAAGAAATAACTTTTTGTGCCTTGTTATTTTGATATCAATATTTTATAGGTACGAGTCGCAGTTTATCCAAGATATAGTTGAAGATATTGGAAATAAACTGGATCACACATGGAATAGGAGATTAATAGTCGATCCCTATGTAGTTGGAATAGATAATCGTGTGGAAGGCCTAAACATGTGGTTAGAAGATGGATCAAGTGATGTTGGAGTAGCTGTAGTCTATGGGATGGGTGGAATTGGCAAGACCACCATTGCCAAGATTGCTTATAACAGGAATTTCTATAAAATTTCAAGGTGGCAGCTTTCTTGCAGATATTAGAGCAACTTCAAAACTTCGCAATGGTTTGGTTCACTTGCAAAGGAACCTTCTTTCAGATCTCCAAAAGGGGAAAGCAAAGAAAATATACAACTCGGAGGAAGGAATAAAAAAGATCAAACGGGCGATACGTTGCAAAAGAGTTCTTGTTGCTCTTGATGATGTGGACAACTTGGAACAATTCAATGCAATTCTTGGAATGCGAGAATGGCTTCATCCAGGAAGTAAAATAATCATAACAACTAGACATGAACATTTGTTAAAGGCTCATGAGAATTGCGCAATGTTTAAGGTGGAAGGGTTGCTTGAGAATGAATCACTTGAGCTTTTCAGTTGGCATGCCTTTAGACAACCCCATCCTGGCGAAGGTTACATGGATCTTTCAAGACCTGTAGTGCAACACTGTGGAGGGGTTCCATTAGCTCTTCAAGTTCTAGGATCTTCTCTCTTTGGAAAAGCTGCAGATGTGTGGAAAAATGCATTACAGAACTTGGATGTGATTACTGAAGGAAAAATTCAAAAGATTCTCAGAATAAGCTTTGATTCTCTGCAAGATCATGACAAACGTCTGTTCCTCCATATAGCCTGTTTCTTCATAGGAAAAGACAAGGATTTTTCAACTACAATCCTTGATGAATGTGAGTTTGCCACAAACATTGGAATTCAAAATCTGGTTGATAGATGTCTGCTGATAATTGATGGATTCAACAAGAAGTTAACCATGCACCAATTACTTCAAGACATGGGAAGGGGAATTATTCGTGAAGAATCGCCTGAGGATCCTGGAAAACGTACTAGAGTGTGGAATAAAGATGCCTCTAATGTTTTGAGAAAATTAACTGTAAGAAATATCTTCTTTTATGTCTATGTATTCGTAATTGTGTTGTGCATGTGACAAGTTACTTACCCAATGTTCTTATTTGTTACCAGGGTACAGAAACTATTAAGGGCCTCATGCTCAACATTCCTATGTTAATAAAAGATGAGTCTTCTAAGATAACATCCAGTGGAAGTAACAGAAAAAGATTCCATGTTGAAGATTATGATGGAAACCGTTCAAGCAGCCGACGTCGGCTTGGTTTCTTCTCCTGGCAGTCAATTAGTTTTTCTTCAACAAACTCATTTCCTGTATCAAATGGGATAGGTTTCAAAACAGAGGCATTTAGAAGGATGCACAATCTTGAACTCCTGCTGCTTGATAATGTAAAAATCAGTGGAGGCTATGAAGATTTCCCAAAAAATTTAATATGGTTGTCTTGGCGAGGATTCGCTTTAAAGTCAATACCAACCAATTTTTACTTGGAAAATCTAATTGCTCTTGACTTGCGGAACAGCAGCCTCCAACATGTTTGGAAGGGAACTAAGGTATGCTACTAATCTCTATCTAGCTCTCTCTCTCTCTCTCTCACACACACACACACAGAGACAAATTTAAAGATGATTATATATTTATAGAAACTAATTACTTCTTTTTTAAAACAGTTTCTTCCAAGACTGAAAATCTTAAATCTCAGTCATTCACATGGCCTTGTGACAACCCCTGACTTGTCAGGATTCCCTAACCTCGAGAGATTAATTCTTAAAGATTGCATAAATTTGAAAGAGGTGGATGAATCCATTGGAGATTTGGAGAAACTTGTTTTCTTGAATCTAAAAGATTGCAAAAATCTCATGAAGCTTCCAAAAAGAATTGGTATGCTGCGATCTCTCCAGGAACTTATTCTCTTTGGTTGCTCAAATCTTGTGCTGCCTGCCAGTATGATCGTTAAAAATCAGTCAGACTCTACACCTAATGACATGAAGAAACTCAGTCTGTTATCTGCAGTTAAATCGTGGCAATCAATCCGATCATGGGTATTCGTATTGCCAAGAAAAATCTCCAACTTACCAGTGCAAGTTTGCCACAATTTTTAAAACGCTTAGATATGGCATGCTGCAATCTGTCAGAAATTCCCAATGATCTTAGTAGCCTATCCTCATTGGAGTATTGGATCTAAGTGGAAACCCATTTTGAGCCTATCAGTAAACATGAATGGTCTTAGTAAGCTCCAGAATCTTTTGTTGGATCATTGCACAAACCTCGAAATGATTCCTGAGCTCCCACCAAGTGTAGAGGCTTTGTCCGCATATAACTGTACTTCATTGAAAAGAGTACTACTAAACTTACCCAACATGCTACCAAAAATTAGAGGTGCGGTTGTTAGATGCATGAATTTAGTTGAAATTCAAAACGTGTTGAAAACAAGACCGTTGAGAAGCGTCGACATAGAAATGATCAAAGATATCGGTCTGTTCAATTTGGAATCCATAGGAAGCACTGAAGTTGAAATGCTCAACTACTTGACAAGTACAATAAGGAAGGGTCCTCTCCAGGTTCTCTCTCTCTCTTTCTCATGTATTGTATAGTTTTTTATGATGATTATTTTCTGTGGCCTGTAATATTTGAACATATATAAATCTCTCCATCCATGCATGAAACAGGGACTGGAGGAATGTGGTATATTTAGCACATTCCTTCCTGGGAGCGAGGTTCCAGATTGGTTCTGCTACAAGTCGAGCACTGAGCTGTCTATAACTATACCTCCACATCTTAATTTGAAGATCCGAGGCCTAAATGCATGTGTTGTGTATGCACGTGATAAGTTTGTTGATGATGAGGGATTGAGATTTTACTCGGGCTTTCCCATTCTTAGCATCAGTAATGAGACCAAGGGTCTTAAGTGGACCTATGTGCCAGTCACAATAGGGTTTCCAAAAGAGAAGGAACATATGTTATGGCTTAGTCATTGGCGATTCGCAAACGATGAATTGGAGGGTGGGGATGAAATACGTGTTTCGGTTAGAGGTGAATTCGATATGTCAACAAATAAATTTGGGGTTAGAGGTGAATTCGATATGTTGACAAAGGAATTTGGAATCCAGCTTGTGTACGAGCAGAATAATAATGAGGGTACTGTAACTGAAGATATAACCACGATGTTCCAGCATGAAACAACTACACCTTCGAGCCAGAATCATGTCGTTGCTGGAGATGTGTCAGCATCAGCATCAAGGTTTCATAAAAATAATGAAAATAAGGTGGGTGAATACTTTCTTTGTAATCATCATGGATGGTATCCTCCATCATATGACCGGATTTTGACATTTTCCGAATTCCAATCCGAAAATGTTCAAAATTCAATATAACTTCCAATTCCAATATTTTATGTTTTATATATATATATTGTAACAAAAAAAAAAAAAAAAAAAAAAAAAAAAAAACACAAACACGTCATAAAAACCAAATGAAAGTATTTCACGTGGTATTAGCTAATGACAATTTAATGAAAAAATAAATTGTGATATATGTATATTTGTTCATTCTTTAAAAAAATGTGTTAGTCTTGCTCTAGAGAAGTACACATATACTGCTATCATGATTCATAGGTAACAAGCGCACATATGCATTTTTGTTATATAGTATTGTAACAACCCGATCCTTAATTAATTCTTAATTATTATTTATTCAAAAAAAGGACTAGAATACCTCAAGAATATTTATTAGGTTTAAAGTTGACTTTTTGATCAGGAAGGGGTGTTCAGGATCTATAGCTCATGTTATTGACACCCAAGATAATTGGTTGAGTTTGGAGGATATTCCAGTGGTACATGAATTTCCGAATGTTTTCCCTGAGGATCTTCCTGGGTTACCTCCTCACCAAGAAATCGAGTTCACTATTGAGCTTGTTCCAGGAACAAGTCCGATTTCTCAGGCACCGTATAGGATGGCACTAGCTAAGTTAAGGGAATTGAAAACCGGTCCCAAACAAACCACCTCACTTCCCTTTTCTAGTCCCAACCCATCCCAGCCTCGATTTGCCGTCGTGGTCATCGGAAACCACCATGAAATAGGGCGGTTCGGACAGTTTTTGACGGAATTTCACGGAGCTTGAAAATATAGTGACATACAGCTGGAAAATTCCATGCAGGCGGTATTTGACTAAAATTTCATAATTGCAATTGCATTTGAAAATTCAAACCAATTTCTGACTTTCATTTTAAAAACAATTTTACTTCAAATTTTTTTTTTAATTACGAATTTTACTTCATTAATTTGGAAATTGATCTAGCGACATTTATTTTAAAAATTTATTGACCTCAACAACCATCACGGACTTAGCATTTACACACTGAAGCCTAAACACCATGTCCAATGGACCTGTTTTCTCCTGTTTCCTACGAGAAAGCCAAGCAAGATTTTTTTTCTCAAACACAAACACAAGCTGAACATACAAATGGCTGCTACCAGCACGCAGCAGGATGCTTCTCCGTCCTCTCACCAGTGCACTTATGATGCATTCTTGAGCTTCAGGGGCACAGACACACGCAAGGGATTTACTGATCACCTCTACAGGGCTTTGGAGGTGGCAGGGATCCACACTTTTAGAGATGATGACGACATCGAGAGAGGAGCAAATATTTTAGCAGAGCTTCAAAAAGCAATACAAGAGTCTCGAGTATCCATCATTGTCTTCTCCAAGGACTACGCTTCCTCGAGATGGTGCCTGGATGAACTAGTGACGATCATGGACCGTAGAGAAACTAATGAGCACATGGTTATGCCGATTTTCTATAACGTGGATCCATCCCATGTAAGGAACCAGACAGGAATTTTTGAAGAAGCATTTGCCAGACACCAACAGCGCTTCAACAAGGAGATGGACAAGGTGGAGAAGTGGAGAAAAGCTCTCAGAGATGTTGCAGATTTGGGAGGGATGGTTTTAGGAGATCGGTACTTTTTCATTCCCAAAATGGTGGTTTTCACTCTAACTTTTGGATGCTTTTTAAAATAGATTATAGTGAAGCTTTTTCTTTAATCTCATGGAGTTGTTAGATGGCAGCACTTCTGTTTTGAAAGTTCATTTGTTTAATATCATTCATTTCAACCTATGATATATATCAATTCTCTTCTATAAAATAAAATTAAAAATAATAAAGAAATAAGTTTTTTTTTGTTGAAAAGAAATAACTTATTGTGCCTTGTGTATTTTGATATCAATAATTTATAGGTACGAGTCGCAGTTTATCCAAGACATAGTTGAAGTTATTGGAAATAAACTGGATCACACATGGAATGGGAGATTAAGAGTCGATCCTTATGTAGTCGGAATAGATTATCGTGTGGAAGGCCTAAACATGTGGTTAGAAGATGGATCAAGTGATGTTGGAGTAGCTGTTGTCTATGGGATGGGTGGAATTGGCAAGACCACCATTGCCAGGACTGCTTATAACCAGAACTTCTATAAATTTCAAGGTAGCAGCTTTCTTGCAGATATTAGAGCAACTTCAAAACTTCCCAATGGTTTGGTTCACTTGCAAAGGAACCTTCTTTCAGGTCTCCAAAAGGGGAAAGCAAAGAAAATATACAGCTTGGATGAAGGAATAACAAAGATCAAACGTGCGATACGTTGCAAAAGAGTTCTTATTGCTCTTGATGATGTGGACAACTTGGAACAATTCAATGCAATTCTTGGGATGCGAGAATGGCTTCATCCAGGAAGTAAAATAATCATAACAACTAGACATGAACATTTGTTAAAGGTTCATGAGAATTGTGCAATGTTTAAGGTGAAAGGGTTGAATGAGAATGAATCACTTGAGCTTTTCAGTTGGCATGCCTTTAGACAACCCCATCCTGGCGAAGGTTACATGGATCTTTCAAGACCTGTAGTGCAACACTGTGGAGGGGTTCCATTAGCTCTTCAAGTTCTAGGATCTTCTCTCTTTGGAAAAGCTGCAGATGTATGGAAAAATGCATTACAGAACTTGGATGTGATTACTGACGGAGAAATTCAAAAGATTCTCAGAATAAGCTTTGATTCTCTGCAAGATCATGACAAACGTCTGTTCCTCCATATAGCCTGTTTCTTCATAGGAAAACACAAGGATTTTTCAACTACAGTCCTTGATGAATGTGAGTTTGCCACAAACATTGGAATTCAAAATCTGGTTGATAGATGTCTGCTGATAATTGATGGATTCAACAAGTTAACCATGCACCAATTACTTCAAGACACGGGAAAGGGAATTATTCGTGAAGAATCGCCTGAGGATCCTGGAAAACATACTAGAGTGTGGAATAAAGATGCCTCTAATGTTTTGAGAAAATTAACTGTAAGAAATATCTTCTTTTATGTCTATGTATTCGTAATTGTGTTGTGCATGTGACAAGTTACTTACCCAATGTTCTTATTTGTTACCAGGGTACAGAAACTATTAAGGGCCTCATGCTCAACATTCCTATGTTAATAAAAGATGAGTCTTCTAAGATAACATCCAGTGGAAGTAACAGAAAAAGATTCCATGTTGAAGATTATGATGGAAACCGTTCAAGCAGCCGACGTCGGCTTGGTTTCTTCTCCTGGCAGTCAATTAGTTTTTCTTCAACAAACTCATTTCCTGTATCAAATGGGATAGGTTTCAAAACAGAGGCATTTAGAAGGATGCACAATCTTGAACTCCTGCTGCTTGATAATGTAAAAATCAGTGGAGGCTATGAAGATTTCCCAAAAAATTTAATATGGTTGTCTTGGCGAGGATTCGCTTTAAAGTCAATACCAACCAATTTTTACTTGGAAAATCTAATTGCTCTTGACTTGCGGAACAGCAGCCTCCAACATGTTTGGAAGGGAACTAAGGTATGCTACTAATCTCTATCTAGCTCTCTCTCTCTCTCTCTCACACACACACACACAGAGACAAATTTAAAGATGATTATATATTTATAGAAACTAATTACTTCTTTTTTAAAACAGTTTCTTCCAAGACTGAAAATCTTAAATCTCAGTCATTCACATGGCCTTGTGACAACCCCTGACTTGTCAGGATTCCCTAACCTCGAGAGATTAATTCTTAAAGATTGCATAAATTTGAAAGAGGTGGATGAATCCATTGGAGATTTGGAGAAACTTGTTTTCTTGAATCTAAAAGATTGCAAAAATCTCATAAAGCTTCCAATACTGCCATCTCTCCAGGTACTTATTCTCTCTGGTTGCTCAAATCTTGTGCTGCCTGCCAGTAAGATCGTTGAAAATCAGTCAGACTCTACACCTAGTGACATGAAGAAACTCAGTCTGTTATCTGCAGTTAAACCGTGGCAATCAATCCGATCATGGGTATTGCCAAGAAAAAGTCTCCAACTTACCGGTGCAAGTTTGCCACAATTTTTAAAACTCTTAGAAATGGCATACTGCAATCTGTCAGAAATTCCCAATGATCTTAGTAGCCTATCCTCATTGGAGTATTTGAATCTACGTGGAAACCCATTTTTGAGCCTATCAGTAAACATGAATGGTCTTAGAAAGCTCCAGACTCTTTTTTTGGATCGTTGCACAAACCTTGAAATGATTCCCGAGCTCCCACCAAGTGTAGAGACTTTGGGCGCATTTGAATGTACTTCATTGAAAAGAGTACTACTAAACCTGCCCAACATGTCATCAAAAATTAGAGAAGCGGTTTTGGAATGCGAGAATTTAGTTGAAATTCAAAACGTGTTCAAAATAAGACCGTTGAGAAGCGTCGACATAGAAATGATCAAAGATATCGGTCTGTTCAATTTGGAATCCATAGGAAGCACTGAAGTTGAAATGTTCAACTACTTGACACATACAGCAAGGAAGGGTCCTCTCCAGGTTCTCTCTCTCTTTCTCATGTATTGTATAGTTTTTTATGATGATTATTTTATGTGGCCTGTAATATTTGAACATATATAAATCTGTCCATGCATGCATGAAACAGGGACTGGATGAATGTGGTATATTTAGCATATTCCTTCCTGGGAGCGAGGTTCCAGATTGGTTCTGCTACAAGTCGAGCATGGGTAACTCTGAGCTGTCTATAACTATACCTCCACATCTTAATTTGAAGATCCGAGGCCTAAATGCATGTGTTGTGTATGCACGAGGTAAGGTTCATGTTGAGGGATATGCATTTACACGGGCGTTTTCATTCATCAACCCCTTCTTCAAATCAGTAATGAGACCAAGAGTCTTAAGTGGACCTATGTGCCAGTCACAATAGGGTTTCCAAAAGAAAAGGAACATATGCTATGGCTTAGTCATTGCCGATTCGCAAACGATGAATTGGAGGGTGGGGAAGAAATAAGTGTTTCGGTTAGGGGAGATGCAGATGATATGTTGACAAAGGAATTTGGAATCCAGCTTGTGTACGAGCAGAATAATAATGAGGGTAGCCGTTTGAGAGGAGAATATGCGGAGCATATGTTGAGTCATATTTGGTCTTTGCTAGCTGGTGTATGCTGGCATGTACGATTCAATCTTGAGGCTTCATTTGGAATGGTGCTTTGTGGTGCTGCATCAATGGTTGTTAGCCAAAAATACAGTCTTAAAGTAATATATACTCCTATGTTTAGTATACATGTATATATGAATATTAATATACAGTCTTTTGGATATCGAATGTATCGGAGTCGAATTTTTTTTGAAATTTTCGGACCAGAATCGGTTAGAATCGGATTTTCAATTCAATTTACAGCCCTATCTATATAGGAGTCGTCTCATACATAGACATATAGGATACGCATCAAAGTTTGAGTTGGAAAAGCTGCAGATGTATGGAAAAGTGCATCACAAGTGAACCATGCACCAATTACTTCAAGACATAGGAACAGTGGTGGATCCCGGATTCATCAGCCATGGGCCTTAATGTAAAAGTTGGAAAATATTTTTTAGACGAAATAGGATTGAAAACACCTTTACATAACCATATTTCGCCTGAGAGTGAGTGGGATGGAATCCGAGCCAACTTGGGGTTCTGAGCTGTGGGGATTTACAGCCGATTGTGTTTAGCTTGGGATTCAAGGTGCAGACTCCTTGAGGTTGAATGGAATTGTAGTTGCTTTGTTGTTCTGATCAAATTCTTCTTCTTCTTCTTCTTCAGCTTCTCTGTTAGCATCTTTCATCTCCTCTTCTTCGTCAGCTATCAAGACATTTCCGCTTTCGAGCAAGCACTCAGCCATTCAGCCTTTTCAGTTTTGCACCCATTCAAATTCTTGGAGCAGAGAGAGTGAGAGAGGTGGAGAATATTGAACAACATTCGATTTGGGATGGTCCATTTTCTTCCACAGTGTCTGAGTCGGGAATTTCATCGAACAGTTAGCGAGCATACTTACCCTGGCCCGCTTTTGTATGGTGAAAACGTAGCTCTGCTATTTGGTCATCATTAGCTTGGAATCCAAGTCCTCATGGAGATAAGTCAATGACACTCCTCTTGACTTTCCTTAGTATTTGCATCGATCCAACCCTACTTTTCTTATCTGTAATCATGCTTTACATTTGCATATGACATTTTGTTTTGGGTTTTAAACTGAAGACTAACACTCAAAAGACTCAAAATTAAAGTTCCCATTTCCATTCTTTTCCTAAATAATTACAATGCAGAAGGCATTCACACAATTTCAAGACCACAAACTAATCATCAAATACTTAAAAAAATTTCAATTAATTAGCTTTCAGTCTATATCATAAATATTTAGGTGGAATTGGCCTCTTATTCATCAGTCAATACACAGAAGAAAAAAAATTGTTTACATTTGTGCATGAAAAAAATTGTTTGTCTTACATATAGAAGTAGCTTCCTCGTTGACTTGACCTCAAAGACAAAAAGCACAGAAGAAGCTTCCTTTGGAGTTGGATCTTATGTATAAATCGTGGCTGCTGGGGCTTTTCACTTCGATCATCTACCACCCACTTTTCTTATCGTTATTTTGTTCTCCATTTGCATATAATACTGGGTACTGCCTCTCACAAACACAAACTACATACATGAACTCTTCCTGATCCATTATTACTACTAGACAGAGATCGAGTGCTTCCAAATGGCTGCTATAATAGCCCAGCTGGATGCTTCTTCCACCTTTTACCGGTGTACTTATGATGTGTTCTTGAGTTACAGAGGCAAAGATACACGCAAGGGGTTTACGGATCACCTCTACAGGGCTTTGGAGCAGGCTGGATTCCACACCTTTAGAGACGATGATGAGATCAAGAGAGGAGCAAACATTGCAGCTGAGATACAGAGAGCAATACAAGAATCACAAGTATCAATAATTGTCTTCTCAAAGAACTACGCTTCCTCAACATGGTGCTTGGATGAACTTGTGAAGATCATGGAACGTAGAAAAGCTGATGATGGACTCATGGTGATGCCAGTTTTCTATGATGTGGATCCATCCCATGTTAGGAAGCTGACTGGTAGTTTTGCAAATGCATTTTCTGGACATGAAGAGCACTTCAAGGAGGACATTCACAAGGTGGAGGAGTGGAGAAGAGCTCTTAGAGATGTAGCAGATCTGGGAGGGATGGTCTTAGGAGATCGGTAATTTCATTCCCAAAAACTTCTTACTCCATGGTTGATATTTGTTCTAAAGTATTTGCACTTCTCTAATTCCTCGACGTAGTTTTTGGACGGTATTTATATATTCGTCAACAATTAAGCACACTTCATTAGAATTTAAATGAATAATAACAGGAATCGTAGCTCAAAACAGCTACAATATGAAAACGAATTGCAAGTGTGCCTGTTGATTTAGTGTAATATTAGTGAAGCTTTATATATGGAATTAAGGTTGGATTTTGCTTGTATTTTCTTTCAAGTAACTAAGTAGCAGTTTGAATTAGAAGATTCAATTGCTTACTATCCTATGCTCAATTGACAATAGCATGGGGGCTATCTTTCATTTCAATTCATGATATATCATCCATTGCATTCTTCTAACTATAAACTCACACACAAACACTCAAACACTTAATGTATACTGTGATATCAACCATTTATAGGTACGAGTCGCAGTTTATCCAAAATATTGTTGAAGAGATTGAAAATAAACTGAATCACACAACACCGAACATTGCTCCCCATCTGGTTGGAATAGATAATCGTGTGCGAGGCATAAACATGTGGTTGAAGGATAGATCAAATGATGTTGGTGTAGCTGTTATCTATGGGATGGGTGGAGTTGGCAAAACCACCATCGCCAAAGCTGCTTATAACCAGAACTTTGATAAATTTCAAGGTAGCAGCTTTCTTCCAGATGTTAGAGCAGCTTCAGAACAACCGAATGGTTTGGTTTGCTTGCAAAGAAAACTTCTTTCGGATATCCAAAAAGGGAAAACGAAGAAAATATACAGCATAGATGAAGGAATGAGCAAGATCAAACTTCTTGTGCGTTGCAAAAGGGTTCTTATAGTCCTTGATGATGTGAACCACTCTGAGCAATTCAATGCAATTCTTGGAATGCGAGAATGGTTTCATCCAGGAAGTAAAATTATCGTAACAACTAGACATGAAAATCTGTTAAATGATCATGCAGTTCATGCAATGTTTAAGGTTAAAGGATTAGGTGAGGGTGAATCACTGGAGCTTTTCAGTTGGCATGCCTTCAAACAAGCGCATCCTATCAAAGGTTACATGAACCTTTCAAGATCTGTAGTACAACACTGTGAAGGCCTTCCACTAGCTCTCCAAGTTTTGGGATCTTCTCTATTTAGAAAAAGTGTAGATCTATGGCAAAGTGCATTACAGAAGTTGCACGTGATTCCTGATGACAAGATTCAAAAGATTCTTAGAATAAGCTTTGATTCTCTAAAAGATGATCATGACAGGAATTTATTCCTTCATATTGTCTGTTTCTTCATAGAAAAGAAGATGGGTTATACAATTACAGTACTAGACAATTTAAATTTTTACACAGGGATTGGAATTCAAAATCTAGTTGATAGATGTCTAGTGGAAATTGATGTAGACAACAGGTTGATCATGCATCAATTACTTAGAGACATGGGAAGGGCAATTATTCGTGAAGAATCACCCGAGGACCCTGGAAAGCGTAGTAGAGTGTGGCATAAAGATGCCTCTGACGTTTTGAGAAAATTAACTGTAAGAAACTTGCTCTCTTTTATATTTGTGCAATGCTTGTGAACTTGTTACTTACCAGATGTTCTGATTTCGTAGCAGGGAACAGAAACTATTAAGGGCCTCATGCTCAACCTTCCTAGCAAGGCAATATTTAGTACAAGTAACCAAAAGCGGTGCCATGTTGAAGACTTTGATGGAAATTGTTCAAGACGACGTCGACTTGGTTACTTCTCTTGGATATCAATTAACTCTTCCTCAACAAATTCAGCTGCTGCATCAAATGAGGTAGACTTCAAGGCAGAGGCATTTAGAAGAATGCACAATCTTGAACTGCTCCTGCTCGATAATGTAAAAGTCAGTGGAGATTATGAAGATTTTCCAAAAAAATTATTATGGTTGTGCTGGCCAGGATTCCCTTTAAAATCAATACCAGAAAAATTTTATTTGGAAAATCTAGTTGGTCTTGACCTGCGAAATAGCAGCCTACAACATGTTTGGAAGGGAACCAGGGTATGATACTAATCTCTCTCTCTCTCTCCACAAGTTTAGGTATCATTATATATATACTCAACCAAACTAATTGCCATCTTTTTCAAACAGTTTCTTCTAGGACTGAAAATTCTTAATCTCAGTCATTCACATAGCCTTGTGGCAACCCCCGACTTCTCAGGAGTCCCTAACCTTGAGAAATTGATTCTTAAAGACTGCATAAATTTGGTTGTGATTGATGAATCCCTTGGAAACCTAGAGAAACTCATCTTCTTGAATCTAAAAGACTGCAGTAGTCTCATGAAGCTTCCAACAAGAATTAGCATGTTGAGATCTCTTCAGGAACTTGATCTTTCTGGGTGCTCAAAGCTTGTGGTTCATACCAGTACGACTGCTGCTAATCACTTACACTCTACAACTAGAGTTAGGAAGAAATTAAATATGTTTTCAGAAAAAATATGGCAATCAATATGGTCGTGGAGGTCATGGGTATCAGCAAGAAATAAGCTTGAATCAGCCAGATTGTCTATGGAAATCTGGCCACATTGCTTAGGAACTTTAAGTCTGGCTGACTGCAATCTGTCAGAGATTCCTGGTGATCTTAGTATCTTGTCCTTGTTGAAGCATTTGAATCTAAGTAGAAACCCAATTCTGAGGCTACCAGAAAACATGAACGGTCTTATTATGCTCCAGACTCTTGAGATACAAGGTTGCGCAAAGCTACGCACTCTTCCAAAGCTCCCACGGAGTCTAAGAAAATTGCATGCAAGTTATTGTTCATCACTGGAAAGAATATCGAATCTACCAAACATGTTTGAATCATTGGATTCAAGTCTTTGGAAATGCAAGAAATTGGTTGAAGTTCAAAGCTTGTTCGATATAAAACCGTTGAAAAGGGTTGACATAGAAATGATCAGGGATATGTGCCTGTTTAATTTGGAATCCACTGGTGTAAGTACTGAGGTTGAAATTACCAACTTCCTGACATGTACAACAAGGAATGGGCCCCTCCAGGTTCTCTCTCTCTCTCTCTCTCTCCTCTCTCTCTCTCTCTCTCTCTCTCTCTCCTCTCTCTCTCTCTCTCTCTCTCTCTTTATGTTTGCATAATTAACTTGTCATTGGAATATGTGATTTACATGAAACAGGGTCTGTATGAATGTGGCATATTTAGTATTTTCGTTCATGGAAACAAGATTCCAGATCGGTTCACCTACAGGAGCATGGGTAAATCTGTTTTGTCTGTCATTCTACCTTCACATTTTAATCTCAAGATCCGAGGCTTAAATATATGTGTTATGTATTCACGCCGCCCATTTTGGTTTAGTAGTAGAAACTTTCTTAAAGTCAGTAATGAGACCAAAGGTCTTAAGTGGACCTATTGCCCAGTTGCAGCAGGTCTCCCAAAAAGAACCAAGACATGCTATGGCTAAGCCACTGGCGGTTTGAAAATGATGAATTGGAGGAAGGAGAACAAGTACATGTTTCGATAAATGAGGAATTTAGTTTCTGGGCAAAGGAGTTCTGTATCCAGCTTGTGTACGAGAAGGACCCATCAAATAGTGAAGATATAATAATCCAACAGGAAACACCTCCTTCGAGCCAGATTGCTGCTGGTGGAAATGTGTCAGCATCAGCGTCTAAGTATCAATTCTGGACGGGCAAATACTTTCTATGTAACCATCGGGCTCGTATTCATCAACATCAATTCTCTCGGAGGCAGACGAACCCATCTTATCTTGAACATTACAAGCCCGAGACGGATACCTTTCATTACTTATTTGATCAAGATGTTCATCCTCAGGACAATCATTCCATCTATTCGGAAGAATCTTAGACTGCTCCACACCTTTTATATATGACATTCCAACAGGAAGCATCCATTATTTCTCATTGTTTTTATCTTTGTTTTCTTCTCCCCTTTCATATAATAGAAACTGCAATGTATAAGTTCTTTTTCCTCCACTCATTGCGGAGATAACTTTTACAAGTGTGGCAGCTATCATGCATTCTTGAGTTTCAGAAGCCTTCAATTGTATGCTATTGGTCAAGGGATAAGAAAATGGATGTTGGAGGAGTGGACTTTACTAGTGCAAGTTTGGCATCAGAATACTCATGTTTTATGTTTCATCAGAATACTCACTAAGGGCAAGTTTGGCATTACAGGTGTGGCACAAATTTAATTTCAAAGAGAAGTGAGGCTACAGGAGGCCCACGCGGTGAGCAAAAATACACACTAAAATATTTAGTTATAAATGGAAATTTTGATATTTATAAAGTCAAAGCGTTTAGAATAAAAAATGGACAAACGAAAAAAAAACAGAAGGTGAAAGCTGGGAATCCTAATTTCCTAATTTGTTTGTCCACACGGCACGGGTATTCAAGAATAAAATAAATAAATATTTTTTTTCTTCCTATTTTGTTTAAGAAAAAGAGGAAATAAAAACTTTTTGCTTTGAAGGAGAGAAAGACAGCTGACTACACTCTGCAGCAGTGCGCATACTTAAATCTTTAAAAGCCGCTTTCTCTCTCTGTAATCTCCGCCATATCCAAATGGCTTCCTCAGCTCCTCTCTCTCAAACCAAACCCTACCAAAACCTCCATTAATCCCCACAACTCCTTCATCTTCCTTCTCTCTCTGTCTCTGTCTCTCTCTCTCTCTCTATATATATATATATATACATATCTATTTATCTACCTACGCTCACTCTCTCTCTCTCTCTCTCTCTAGCTACATATCTACAATGGCTTCAACGCCTCCACACTGTTCAATCACAGCGACAAAGCCGTATCAAACCCACCGATACCCACAAAACCAGCACCTAAAATCTCAGCGCCAGAGCCGCCAAAGCAATCAATGGACGAAGCAACAAGTTTCTCTCCCAAAGCCTTTGCCTTTACCATCCCAAGCACCACGCACTGCCGCAAAAACACCCACTGCCACACCCACTTCCTCCTTTTCCTCTCTCTGCCCTCTCCCTCATCCAAAATCCGATCTTGTCACCGCTTTTTCGGGCCGCCGCTCCACCCGATTCGTCTCCAAAATGCACTTGGGCCGCCCCAAAACTACCATGGGATCCTACCGCTCTCCTCTCGCCGAGGAGGCCCTGCACCAAGCCGTCCAATTCGGTAACGACGATCTTGCTCTTGATGATATTTTGCTTAGTTTTCACTCCAAGCTTTGCGGGTCTGATGATTACATTTTTTTATTTCGAGAGCTTGGGAATAGAGGTGAGTATTGGAAAGGGATTCGGTGCTTTGAGTTTGCAGTGAGGCGTGAGAAAAGGAGAACTGAGCAGGGGAAATTGGCTAGTTCTATGATTAGTACTCTTGGTAGGTTAGGAAAGGTTGAGCTTGCTAAGAATGTGTTTCAAACGGCTGTTAATGCGGGGTATGGAAAGACTGTTTATACGTATTCAGCGTTGATTACCGCTTATGGGCGAAATGGGTATTGTGAGGAGGCTATCAGAGTGTTTGAGTCGATGAAAGATTCGGGCTTGAAGCCGAATTTGGTTACTTACAATGCAGTGATTGATGCGTATGGAAAAGGGGGAGTGGAGTTTAAGAGGGTAGTGGAGATTTTCAACGAGATGCTGAGAAATGGGGAGCAACCGGATCGAATCACTTATAATTCGCTCCTAGCGGTTTGTAGTCGAGGCGGGCTGTGGGAGATGGCTCGAAACTTGTTTAGTGAAATGGTGGATAGAGGAATTGATCAGGATATTTATACGTATAATACCCTTATAGATGCGATTTGTAAAGGTGGGCAGATGGATTTGGCATATCAGATTATGTCCGAGATGCCTTCCAAAAATATTTTGCCCAATGTGGTCACTTATAGTACTATTATTGATGGGTATGCTAAGGCTGGTAGATTAGAAGATGCACTAAGTTTATTTAATGAAATGAAGTTTTTGGCCATTGGTCTGGATAGAGTTCTGTATAATACATTGCTTTCACTTTATGGGAAGCTTGGTAGGTTCGAAGATGCTTTGAAGGTTTGCAAGGAAATGGAAAGTGTTGGGATTGCCAAGGATGTTGTATCTTATAATGCACTTCTTGGTGGGTATGGGAAGCAAGGGAAGTATGATGACGCTAAAAGAATGTACAATCAGATGAAAGAAGAACGTGTATCACCTAACATATTAACTTATTCAACATTGATTGATGTGTATTCAAAAGGTGGTTTGTATATGGAGGCAATGAAGGTTTTTAGAGAGTTTAAGCAGGCAGGGCTGAAGGCTGATGTTGTGCTTTATAGTGAACTTGTCAATGCTTTGTGCAAAAATGGACTGGTGGAATCTGCCGTTCTGTTGCTTGATGAGATGACCAAGGAAGGGATTCGACCTAATGTTGTCACTTATAATTCAATAATTGATGCTTTTGGTCGGTCAGCAACAACAGAATGTGCAGCTGATGCTGCTGGTGGCGGCATTGTGCTACAGACAGAATCTTCATCTTCAGTTTCTGAAGGGGATGCCATTGGGATTCAGGTGGGAGATAGGGGGGATAACAGATTTATGAAGATGTTTGGGCAACTTGCTGCTGAGAAAGCAGGTTATGCAAAAACAGATAGGAAGGTTAGACAAGAAATCTTGTGCATTCTGGGCATCTTTCAGAAGATGCATGAGCTAGACATCAAACCAAACGTTGTCACATTTTCTGCCATTTTAAATGCTTGCAGGTATATCTTTTTATCTTTCATGTATGTCTTATTACATTATTGAGGACTGTGTTGCTTAAAGATTCGTTAAAATCAAATTGAGCTGTGCATTACTAGATATTGAGATTTACATGTGGCCTCCGTGTATTGGAATGTCGTTGAGAGTTTTAGGCTACAATGCCCATGATTAGATGGTTGGTTAGGAAATCTAATGTTGAGTACAATGTCAATGCTTTTATCTCTGTTTTGCCTTCCCCTAATCTCTTTGTATATGTAGTCCAATAGTCTCCCAGAATGTATGGCTAATCTCTGTTTCAATGGCCTATAAATGTAGCCGTTGTAATTCTTTTGAAGATGCTTCAATGTTATTGGAGGAACTCCGGTTGTTTGATAACAAAGTTTACGGTGTTGCCCACGGACTTCTCATGGGCTACAGGGATAATGTATGGGTTAAAGCTGAGTCTCTGTTTGATGAAGTTAAGCAGATGGACTCTTCAACTGCATCTGCATTCTATAATGCTCTGACCGACATGCTATGGCACTACGGACAGGTAAGTTTTGCCAATTGAGATGCCACCTTTTCAGGCTTTCATGGTTTTCCCTTTTGCCCATACGAAATGACGTTGATATGTTTTTTTGAAGTGTTTCAATATTTCTCTGTTTTTTTTAATAGAAACAAGGGGCGCAACTGGTTGTGCTTGAAGGGAAGCGCCGAAATGTATGGGAGAGTGTGTGGTCGAATTCATGCTTGGATTTGCATTTAATGTCTTCTGGGGCTGCCCGGGCAATGGTTCATGCATGGTTGCTCAATATACGCTCTATAGTGTTTGAAGGCCAACAACTGCCGAACCTGTTAAGGTTTGCATTTTTTTTCTTCTCATCAAACAAATCACTATTCCATAATATTTTTGGTCAGAAAGTTTAGTGTTCTGGTCGATTCCATGCAGCATTTTGACAGGGTGGGGCAAGCATAGCAAAGTAGTAGGTCACAGCACCTTAAGACGAGCTATTGAGGCGCTTCTTACCAGCATGGGTGCACCCTTTCGGGTTGCCAAGTGTAACTTGGGTAGGTTTATATCAACGGGATCCATGGCTGCTGCCTGGTTAAGAGAATCCGGCACATTGGAGGTGCTTGTTCTTCACGATGACAGGACTTGCCCAGAAAGTGCAGATTTGGAGCAAACCTCCAATTTGCAAGCCCTCGCCTTGTAGTTGTTGTATGTAACATATGACAATTTCTTGTATCCTTCTAAACATGTTTATAAATGTAATATATGTGTTATTATCATATTTTTCTAGCTTGATGCTCACTTTTTTGTATCTGAATTTGGAATTTTGCAGTCTATTTTTGCATTAGGGGATGTAGCCTTCGAAATTTTATGGTCGTCAATGGAATACTTACCCAACAGTGTTTCCCAGAGTCCCTCAGTCTAATTCTTTCATGCCATGGTCCATGAGTCCATGAGGTAACTCAATTCGCATTGGGTGGGTTGGGAACGTGAAAACCCTGTGACTCCTGAATCGTAACACATGCTTGTTTCTAATGTGGTTTGGTGATTGATTTTCTACATGGAAATTAAAGAATTGATTAAACAAAATGTTGGATTAACTGGAAAATGAGAATACAATTTTTTACACTCTCCCTATGCGCAAGATCCCCTTGCGTAACGTATATGCTGAGGCAAGATAGCAAGCCTCAATAAATCACCTAACGTTTATCCACACTAAACACCACCTAAGGTTTATTGGTGTTTTCAGAAAGCTCTTCGTTAATTTTGTCTAAAAATTGATAAATTAAAAAAAATTACTTCTTCAAATGATCAAATTGACCTCAATAATTAAACCTCATGGGTGTGGATATGCAATCTGATTTTTTGGATAACCGATTAGCGCAAGGGGTTTTGTAAAAGCAATTTAAAACCTCAAGAGTCGTCGTAATTTTCAAAACCTCATGGTTTTACTATGAAAACACTAAAATCTTCGGGGTATCAATGTAAATAACTAAATCTTTTAACTACAGTTGATGCCCTAAACAACCTCTCAAGCTAATTTTGATTGAAATACAAATACCTACTGCAACAAAACAGAAGACCCAAGATTAGCAGGAGATTAAAAGAACTAAAAAATAAATAAAACATATCTATAAATTATTGACTTAATCAGAACACATCCCTTTGCTTTACCCTTTCTTCGAGTGATTGTGCACAATATGAAAACTTATTGCAAAAGCCAATCCACCTTAAGTGGATGTAGAAGATATTCAAAAAATTTACTGAATACATGCGATGCGACGACTGATAAACGGATAATATTATGAAAAAAGTACCACGATAATTCATGATGATTCCAACATCACCCACAATAAGAAACATTGCATAATCTGTTATTTTGTAAGTGTAGCTTCAAAACATACATACGCATGCCTGTTGATCTACCGCTTGTGTTGGGGAAGAATTAAGAAATGTAATACCTTTCATGTCCCTAACTTAATCCTATCCTTATGAATCGTCCTGTATGTCACTCACTTCCAAGTACAAGAATATTATCTTAAAATTGCATGTCCATTAGTGTGAAGGCCAAAAATTAGGACATGAAGGGCCTCAACCATGGTGGAAGCTTTTGCTTTTTAAAAAAAATGCAAAGTTTATATCACAAAACCTTACATGCCTACGTCACAGTGAGAGGAAATACCCTGAGTGGCTCTAATTTTCTAAAGCTCTTTCCTAGGCTAAGTTCATCTTCAACCTCGAAACAGCAAAGGCAAAGCAGATCTAATATTTGTGCATTTCCATTAGGCACAAACTGACATTCAGTAAGCCTTCCTTCTCAAAATTGGCCTCCGCACTTCCTTCTTTGCAGTTGTAGTGAATCCGGGTGTTGGTATTCCCACCGTGGCTTCATATAAATCCTTCAACCTTCAAGGTGAGGCATAATAAAAGTAGATAATAATTATAGCATGTTTATGAGAACCAACATGTCCAGAACCAGTCAAAAGTAGGTGTACTAGGAAGAAAAATAACATAGCAAATACCTCGGAATACTGACAAACAGAGCAATCACTAAGACTCCAACAATAAGAGGGAAAACTGGTGCTGGAGTCAAATCCTGTAGGTCATGGAAGTGGAAGATGATAAGGAAACGAATGTTTAGTTAGTTTTTACTCTTAACCCACTTCATAGCCTCACATGCAAAAATTAAATCACCATAAACAAGAGTAAGCACCATGAAATCAGCAGCAACTAGGTTATATGATGACATAAAATAAGGATAGGGGCTCTATAACATAGGTTAATACCATTGTACATTTACAAGATTCGTTTAAAAACTATTGGACAATAAGTGGAACGAACCTGTTTGTGGTGATCCTCTTCAAACGTGTATCTAAGTGGGCCAACATGTATCTGAGTATGCTTCTCTAAATCGACCTCGATAATCTCAGATTCAAACTTGTGGCTGCTTGACGGAAGACTAGACCGGAGCTGCAGAAGGTGCTTACCCTTAGGTAAGTCCTTCACCTGGAAAAAGTTGGAAAGAGGAAGAGGAAAGACCGACTCAATCCGAGAAACATCACTAGATGATTTGATTTCCACAAGTAGATGTGAATGCAGTTCCTCTATTCTCTTTCCTTCAACGTGGCAACTTAAAATAGTCGTGTCTGGCTGTTCAAAGACCAGAAAATCTAATGCTTTGATATCCTCGTAGCCAACCTACAAATTTAGCAAAATGCTGAAATCAACATATACATATGGGAAGCAACATCAACAAAGGCTATTTTGCCGTCTTCATTTTTCTTCTTCTTTTTCACTGTTTGCATAAAAATTTCTAGAAACTAACCTTGACAGTAACAGATTCTGGTGATGCACGCTCAATTTTAGCGCTACCCAAACCATCTTTTTTTACTACTTTGATTACATAGGTTGTGTCAGGAAGGAGTCCTCTCAAACGATAACTTCCAGATGAATCAGTCACTGTTTCCTCATAAAAGCCCTTTGATTCTGATCTGGCTTCAACTAACACACCTTCTTTTGGTTGGCCAGACAACAAAGTGACCACACCCATGGCACTAGGAAGAGTATAAACCAACTTAGATCTCACAGAAAGCATAAAATAGATTTAAAATTGCATGTTTACACAGTTACACCGTTCAAATTATAGAGCGCTAATTAAAATTCAAAAAAGAGATCACAAAACTCAGACCATGCATGCTCAGAAAGATATGATGCAAAGTAGCATAAGGTAAAATATAAAGTCCATTTGATAAATAAAATAAAATAATTGATTACAAGTCAAAATTACAGTGGCATACTAATCGCCAAAAGTAAACAATAATGACTAAAAAGGGAAGGAAAACAAAATCAATGAGGCACAGTTGTATTACATAAGCTTATACCAAGTGTTGGGGGCTCGATTTAACTTTTATCCAGTCTTGGCAAAGGACAAATCCTAATCACTTCCACGTGGTTCAAAATTCTTACTATGAAAGAGAGAATGGTTTGCCACTGTTCATATGTGTGGAGGCAATAATAAAAAATAAATAAACATCCATATGATCACATATAAGAAGTATGGCTTTCTTGCAAACTAAATATAAGAGAGGACTAATGGAAAACCTGTAAGCCACTCGAGTGGCCTGGAAAACCGCATCTGTAGACTCCCCAGAACCAAGATCTATCGCCAGTGCTGGAGGGGAAAAAGCAAACTCCTACAGGATGTCGGGAACAAAAAAGTCATTCGTCAGGTGGAGTGATTAATTATAACCTTAGCTTTGGGATAAAAGTGAACCATTTAATATTGGGGTTTTAGGGCCCTGTCACTATTGTATCTTTTTATGATGACCAGTCTTTTGCAGTGGCGGATGTAGGATTTAATCTTTAAGGGGAAAAACTTACACTCTAATGATACAAAAATTTATGAGAAAAAGAGAGGCAGGGAGCTAACTAGCTTGTAAATCATATTAACAAAACTCTGAATTTCAAATTTCAAAGACAAACCAGGTTCAAAAAACCCATTGCACATAGTACTGAAAAACTTGAATTTTGAAAGTAGAAACCAAATAAAAAATACTGTCCCGCCTTAAATGGTTAAAGTTGAAAACTAATTGGACTAAGTAAACTGGTCAAAAGATCTAAGCCTGAACAAAAATGGCATTGTATTTAGACTGAAATATATATATATATATATATATATATATCCTACGGGAATGTATAATTAGCTTAAATTTTTTTTTTTAGTTCCAATGCTTTTTTAGCCACATACTCGGTGGAACTGATTTTTCTTGTCATATATTATTTCCAAACAAAGGTAAGCACGCACATTAGATTACTTTTGTTCTAAAACTCGTGTTGAAACTTTAGTACTGAACTGATTAACCAAATGTATTTTAAACTCAGAGCTGTGACCGATCACAAAAACAGAATAAAATAAAACACTCAGAGCTGTAAAATGAATGATGCTGATTGTTGAACCAATGTCTTGTAACCTCAGAATGCGTTCAAAGTTACTTAACTCGTACATTCTGAATATCCAAAACAAGGACTTTAAAAGAAAGAGTGCAGAATAGGAACAAAAATAAAATAATTAGCATGAGCTTTTTATTTGGAATGCATATGCTAGAAGGGTACCTTCAGCAGAGGACGGAGATAGAAAGTCCCAGGAAATAAGTTATTAAAGAGGAAGGTTCCACCAGCTCCAGATACTGAGTTGTTTCTGTAGCCATCATCGCCACTCAAAGATAATAACACTGAAGGAATAGGCTCTTTAGCATCATCTTTAGAATATATATTTACGGAAATTTGGCCAAGCTTCTGACAAGAAAAGGAATGAGGGCCAACTTTTTTTAAATGATAGCCAGGCTGCACAAAATGAAAGACATTAGGATGATAGCAACGAATTGCAGTCTCAAGTATGTCTTGTATTCAGTTCAGAAGTGAAGATAATATTAGTTCATTCCTGTCTTAATCATTAATACCACAAATATAAAGTATGTCCCAACTATTCCCTCAAATTATGTGTACTTTGACCATCTTAAGGCAAAACCAATTTGCATTGCACTACACCAGGAAGGGAGAATCTTAATGCAGGAATAGAGATATCAACTTGTCTTTTGTTCTTTATTTAACTCATCCGTATTAAGAAAAATAAAAGACGTAAGAATAAGCACAAATATGTCAAAAAGATATATGACGGTTGGATCACAAGTTTAGCTAGGGAGGTTTTTATGGACAATCTTTAGGGAATGCCTACAAACAATCTATCAAGTTATATCTCGAGATATATTAGCAGTGAAGGCCAAGGTCTCCAAAATCTGAACTACTTACATTATATATCTCTTAAGTTGCTTTTATGGATTTTCCTCTAAAACATGTTTAATCCTCATAAAATCAGTAATTATTACAAAATAAACACCACCAAGAATCCAAAAAATGAACAAAGTACAAAAACATCTACCAAGTCATCAATATTCAATGCATCACCTTGACAGAACACCATGCAGAATACTTTATTGCATAAAGTAAATTAATGTCATAACATAATAGATGTCCAAACCTTGGAAGCCTCAACACTGTATGTTATTTCATCATATAAAGGACCCCCAACAAAGGAACCATCCTTTCCCGTAGTAGTTTCAAGTACTAATTCACCGTCCTTAAGTTGAGCAATGCGGCTATCTCCAGCAGCCAGAATCTTAATATGAACACCAGAAAGGGGGGGAGAGACTGATCCTTTAATATATAAACCCAATCGACCAGAGAATGGAGGGATTGAAGCTTGACAACCATCATTTGTAACTACGACCTGACGAAGAAAAGTTTTAAGATTAATCTTGATACAACATAATAGAGACTTCTATTTCTATAGTTAGAAAAACTAAAAACCAATCCATACATGATGTTGTTTGGGATAAAACAAGATCTTCCCCATCTCATTATTTCTGCAAAACATCACAGCTCATGTCATAAGCAAAAATTGTGAAATAACAGCAAATCAGCAACACCGATGCGGTACTAAGTTTTCTTAACAAGAAAAAGTGAGTAGAACTGTGAAAGGATAGAGTAACAATTAAGAAACTAATCAAAAGACATACTAAAAGGACGATATTATTGATGCATCTCAACATTTGAGATGTACAAGAGCTATAAATAAGCAGTACAAAAAAACTATGCACCTTGAATCCTGAGGAACGAAGGTAAGTTTTTCTCCGAGATTGGCCCATACAGAATATTCATACACAGCAGCACTTTGGTCATTTTCACTGGAAGTAAGTCTAGCTGTGGTCCCATCTATAATACTGCCCCCGCTACTTAGAATGTCGACAATGAAATTCTCAGGTAGCTCATTGACACCATCAAACGAGCTTGATGCAACACTGATTTGTCCTTTAAGAAGATACTTTTGTCCTTTCAGATAAATAGGCTGCAAAATGAGATAAAACATGTGAGGTGAAGGAGATTCTACTTAAGCAAGGTCACAAAAGAATGAATTTTTTTATAAAAAAAAAAAAATGAAGAATCAAGATAAACACCTTACCGATGGGTTTAATGTATCAATCTCAATTGATGAGCTCCCAAAGAAAACACACGAGTTGACAAAATGAAGTTCATGCACTCCAGGATATTCTACACAAATATTCTGAGAACCTTTCTGCAGTTCATAAAGAGGAGAATAAATTTCACACGCTGGTGCATTTGTGTCTTCATTTAGTTCATCTGGGCTTATAAATGAACAGAGCAAACCTTAATTTTCAAATTAATGGATGAACCATCTGGTAGAGTCATATAAGCATCTACATCATGGGTGGAAATGGCATTGACCCAGTAACCTTTTTGAACAAATTCAATTCCTTTAACGTCGTCAAGACCAACATCCACATCAATGAAACTTTGCTCCCAGCACCAATTATCTTCTACAGCTGCAGGTTCTTCTGAATTGTGTTTGACCTAAAGTAACAACAATCATCCAAAGAAAAACACATGTCTAAATCAATGGCATTTATAGCAAGTCAGTGCTAATTCCGACATGCACACCTTTTTGCTCATCTCACAACTACTGTCTGCAGCACAAAATACTAGTTAAACACAATGTTATGGGCAGAAGACAAGAAATGTACCTCAAATCTGTATTTCCCAGGGATGACGTTTTGAAAGAGAAATTCACTACTCTTATCAGTCAAACTAACAGTCCTCTCTTCATTTCGTTTACCAGCTAAACCAACAAGGGTAACAGAAACAGAAGCACCACACTTCTCCTTGCAGGCTACAGTACCACGCACATTGACCAATGCCTTAATTGTACAAAAAGAGGGGGAAAAAAAGGAAGGATCAGAAAGAAATATCTTAGTGATAAATTAAACATCTATCATAAACAAGCATCTAAAATCATCAGAATTTATTGTTGACTAGATTTTGGTGTCCATAATCATATCATCTGTTCTAATAAACTACTAGGCAATGAAATAACTAGACCACCAACCAAATCAAGCTGATGCCAAGATATTGTATTATGGCAGAAGCATATTTTTATGAGAAAGCATTGAAGACCCAATGATAGAGAAAATAAAAGTCATTATACTTTATAGAAGAAAAAAAAAAATCCATATAATTTACATAAGTTTACCTGAGAAAATTTCACGTCCAATAATGGACTTTTGACCACAACATCGATATAAGATGGCAAAAACATTAGACCAGAAGCACTCTCAGGCGAAGCTGCTAAAGCAGATAAACGATATTCACCAGGTGGAACCTGGGCAACGTAAAAGACAAAGGTGAGGCAAATTTCATAGGTAATGGGGTTAATTTTTTATCTTGATGCATATGTCAATTAATGACTGTATGAAAGCCACCAAAGTGGAAAACAAACAAAAATGAAATACAGCAGAAAAAATCAACATACTAAATTTATAAATACTCGCAAAGAAAGGTCCCAAGATCAGTTCTCATTTGCAGTTGTACTTCTATAGCTTATCAACTAATCTTATAAAAAAAATGACTAAGTTGGTACAAAGCATTTTTTTTCTTTTATAGGAAGTTCAAAAGAACTTTAAGCAATCAAAAACACAAGATAGCAGTAACTTGAACCCAGTTCCAGTTATTCGTTGCTTCAAAAATATACTAGGATCAGCCCATTAACCAAACAACTTCACAAAACTTCCAACACCAGTCGCATATAAAATAAATGAAAAGGAGATCAAAGTAATTTAGTCCGGCTTTGAACATAAGAACTGGGTCAGTTATCCCTCTTCTCTTTCATAACCTTAGCCACCTCAATATAAGAAAAGAAAGTACAAGTCTCTAGATATGCCCAGAAACTAAAGAGCACCTCCTTATTGCACATAAAGATAACATACCTCAAAGCAGAAACTTCCACTTCCATCAGTCTGCTTCACTTGAGGTTTGACATTTTCAGGGCCATGAGTCAAAGCTACCTAGAATATAAATGTGACAAATATTAATCCTGCACATAACATAGAAAGAAGAGCATAGTACTGATTTTACCTTTGCCTTGTAACCAGAACTAGTCATCTGAACCACACCACAGACATCATAGGAAACTGCTTTAATATCCACAACTGAAGCCATGTTCGGTAATACCTGGATCAGCAAGCAAAGTAAGATAAAACACAATTCATTATGATAAGAAAGTCAATACAATTCACCTAGTTAAATGCAGAATATTGAACATTGTAGCTTCCAACACAAAAGGATGGTACCCTTGCTATAGAATCAATACAAAAGTTCAGAAATAGATTCTCATAAAATATTCTACCAAATAATCGTTCAAACTGCTGAACTTGTAATGCTCTTTTGTGGCTTCTATTGCATAGCGATTGGAAGTAACCTGAAACATTGAACAGCTAAGTAAGCTAAATTCAATAGCAAATGACAATAACAATAGTATGCCATCTAGTTTGGATAGAAGGTGTTGGAAGTTGGAACTATCAAGGATGCCTTCTTGTAAATCTTTTGAAAGGAAGTTGGTTGCGATCAATTTCTTTCTTATTTTTATCCTGCTCCTTTGATTTTAAAGGCCAAACCAAGGTACATGTTCTATCCTAGATAATTGCCCACGGTAGGGCCATCACTTGCGATATGGCTGAGGAGAAGAGTTAATGCTTGCCTTTCTTTACATTTGTGTATCATGTGTTCGGATGAAGCTAGAAATGCACACAATTGTTTATTTATCGCCCCATTGCATTAGATTTATGGTGGAGGAATAGGGAAGTTGGATTAAGTTGGGTTATCCCCACATCTCCTAGAACGCTCCAGGAATGGCTAATAGCAAGCACCAAGGCACTATTAGCCGTTCCTTGAGCAATTATATTGATCATCTGTTTCTCCATTGCCTAACGCATTTTCATTGTAGAATACCTTCGTTTGTTGAGAAAGAATGTTCCTTTAGGGCCCGTTTGGTTCATGGATTCAACTTCTTGGGAATAAACTTCCCATGTCTAATCCCACGAGACAGGAATGGAGGTCCCACGACACGGGAATGCTGGGAAATGAGGACTAGGAAATGCAACTATATCCCATTCCCAAGTTTGGTTAGTGCAGTATAAGGAATGAAAAGTTATCAAATTTCCAACAATACCCTTGATTTTTTAATTATTAAGGGTTAATATATGAAGAGTTTTTTTAAGGGTCAAAAGTGGTATTTAAAAATAATAACATGGGTAAGTTAGTCCAAAAAACCTGTATTAAATGCTTTCCCAAGTGGGGGGAAAAATTTCCCAAGGTGAGCCAAGGGTATGAACTTCCCCCTTACATGGGAAGTCCATACCCATAAGTCCTAATTGCATTCCCAAGAGTTCACTTACCAAACATGGGAATGCAATTTGAAACCCATTCCCAAGCTCCAAAACCTTGAACCAAACGGGCTCTTAGTGGAGATAAAAAGGCAGAAGTGTTGTGGAAGTTCTATATAATAGATGCTTTTGGGTGGTTTGGTTGGAATGAAATGCTAGAATCTTCCAAGGAAAAATATAGTCAGATTCATTGTGGAGAAGAGTTTGTTATTGGCTTCAGTCTCTTTTGCATTTAGAGATATATCGTTCATTGTTCATGGGATTGGGGAGCTGCAAGTTGCTGAATTTTTTGGGCTTTTTCAATATTTTAGTGTGTAATAAAGAAAGCTAACAGGGAGGAAGAAAATAGATGCATAATTATACCTGGTCAAGCTTGTAATACCCTTGTTTGTCAGTGATGGACCTTTCATGACCATCAACTATGATTCTAACACCTTCAACTCCTACATCATTTCCATCAACAACACGGCCACCAACAGAAAATCCAGTGACCTACACAACAAGAATAGAAGATGACGCTGTTAAATATATGCTAACAATCACAACACACAACACAAAAATAACTAACGTTAGCAAACACAAATAAATTAGATAACATTTTCAAATGGATGCATGGGCTGCCAATTGTTTAATCCAAATGAAATCAGTATGAATAACATATTTGTTTAATATGTTTATAATGTTAGCATGCACAAATTTGCTATATGATGGTTCCACATTGATGGATGGGAAGCCAATCAATAGATTTAACCCAAACGAAGTGAGGCTATGTGACTTATAACCCAGTTTAATCTTGTTAAGAAAATACAAAAGTATTTAGAGAAGACAGATTGTGAAAGGAAAACTACGACATCATCAAATTGCCTGAATAACCTTGTAGGCCATTATGCACCTTACCTGGAACTTTTGGGGAACTGCCACATGTTGATGCTCCACAATTACTGACATGACAGGAGGTGAAACATCAAATACTGTGTTTTCCCCCTTGTAGTAAGGTATGAGCTCGTATGTTCCTGCCAATGATTCAACGAAACTGAGCACTAGGTTCAACTTGAAAGCAGCTAAATTGCTGAGATGCATATAATGAGCATTTTTCCATGCAAGGAAGAGGACTTCAAACCAGATGAATCTTGAAATTTCATCAACTGAATAAGGTGGCACAGTAACTGAGATTTGTAATCAATACTTGGTCCACAAAATAAGGTAGCCAAGACATTGATTACAGAAGAAAATGATATAGACATAAATCTGAACGTAAATGCTCTACCCTTTGTAGGAAGATAAGACTCATGCGGCCACTACACCTTCTTTTAACTTTTTAAGGGGGTAAGTGGTGTCCTTTTGTCTAGAGACCAAATTTTGATATTAGGTTATCATAGGACAAAACCAAATTGTGGTTCTCTGCAAAAGTTGCAAGCATCTATTCGTCTGAACTACTCTTTCCTTCAACACATTAATGTTTTATTTTATTTTATTTTATAAAAGGAACACAATAATGTTTAATATTATTCACTTAGTTGTAAACGAAATGCTAGATGCAGTTCCTGTATAGTTTGCTGACCAAAGACTTAAGGGTCTGTTTGATAACCATTTCAATTTTAGTTTTTAGTTTTTAGTTTTCATTTTTTATTTTTCATTTTTCATTTTTCATTTTTTGTGCTAGAGTATAGAGGAAAAAGGGGGAGAATGGAAGTGAGAATGAGAGTGGAGATGAGATTGAGAGGGAAGATGAGAGGGGAGGATGGGAGGGAGGAGTAACAAAAGTGAAAACAAAAACTAAAAATTGAAATCTATTTGAAATTGTTTTCACTTTCAAGTTTTTGTTTTAACTTTTGTTACTCCTCCTCATCTTGACCTCCCATCCTCTCTCTCAATCTCATCCTCACTCCCATTCTCACTCTCATTTTCCTCTATACTAGCACAAAAAATAAAACTAAAAACTAAAATTGAAATGGTTATCAAACGGCCCTAAAAGTATACTCTTAAATTATTCAAATTACATGCACCAATCAGTTAAAATCCCAATGGTGCATCTACAAATAATATGTAATCAAACAATAATAATACATATAGGATGAATAAGCAGAAAGGTAAAACCCAAACTGAAAGGATATGAGGAAAAAAGGCTACCGAAACTGTGATAATAGAACAAATAAACAGAAAATATATAGAATTACCACAAGGTATTGATCTAAACACAAACATCCCATGAGCATCAGATACAGCATGGCAGAGCGCCTTCCTCATTCCAGAGGCAGTACCAGAACCTTGGGGACAGTCTACCTCTAAGACGTCATCCGAGTATAAATAAACGTGAACTCCCAATATTGGATTTCCCAAAAAAAAAAAAAAAAAAAAAAAAAAAAATAAGTAAATATGCTAGAAGTCCAATTTCACCTGATCACCGCATTAGGGGAGCTCACATAAATTAAGAAATTTTTGTATTAATGGATAGATTTCTCAATGTATTGGACAGAAGATATTTAACATAGGGACTTGTTGAGAAAGCAAATTGTATTTTGCACAATTGTCATCTCTAAAGTAACATTTTTACCTGAGAAACAACAAATCCACGAATATCGTACCCAGGGACATAGAAAATGTCGTCAACTACGCCATTTCCGAACCCCAATTTCACCTGCAAGAAGCATATTATTTCAACATAAGTGGCATGTAAACTTGTAAACGCTTATCAATGGCAACATAATAGGATCTTATAAAACCAAGTAACAAGTACAAAGATCACATGGGGAATTAAGGGGTAAAGAAACACAACACACCAGGCCAAAAGGAAAGTAAAACAATCTTGGCAGGAAGGAAAAAAACAAACCTCTGTTGAACCTCTAATTTCAACTTTCAAGTCAGGATGCGAAGCACGTAGTTCATAGTTTCCTGCACCGAAAAAAGGGTATGATAAGAAAGGTACGATCTGCAGTAAAATTGATTAATGGAGAGAGAGAGAGAGAGAGAGAGAGAGAGAAGGAAATCTTTATAATATAAAAGAAAAATTAATAAGTTTTGGAAATCAAATCACAACTGGTGAAATGTGCAGACATCAGAAAAACTTGTGAATGGTGATATAAACAAAAGCTCAACTTTTGTACCTGGAGTAATATTTTTGAACAAGTAATTCCCCCCTGCTGATGTTAGAACAGAAGAAACAACATCACCAGTATCAGACAAAAGTTCAACTTCAATATTTGAAGGACCTCCATTTTTAACAGAACAGCTCCCTCCGCCAACAGCTCCCACGACTCTACCAGAAATTGAGAACCTGCCACATATAAACAAGGTATTTTATACGGAAAATCCAAATCAAGCACAAGAACAGACAGATGCTTCCAAGATAATGAAAACTCAAATAAGAACAAAAGGAGAAATTGAAACAAACCCTGTAAACCGAAAATTAATATCTTCACTACCATTGCAGCCGGTATGATCAACAACAACAGGAACCTATAAAATACTACTATTGTCAGATCTTTTGACAAGCAAATTCTGAGTCGAAAGGCCATGTATGGGAACATATATCTATCTATATATATATATATATATATATAGAGAGAGAGAGAGAGAGAGAGAGAGAGAGAGAGAGAGAGAGAGAGAGGATGATGCTTGGGGAAGATTATATAGATAACAAAAAAGTTAATAAACCTTTTCTGGGTTCCATGACCATCCATCTGGCCCATTGATTTTAATTACAAAAGAACCCTGCATTAGAAATAATGGCTATGAGAAGCATTGAAGATCAAATGAAAACACAGAACGTTTCAGATAAGTATGGCTTTTGATGATCTCCGCTAATCATGTAGTATTTTTACAACAACACTAGAGCATGAGCATGTAATATAGCTTCCAAACTCCATAACACAGACTCCATAACACGAAAAGAATAACAATAAAAATATAGCAGGAATAGAATGGCATACACAAACACAAAGACATGGAATTGGTACAAATCCTTAAAATTCATGCATTAACATAAGAAATACCTTGTCATATACGGGAATGAAGTAGTAACCATTTGGAGCACATTGAGTACTATCCTTCAACAACCCATCAACTGTCCTAAGCTCAACCTAAATTCACAATCAAGAAGACATGAGTGCTTTATGCCAACTGCCGTCAAACCCAACAAAGAAAATCAGCCAGTAATTCCAAATTGTTACCGTGATGTGAGAATAATCCAATTTAGCATCCGTGGGCTTCCTCGCCTTGATCAAAGAAGAGCTAGCCTACAAGTTTTTCAAGTGTGATTGTTTGATCAGGTATAAGGGTAGAACCCACAAACTCCAACGGCAAATAAAACGAAGAGAAGGAAACTACAAGTGACTTTACCTCGACGAAGCCCCCACAACCGTGGATTGAATCGGCGAAACTGGTAGAAACCCAAGAGATTGCGACGAAGAATAATAAGAGAGAGGCGTCTTTGATGCCCATTTTGCACTTGTGGTTTGGACTTCAGAGATTGGCGAGAGCCGAGAAGATGTGTCTCTCTGAAATCAACGACACAGATCTGGTAATTTACACGAGCTTCATATCATATAATAAAACAATGAACCAGTCTAGAGAGACAGTCCAGAGAGTCGAGTGTTTCAGTCCATGAGAGGGGTTAAGAAATCAGAATAACGAGTGTCAATGCCCATCTTTGTAATTTTCACAAAGTGTGGGGCGATGTTTGAATTTATTGTAATTGTTGATATACACTTTGAAAAATTAAAAACTCCAAACTTTATTAAAATAACTTTTCAAAAAATTAAAAACCCAGCAGCCCCTCCCCGACCCGCCGCAACCCCAACCCCAACGTCGCTGCAAGTAATCTCCCTCTCTCTCACTCTCGGGGGTTTAATTCTGTCTAATGGCTACCGACGGATTCAGACGGCTACAGGTTTCTTCAGCTCCACCTCGAAAAATTAATGTCCAAAAATTTGCGGAATCACGAGCTCCGGAGCTTGAGACGCTCCATACAATTGTATCTAATAGAGTGAACAATGATTTCCGGTCACGGAGAAGCAAGAGAAGAAGAACCACCGCGTACGACAATCAAGCCGCTAAAAAAAGATGCAGAAAGAAGCGAAAACTTGGACTTGTTGATCAGGGCAGCAATGCTTTGCCTCCAGAGAAAGACGAAAAGAATGTTCCTCGTCGCATTCGTCGGAGAACTGAGCTTAAAATGAACCTTGAAAACGGTTTCTGCACATCAGGGGATGGCACCAAGAGGCTTAGAACACATATTTGGCATGCGAAGCGGTTCACAATGACAAAGCTTTGGGGTTATTACCTTCCCCTGGGTTTGCAGGGCAGGTAATGCATTACCAATTTACTTGTACATTTACATTTTTCGTTGAATTATTGTTATATTTATTCATAAAATGAATGTCCTTAATGTAGAGGACGGGGGTCCAAAGCTGTCCTGAAGTGGTTCAAGGATGGAATGCTTGTGCATGATGCAAGCTATCATGTAGCTATCCAATTGGAGGGTCCGGAGGCAGGCATTTACTTTACTTTCTATTATAAACTCATTTATCTCTTCTTTTTCCCCTTTATTTTTTGTTTTTTCTTCCAAAAAATGAAAAAGTGTTGCAATATGTTCTTTTTCCTTACTAAATTTTGATCTTATCTTATTTCATATGCATCCAGGATTCATTACTATCAGTGTTAGAAATGGTGATGGTGCCTTCTTCATCAGCTCGTTCTGTTATTTCTGGTATCATATATGACAGTGCTATGGTAAGCTATCCAGTTGTATTTTTCTAGTAAGCGTGGATGACTTGAGATATTAATTTTATGACCCGTTTTTGCAGCTTCATCATTTGGGAGCACCTTTTTCAACCCCAATTGCTCCTGTGACCTATATGTGGCGGCCTTCTGGCCCACCAAGCGATGGATGTAATGGACTAGAGGGTACAGAGAACTCTTCTACCTTTCGCCAGCTTTGGGTGTGGATACATGCTTCTGTTCTCACTGAAGCCTATCATACTCTGAAATTAGCTTGCCAGAAAGAGGTACAAACGCTTAATCTCATCTGACTTCACTTTGAAAGCATCTGGAGTCTGTGTCTAACTAAGTTTTTTTTATTTTTTATCTTCTCTTGTTTTAACTTTTACGAATCTTACAATAGGCTGTAGTGGTACTGGTTTGGCGTTTAATTTGTGAGCGAATAATGATTTGTTGCAATATGAAAACTTTTGTCTACTTTCATGCTCTGTATATGATGTTCATGATAAGCCAACATTATTTTAAAATGTGATTCAAGTGGTTTATGTTCAGTGCTTTGTTGCAAAAGATTCGCCTCTAGTCTAGAGTCGGAAGATTTCATGTCAGAAAAGAAAACTCATTACTGTTAGATGCTTACCGCATGTTCTCGATATATTATTTGCTGTTATTAACTCCATGCATTTTTATCTCAGATGGATAACAGGGATATCTTGATTAATTGTTTCTCACTTGAGGGTCAACTTGCGAAATTAGAAGTAGTGGGATTAAAAGCATTTCAACTCCTTCAAAGGACATTATGCCCTACCACAAGGTGAGTTACGGAAAGAATTTGATTCATTAACCAAATAATGAGGTTAAAGATGGCTAATGGTGTTGTCTGGCTGAACAGGATTAGAGATGATTCTTGGAATTTGATGAAACATTCAGTTTCTGAGGCCAAAGATGATTCCCAATCTAAGATTATACTTGAAAAAGAGGACAGCATTCCTTCTCATGCAATCTTGTCTCTTAATGTCAAGGATCCTCGCACATTAACAGAGAAGGAAAAGATTGCATATGCTCCAGAATCAGGCTCTACTAGTGTACTAGGTGATGTTCTAGGAACTGAACGCAAAGAGCATGTTGTCTTTGGAAGATTTTCAGACGAGCCTGAAGGTAGTGGCATGCTCGCAGAAAAAAGTTTGTGGGACGTTAGCAGTGGAGTAAGTCCTCCAGTGGAAGAGGAGGTTATTTGCAAGGAAAAACATGACCAGCATAAGAATTTCCTCTGCCTCGATGATTTGAGTTCAGGGGCACTAAATACTTCAACCAAGTCTCCATGCTCAAGATCTTGCCCTATTATGCTGTTGAAAATAATAATGGAAGGGGCTTGAATATTGGGTAAACTCCTTTTCTCCTTGCTTATTCTTCATTTAGCGTTATGTGGGTTAAATCAATTGCTGCATAATGTTATGTTCTTGTATTAATGCTAGCTCTTATGTTTGGGTTTCGGTGGACACGATGTCCTCTGAATTGTATGTTTGTATTTTTCCACTTGTTAACATATTATGTTTCTCATAAGAAAAAAAAACTGTAGAGTCTCATGCTTGTTTGTAATTCAGGTATATTAACAAGGTCCATATCTATTTCTTATCTGATGCATGAAAATCATGACTTAAATGTTTACTATTGGCTCTTTGTGCAATAATTGATAACTCATATTTGAAGTTCTGAATTTTATGGGCAGCAGAATGTGACAATCAATTTTTCTGACCTGCCTTAAAATGACATCAGTTCGTCAATTTTTTCTATTGACTTTTGATCTATTTGTATAGTTACCTTAGAATTCAATCTCTTATTGCCTTACAGATGGTCTGTTATCCTCCCCTTAAGCTGGGTCAGGGCATTTTGGATTTCTCTTGTCTCCAAGGGGGCTCATGCAATGGGTTTGAGAGAGAAGCACTTGATTTCAAGTGAAGTAAGCATGTGAACTTCGTATCTCTAATATTTAATATCAGGTTGTCAAATGTCACTTGTAAGTCTCCTCTCTTTTGCAGGTGGGGTTGCCATATTTTCCTTCGGATTTTCCTGATTGCAATGCATATTTATGCCTCAAGGAAACTGAAGCTGTTGCCTCTAGTCTTAAAGAGGAACTTCGTCCTCCAGCTAAAAGGCCTTTGAGGGTTCCCATTCTACCCCCATGGAACACTATCCGAGCTGCTTTAAACGAAGGATCCACTACAGTTGGAGAAGATGAAATTTTTAGGCAGGAAAATGGCGTCAGAAGCAATTCATCATCTAACTCGGACTGTGGACTTTCTGATCCTACATTAACTGCCTGTCTAGGTAATTCATTTGATGGTTCTGTAGCACGGACGTCTGTTTCGCTGACAAAATTCTTGAATGAAATTCAAGGCTGTCATTTACATCTATGTCCTCACGTGGCGGATAAACAGACAAGTTTTACTAAGTTTATGAGGGATGAAAGCAAGCTTGGGCTGGGCCAAAATGTGATTAACAAATTGAAGTACAATCGCAAATTATGTTTTGTTAGGGTATTACTGCATGCTTACAAGGAAGGTTTTCTTGAAGAGGGAACAGTCGTTTGTGCACCTCAACTGACTGACATATCAATGTGGAAGAGGTAGTCCTTTTTGCTTTGGACTTTTTATTCTGAAATTTTGTGATTTGTTCCTTACATTGATATCCTATTTGCTTCTTATGATTATATTAGCACTTGGCGGCACTTGTAATTTCCTCCGTCTTTTATTTTCTATTAGAGTTGTCTTAATGTGTTGGTGGTTGATAAGTTGATCGAATGTGTCTGCTCTAATGTGCCTGGACCATGATAATGGCACTATAGTTTGAGAGATATATTGACTTATGTTAGGTTATGCCTCATTACCATCAGAACTTGCCTTGATGAAAGTTTACTGAAATTTAAATGCGACCATTGATAATTGTAATCTTGGGAGTGGCTTGTAGGTTTTGTGGCTATTTTTGAAAGATATTTATCTGTATTTCATAGTAATATCCATGCTGCAGACCAATAATCTAAAGCCTTTTTAAATATAAATAAATAAATAAAATAAAATAGCATCATGTGTGTCTTGCAGGTCAGAGTTTTTCGATGGAGGACTTCAAATGCCTCAATCGGCTGTGACATCGTACTTCAAAGAGCAATCTTCTGGTAAGTGGGAACTCCAAATACCAGAGGACACTGTTGGTAGAGAATCTCATCGTTGGCCAATAGGCTTTGTCACCACTGGTTTCGTTCGAGGGAGGTTAGTTTACAGTCCTCCTGCTACATCACAACTCCCAGCTTTTGTTTCTATTGTTCTATACATTTATTTTTTTTGTCTTGACTATGTCGCGTTGAATTTTATATGCAGCAAGAAGCCGGTAGCAGAAGCTTTTTGTGAGGCAGTTGTACTTAATCGTCTTAGAGAGGAACAATGGGATTCGAAGCCAGCAAAGCGTAGACGAAAGGAAATTTATGTCCTTGTCAGGAATTTGAGATCTTCAGCATATAGACTTGCTCTTGCCACCATTGTTCTGGAACATCAAGACGAAGACGTGGAATTCATGTGAACTGCGGCAAACTGTGGAGAGAGAGCATAGGTTTTTTGTTTTCTAAAGTACCAGCAATCTCCGATATGCTTATCCAATGCCATTTTTTTATTTAAAATCTAACCAACTCAAAAAGTTGTGATTTAGTTTCCACAAAAAAATGGCATCATCTTTCCAGAGATTACGGTATTTTTCATTCTGGGTTTTCTACAAGTTTCATCACAATTTTTCTGGACAACACAATTCAGACCAAAAAAAAAGCTCAAAATATTTTGTTTAAATAGGACCTTATAAAAGGTTGAAATTGAAACTCTTTGCAAAAGCAAATCTATCCTCGACAGTTGGTTCTACCAGGAATTTACACCTCAACAAATAATTGCATTACATAAAATTTAAAACAAAGAATCTGAAATCAATAAGGAACGAAGTAATTATGATAATACATTTTACAAATAATAATAGTCGACGAATACAGCTCCCTGAGAAACATCTGCTTATCACTGGCAAAAAGAAAGAGAAACATCTGCTTAACCAAATTGTTTTATCATTTACAGCTACCTCTAAAAGTGGCTCAGAATTCAAGAGCGCCAAGGGGTGAGATGCAGCCTACAGAAGTCCAATTAAACACCATGAATCTTTGTCCCTCAGAGTTTTCAAAAGGAATTAGCTGCACAACAATGTCAATTGCAAGCACAGAACTTGTTACCGCGAAACAAATAAAAGTTCATCAACTAAGTACCATGACTTCAACATAGAAGTCACACAACCATACAGGTAAGATTAAATTCAGACAATGATATCAGCATACACAAACTGCATGCACATGCACAAGGGTAGAGGGATAAAAGGAGAACAGATTTCATCTCTAACAAACGCTGAATATATCCGTAAATGCAAAATGTACTACAAATGTGGCATTGGAAACATCGATTGTCATGCTTAGAGTTAAAAGCAAAAGCATGCCTATCGAAGTAAAATATGCATACCTGCATACTTGCATATTGATACGATAGTAGCCGCATCAAAAAAAAGATGTTGTCCCAACCTAGGTGCCCCAACTTATGCAATCATAAGGTATATGCACTCTTAAAGAACACTAGAGTTGAAGATTCCAATGTATAATTGAAAGTGAAAATGCATTAAAATCATAGGGGCCTGTTATATGCAGTCCTACTCAGGGGAAACCCTTTCAAGCAAACTCTCAAGCTCGGGGCTTATTTCAATATCTTCTTCCTTCAATCTTTGACGCATCTCAGGATCCAATTTTCCAGCAGCTATGTAAGTCTTAAGCAACAAATAATACTCATTGGAACAGAGGCAATTTAGACGCTTCAGAATCTTGCAAAAGTTCTCAGCACTTTCAACATCTTTCTCTTCTTCAAAATACTTAAAAAATGCACTTGTGGTATCTGGGGATGGATGCCATTCCTCATCCACGGTTTCTGAAACAGCCGCTCCCAAATAGCTAACAGCCAAATCCACCTGACAGTTCTTCAAGAAGTAAAGCATGAACATTTCCCGAGCCTTAAAGAAAGGCCCTTTAGTCCTCTTACAGGCATCTGCAAAGACCAATGCAGCTTCTTCATACATGTCCTGACTGAGGTAACCACGTATAGCAGTATTTGCCAGTCGCATATCATAACTGGAGCATTTGCACTCCCATTCCTCAAAACATTCTTTCAAGCCCTCAATATCGTTTAGCTTACAGAGGGCCTGAAGCATGATAAGATAGCTCATATTGTTGGTTGCTGGGAAAGCTTTCTTGAGGGATTCCCATACCCTTTTGACCTCACCTAGATTAGAAGTGCAGGCATAGAGGCTAATCAAGAAATGGTATGTATTGCGCTGCTTCAGGGGTTTCATCATTTCCTCCGACTTTTTAAGGGCTAGCTCAGCCTTGTCAAAAATCTTAGCCTTTACATAAATCGCAGCCAGGTTACTATATGTTGACCAACTGCATTGGTTTCCATCTTGTTTTTGCATCTCGTCCAGGACTCTTTCTACTCCTTCAAAATCGTTTAAAGACGCAAAGCTCTGCATCCAGATGTTATACGTAAATGTGTCCAGAGGGATGTTCCTCTGCTTCATTTCTTGCACTAAAGGAGCCACTTTCTCTGGTTGCTGCTTTCTCATATGCATAGACATGAGATTGTTAAATACCAAAGAAGAGGAAGCGAACTCCAACTCATCCATCGTCTCATAAAGAGCCAATGCCTTTTCCTCCATCAGTTCCTTGCAATAACAGTTCAAAAGGGCTCCATAAGTAAATCGATCCTTTAAAGACGGCGATAGGCCGCTGAAGTAATCCTCAGCTGCCTCTATCCCTTTCACTTTGGACGTAAGATCCAAACGTATGGCAAAGTCAGCTTTCGAGTAATTCATTTTCCTAAACTCCATCCATTCCATTATCTGCACTAATAAAAACCAAATCAACAACAAAACAAACTACTAGTCATTACCTTGAAATATATTAACCAACCAATAAGCAATGAGCAATGAGCAATGGAATTAAAAATAAGGTCGATTGGAATTGAAACACCTAAAACTCCATAAAATAGCACCAAAATTTGTCAGTAATTTTGAATTTGAGATGAAAATTAAGCAAATAAGAAGGAGAAGGATAGAAGCGGAAATAGGCCTAACCTCTAAGGCATGCTGGAACTTGCGGTACTTGCGGAGCTCCTTGATACACCTCTCGAGCTCGTACTTCTTCAACATTTTTCCCTCCATAATGTACTGATTTAACGTCTTTGCCACGCTGCCTCCGGTGGCTCCCAAAGCCGATAGCCTCCGGTACAGCCTAGTGGGATTTCCAGGCTGACTCCGCGCCGACTCCGTCGCAGCCTCAACCGCCGTACAAAGCTTCCTCACCAGCCAAGTGCCGGCGGATATCGAGCGGCTAGAATTCATTTTCGTCAGAGTTAATTCTCTCTGTCTCAGAGCCAAGGGTTTTGGTAGGGTTTAACAAATCGGTATTTCTGTTAGGATTTAATTTTAAACCTTGCTTCAAATTGGGTGGATTCAAGACGCTGCGTTTTGTGTCGCCATCTTTCTTATTTAAACGAGCCGGGTCATGGGTTGAGGCCCGGACCCGGCCCTGATTGATTATTTAGAGACAAGTCCCAAGTTCCAAGCTTTTGGAATTTCATCTCCGGAAAATGAAGGCTTTGGCTGTTGTTCGTCCCCCAAGCATTTGCCCATGGCCTCCCCAGTCCTTACCCAAATCTCAGTATCTCCGAAGCCAACACTTTCGGGCCTCGTCCTCTTTGGTGGGATTTTTTGTTTTGTTTTTGTTTTGGAATTTCTAATTTTTTATGTTGCATTAATTATTTATTATGCAGATAAAAGAGCCTCAATCCGAAATACAGGCGAAGCAAGAGAAGAAGGGTGGAGTGATGGATGAAGTGTTTCTGAATTTGTTTAGGAAGAAAATGGTGGAGGAAGTTGGATGGGATTCCCGAAAACCCGGATATGATGGACTCGTTGAAGTTGCAAACCGGCTTATGCTCAAAAGTCCGACCAATTCTCACACTAAAGAAGCTGCGGTACTCACTATTCTCCTCTCATTTTTCAGGACTTATTTACATATTATCTCGAATATGTAAATAAGAACTTCTATTTTTCTGCCGATGACCAAGGATTAAAATATTGACCGTGCAGATAATATCGCGCCTCCAATTTACGGATATTTCGGGAGATATATCGTTATCGTTTTAGGTATCGGGAAAAAATCAACAAAAATGACAAATATAGGCATTGAAACACATAATTTTTGTGTAAAACTTTCATAGATGTTATGTACATTATCAATGAATGTATTGAACAAATAAAACTCAAAATTTACTAATAATAAGATACACATATAATGAAATATAAGTGGTATGTAATGCGCATTAATGAAAAGTTTGAAAATAAAATGTTAATTAGAATGAATAAACCATGCATAAATCCATAGTTTGTTTAAACATTGTATTACAATTTAGATAAGTGTCCATCTACATAAATGAAGAGCTCTAATGAGGTTCAAACAATGAGGAACAACCATCTAGATTCATACAATAGTCATACCAAGTCATGTAACCCGAGTAGTTTGTAAGCCATGTTTAAACATGGTGCAAATAGGTCTCTCTTGAGCTCCCTATTGTCCTCTCATATATGGGATAGTTAAGATTAACCAACTAGTAGGTCCATAATTTTTTTTTCATCTTGAGCTCCATAACTAGTTCCACTATAATTAGACATAACATAAACATAGACATCATAAGATTCATTTGAGTTAGTACTAGGTCTAGTTCCTATGCTCATAGATTCAAATTGATCACCATGTCCTCTTCAGATGAATTGGAGATATGTGGGCAGTGAATTGTGCATAGATTCTTCATATTAATAAATTATAGGGTTTTGGGCAAGGATTAGCTATTTTTAGGTTTCAATTTGCTTCAATTGCCTTTAAAACTTCTGAATATTTTTTGGGTTCTATTATGGATATTGGGAAATATCGGGGATATCGGTAAAATATCGGGAATATCGCACTTATCGGGGATATATCATCGATACAGGAGAAGATATGACCTTACCCCCCAGTATCGGTGTTGACAGTTGAAAATACCGATATATCGGCATATATACCGGTGTATCGGCCGATATTTCAATCCTTGCCGATGACAATTTGATATATGTGTAAAAAGTTGTGTTATTTATGAATTAATTTTACATATGTGACAATTTGTGATTTGCGGGAATGTCTCCTTCTAAGCAAGCAATCTCCTTTCTTTTCAGCTGCAAATATAAGTGACATGTATAGTGAATTGGTTCAATAAAAACACAGAGAAGATGATGATGGCCATTAGTGAGTGTTGTTGTATGGTTTGTTGTGGCAGGTGAGAATACTGAGATCCCTGTTTCCACCAATGCTGCTACAACTTTATAAATTGCTAATAGCACCCATACAAGGCGGAAAAGTAGCTGCCATCATGGTTGGTCTGTATTTCCTATACCTCACTCATTTGATATATTATTATTATTATTATTTATCCTTGCATATATATATGCATATGTGATATGTTTTGAACTGAAGCAAGGGTGACTGCAATTACTTGTGAATGGCTCATGGGACCCTGCACTGTTAATTCTGTCGACCTACCCGACGGCACCTCGTGGAATAGTGGGGTGAGTGATGGCCGGTCTGGTCACCTATCCAATATGTATTTCTTTTTCTTTTTTTCTTATGTTTTAAGCTAAGCTCCTCAGATAATGAATGGCTATGGGATGGGAGGGTTTAGGTGTTTGTAGAGAAATGTAAGTACTTGGAGCAAAGCAAATGCGTCGGAATATGTGTGAATACTTGTAAGCTTCCTACTCAGGTCAGTAATTCTATTTTAAAGTTTTCTGTCAAACGCTAGCCGAAAGAAGAAAAACGGTTTTGGTTATGTAGAGGAGGTGATTCTAATTGCATAAAGATGGTTGCTCCAGGCTTTCATGAAAGATTACATGGGTGTTCCTTTAGTGATGGAGCCAAACTTCAGCGACTATAGCTGCCAGGTTAACCCAATACCTCTCTCTACGCACATCATTTCAACATATTGATTCTCCGGCATTTAACTCTCTATTGAACTCCCAATATGGCAGTTTAAATTCGGGATTGTCCCTCCGGTTCCTGAAGATGATGCCACTCTCAAGGAGCCGTGCTTGGACATCTGCCCTAACGCCACACGGCGCAGAGAATTCGCCGGAAACATTAATGTACAGCAATGCCCCAAGGCATGAACACTGCAGCATTCATTTGCAACTGGAGATACGTATATATCATACTACTAGATTTGAAAGGATGTGTCTCTTATGGACATAACTAGATAGTTGTGCAGCTCCTTTCTTGTATCTAAAAGTCTGCTGCTGTAAATAACAATATCCAATTGAAAATAGGCTTGCAAAAAAGATCTCTCGTTTCAAAATTTCCTTTCTTTGGTAACAGCTTCTTCTAGGCCAAGGAACGTATTTATCCTGTGTCATATATTGATACTAGAAGATTGTAATCAAACAAGAAAATAGGACTTATGTTTTCTATTTTTTTGTAATTATATTTGTTCAGTGAGAATTAATTTGTTTTTGTGAATTCTCAAATTGCGTTTGTGGGACTTCCCTGATGTGTTTTTGACAGAGAAGTTTGTGTACCAGATTTAGGGCATCACTCGTTTACATTTTTTTGTCAAACCATTTTCATTCACATATATGAGGCTGATGATGTTAAGCTGACGAGTAACTATTTTTATTTTAACATTAATCTTGAAAATTACTTGTACCAGAAAAACTTCTTGTAACGAGAATAGTATTGTTTTGTTATCACCGGGCAATAATGCAATAACACGTATAAAAGTTAGCATGCCATTGCGCTATTGGCCGGATATAACAAAAAGTATTATCCCCATTGCATGAAAGTTTCTCTCTACTCATACAGATTCACGAGGATCTTTTCAAAAATGATTATAATGTTACAACCAGTCGTGATTTGTGTCCTCAAACAAATACAGATAAACCGTTTGTAATTGAAGGCTTAAATTCATTCGAGGTTTTAAACATTTAAAGTTTATGGTTTAAAACCAATTTGCTAATTTTAGTATTCTATTTTGGGATAACCAATAAACATGAATTCTGAAAAAAATGGATAAGCAAATTAATTTACAATACAACTAAATTGCTGACATTAGGGTTGTACAGAAAAACAAATCATATGTACTCTGCATCTTCCTACTCAACAACCTCTCTTTTTATTAAAAATAGAACATTGAGGAGACATGAGATGCCGTTTGTATAAAGCACTTCATCTGCAACACTCTCTTTCCTTTCCTTTTTTAACATTTAATTTTGGGACAAGTAATTTCCTTGATCTGCAACAGCATGAAAAAGAAATAGAGGCATGACTAGTCTTGCACAGTGTCTAATTGACGCCATTTTATTTGAAATCAAGAAGTGGATGTACAGTCCAATACAAAGCAGAGGTTTGCTGCAAACCAATACACAAGAAATAAAAGAATGGGGCATACACAAAAGAATGTGTCAAACTATGTTACCATAAGTGGTACAAGCACAAAAGATCATCCACCATGTGTGCAGCAAGTCAATCCAGTTAACTAAATTATCTTTTTTAACTTAAAAACACAATGAGAAATTGACTAAATTGATTGATCTAGCTGCAGAAGCCAATTTCTGAGTGAAGTAAAAAGTACAAGCATACACCTAGCAACCAAAAATAAAAAATGAAAATAGAACTTACCAAGATCAACATAATACAGGCATATAAGGACTTGATCTACAACAAAAACAAGAGTTCTCATTATGTGAGAGTGGTGTTCTTCAACTGTATGACTAACAGTCCCAACCAGAGCGCCTCCGACGTTCTCTAGGTTTATCTCTAGAACTGCAATAGAGACAACAAATAAACCTGATCAGCACCACAATTAAATACGTGCTAACATGGACAACTCTAACTGAAGTGTAGACCAGAACATCGTATTAACCTTTCAGAAGGCTTCTGACTTGCATTTTCTCCAGAGTTCTGTGAAGATATGTTTACGACTGATGTCGGAGCAGGAGTAACTGTATTTGTTGCCTGAGTTCTATATATGTCCCCACCAATGGAGCCACCTGATACAAATCCTCTTAATGCTGGTCTCTGGGGAACACTAGAGCTGTTACCTGAACCCTGACTTGGAGAGTTTGATGCAGCAGCAACAAACTTGGTCTTGAACTGAGACATCATTCCTGTCCTCAGAGAAGTTACTGCAGCAGATCGACTAGTAGGAGTATGAGATGAAGAATTACTGGATTCCGAATTATATCCAATACCCAGACCATAATCCACCCCACGCACACCTCGACCGCCGCCGCCGCCACCACCACCACCGCCCCTCCCTCTACCCTTCTTTCCACCTGCAGAACCCGTACACTATAATCATTTGAAATGCTAGAAAAGGCTAATATACTATGTAACGGGCCTCCTACAAGAACCCAGCAAAAGTGAGTATCCTTATCTTGCAAAAGCATCTAAAGAAATAGCAGCGCTATAATATGATCAAAATTTATACCTCCTTTTCTTGAATCACGTTTAGACCTGAATCTGCCATCCTGATATATTACAGGGTAAATCCCATTAAAATAGAGCATGTAAGATCTCACACTAACATCTACGATAATACAAGAAACACAGTAAGGGAGAGCATCAGAAATTCCACACAGGAGACAATGACAGCCTCAATAAAACATAGAGATGCACATACACATAGGAGATAGAAACTGCTACTACCCACGCACAAAAAAACAGCATGAATAGTATTGTAGTGTATGATAGATACGAAACACAAAGCTACAGGACAGATAGAAAACAAACATTAAAATCCTATGGCCGGAACTGAGGACATTCTGCATCAATGGCTCTTGAAATGCAAAAGTATGTAATATTAGTGCATGTGGAACCATATGATAACTGGTGCATTAATGTCTAATAATATGTGACAATATACTAACGGCCTGTTTCTACACGGGGCTAGGAGGTACAGCCTTAAATAGGACTCTCTCCTGCATTTGGTAACACTCGCTTCTTATTTTAAAGGGGCCTGCATAATCTGCTTGAACATAAAACACCGCACTACGCTAACACCCCACTACATAATAAGTCCCTAAAATATTCTCTAGATAGGACTAAGCTGGAGCTTTCAATTAATCTCTATTCTTCAATCCACGCATACACCCCAAGAACTCTTTGTAATGTAGAACTGGTTTACAAGTCAAGATGGGAGTACTACAAACCGTCTAACTATCAAAACTAGGCACTTTTTCAGCAATGGGTAATCATGACAGTATTAAACCAACGATCCATACAGCCCTGTAATTCCAACGACATACTAAAGCTTTTCAAAATGTGGTCTTGAACGACTAAACAGTTCATCAAATCTCAAAGTGCACTACTAATCAGGACCAACTGATGCAGAATGCATATTATCTGTTCTACATCACCAACCTATGCACTTATATAATGGAGTGCACATAAATATAGTTTATTTATGAGACAGACACTTGCAGATGTACTTATCTAGATATTGCATTAAAAGAGAACATCTTAGCAAAGTATTTTCCTGGACTCAGAACATAACGCATTATTAGGATTGCAAAACTATGGTTATGGCCACCAGCTCTAAAACTAAAAGAAACTAACATAGGTGGATGCATACATAAACTGAATATATAAGCCATAACAATATGTTAATAGTACTACGAAATTACCTTCATTGCTAGGTCCATGAGCTCTGTGGAGACATTCTGACCAGCAGCAACCAAGCTATTAACCAATTCACCAGCAAACCGTGCCTCTTTATGAGTTATAAGAGTGTATGCAGTCCCATCTTTATCACCAGCACGACCTGTTCTACCAATTCGATGGACGTGCATGTCCATGTCTTTTGCAATATCAAAGTTCACAACTGACTTAATTGACTTGATGTCAAGACCACGAGCAGCAACATCAGTTGCAATAAGAACATGGTAAATGCCAGATTTAAATTTTTGCAAAATATCCATCCGAGATGCCTGGTCCTTGTCACCATGCAGAGCTGTGACCTTAAAACCTTTCTGGGAAAGCTGTGATTCGATCTCATCCACTGCAGCTTTTTTTGAAGCAAATACTAAAACATCACCCTCATCAATCATTTGAGGTAACCTCTCAAGAAGCCAGGGCAACTTCTCAGCATCAGAAGGAATTACATGAACAACCTGAGTGATATCCTCATTGGCCATTCCCACCTCACCCACTGTAACTCTTATTGGATCAGAGAGAATCTCCCTGGCCAACTTTTCAACTTTACGGGGCATTGTCGCAGAAAAGAGCAATGTCTGCCGGTCTGGCCGAATCTGACCAACAATAGACCTAATTTGAGGCTCAAACCCAAGGTCAAACATCCGATCAGCCTCATCAAGTACTAGGTAAGTTGCCCTTAGCATCGTCAGTGCCTTCATTTTAAGCATGTCTATCAATCTCCCAGGAGTAGCAACAACTATCTCACATCCTGCCTTAAGTTCTTTGAATTGATCAAGCTTAGACATTCCACCGTATACAGCAGAGACACGTATCCCATGTGATTTAGCAAATTTCTTGGCCTCTAAGTATATTTGGTGCGCCAGTTCTCTAGTAGGTGCACATATCACTCCAATAGGACCCTCTTCTTTCTGAAGTTCCGGCTGATCCATAATGTGGACTATCATAGGAAGGACAAAGGCGGCAGTCTTTCCAGAACCAGTTTTTGCAATACCGATGATATCTCTCCCAGAAAGAACTATGGGTAGAGCTTGGCACTGTATAGGTGTAGGCTTTTCATAATCTTGTTTCTTTATTGCACTCATGAGCTGTGAAGAAAATCCACATTCTTCAAATGTCTTAAGTGGCCTGGGTACATCAAAACCCGACGCACGGATGGCCAAGCTCTTCTTGTACTCAGCAACATCCTCCTCACCCATCCCTAAATGAGGAAAACAAAACATGAGTTAATAAGTCTTCATTATGGAAAATCTGCCCATAAACTACATCCTTCCAATTCAAATTTCTACTTAAGAACTTCTACCAATCAAATATTTTCATTGTCATTCAAATTTAAAATATTTGAAGTACATTTCTACTAAATTCAGACCAACTAATTGAATTATTAAAAAAGAAACAAACTTCTCAGTTGCTTGATTGGAATTTACCTGAAATTGACTCTTTCTCCTCGTAAAAATCCTTATTAAAGGGCTCGTAGTCGATCGAACTATGATCGAGAGCGGCAATCGGCTCAATTTTCCTCTTGTCCAGAACAATGGGATTATCATCCGAATCGTACTCCAACATCCCCGCATCGACCGCCTTCGCAGCCGCATAGACCTCCTCGTCGGAGTCGTATCCAGCGTGTAACGCATCGGAAGCCAGCGTCAGCGTCACGTCCTTCTTGGCCCTCAAAAAACTCTCCATAGGATCATCTTCCTCATCGTCCTTGTACTTCTCAGCCTTCTCTTTCGGCTTCGGCGGCGGCGCCGACCTCACCTCCTCGTGAATGCTCTCCATGAACGCGTCAAGGGGGTCAATTTCATCATTTTCGCCGCCGCCGCCACCTTCTTCGTGATTGTTGTTATTGCCAGGGTCCTTGGAACCATCGTTATCGTCGTAATCAATGTTGTCAAGGTCGGTGTCTTCGTAGTTATCGTGGCTTTGTCCGCGCGACGACGGAGGCACGTAGAGTCGCTGAGGCGCTTGCTGGGACCGCTCGAAGTTGAAAGTCGATTGCTTGTTTATGCCAAAGCCTTCGAATCCGAATTTTCTCTTCGACATCTTTGAAAATTTGTAAGGTTTTGTTGCAGCGAAGAAAACCCTAAATTGGTATGTGTGTGTGAGAGAGAGAGCTTGGAAAGGATAAACCCTAGGTCTAGGGTTTGGAATTGGTTAGGGGTTTCAGCTCTGACGAGATAGGAAGAGCGGGTTTAACCAGAAGTAAGCCGGAGGGAGCCAACGGTCGCCGACTATCAACTAAGATTTGGGATCGGGCTAGATGGTTCCGGGTCGGGTGCTGATTGGGAACTGATCGACATTTTTGTATCGGATATCCTTTCTTTTGGGATTCGTTACGTTATTGGGCTTTCTTTTCTTAGCCTGGGCCAGGCCCAATTTCTTTAGGTAAAATTATCCATTAATTTTTTTTCAAATAAAATAACAATTACACCAATTTGTAAAATTATTACAATGGTTACCATTCAATGTTGTAATTGTTATCTTCCTCTGTAAGTTCTAAAGGAAAATTCCATAGAGGAGAGAGGAGGAAGAAGCGTCACTGCCCTCCTCCCCCTCTTCTCTTCTTGTATTTTCTTTTTAGGTTAGTGAATAAGTCCACTTGAGTGGTTTGAATAAAAAACCTCTTATGGTGATTTCTTCTAAGCCATGGTTAGATTGAAGTTCTCCATCACTCCTTTTAGTCTATGTTCTCAATCAAATCCTACTCCCAAAACCCGCTCCCTAACGCCGTTCATGTTCTTTAAATTTGATTTTACATAGTCTTTGACGGAAGTTACTGCAAATCACTCAATTGTTCTTTGGCAAAGTTATTGTTTTCGTTTATTTGTTCGCTCTTATGCGCAGGTAAATCACTGGAAATCTTATTTTCCTCAGATCTGTTATGGATGCAGTGGTGGGTGTGGCCCAGACAGTGCTTCTTCAGATGGTGGTGGTAGGGTTTGTTTAGACTCATGAGTTGATTTAGGGTTTTGGTTATGTTGGGTTTCTGAGCTTTGTCTAATTGTGGTGATATGGGCTATTAGTTTTAGTGCGGCTTTTGTCCGCGTTAGTTTTGCTTTTAGCAAGTTAGTTTGTTGCCCTCTTGGGATAGGTATTTTAGATGTCTTGTTGATATCTTTGGTTGTAACGTTGAAGTTCATCTAATGAAGTTTCTATTTGATATAAAAAAAAAATGTTGTAATTGTTATTTTATTTGAAAAGGACGAAATTAGATTGTTAGAGCCGCGTTAAATCATATTGGTAACTTGACTAGCCAAGCAACTAGAGACAATGTGTGCAGTTCCACATCGACATATTGTAAGAAGTGAGGGCACTCCCTCACCTATAAAAGGAGATCACTCTTCATTTTAAAATGATCATCTCTCTTCTTCCCCATTTTTAGGACCAATCTCTTGTCTGATGTAAACAACTATTATTATAGTGAGAGCATTTCTCTCTGTGAACGTAGCACATTCAACTGAACTACTTACATCTATATTTTTTGCATGCCTACACATGCCTGTTGAAGAGTGTTGCCTATTGATTCACACATCATCCATCAAATACGTATCACCCTAAGTTATGTCCAATTTTGGGCCATCAACAATCTCTAATTAGTCATCACAACAATTAGTTTATAAAAAGCAAACTAAATGCAGAGGTGTTTTTACAACATGTATAGGAGGCAACACACATTCAGGATGATCATCCTCATTATCAAAACTCATATTTATAACAACTAGAGGGCCTCCTCTCTTGGTCGTCCAGAACTAGTGATATTAACTAAAGCATATAAAATTGAACTTAAAATTGATAAAAGCCTATTCACCCCGGCAATCAACTCACACTCTTGCTACTACTTTGATAAGTCTTTGAATTGATTCCACGTCGTCGATCTTGATAGCGGCACGAACCTCCACGATCGTCAATCTCCACCAAGGCATGAACACTCCAATGAAGAGAATAATATGATATGGGTGCTATGTTGATTAGATTCACACGGAACAATCTAATCAACCTAACGATGTTATGTTCAATGAACTCTCGAAAAGATGTTGGTGGAAAATCTCAAGAGTTCATAAAAATTAACTTACTCAACACAAGGGTTTTATGCACAAGGCCAATTTAAGAATATGTGAGTTGTTAATTTTATGTCTACTAAAACAAGGTATTTATTTTACTTAAAACTTGCTTAGGTTAAGACTAGGAAGATGTAAAAAGACCCAATATAATTAGGACAAAGATTTCCTAGAACAAACACGTGAAAATCAAAACATGAAAACTGAAATCAAATTTACACGCTCGAGCGGCAAAACACTGAATGTTCATAAATAGTATCTGTCACGACCCGACTCCCCTAGCAAGATATTGTCCGCTTTGGGCCTCCTCTCTCACAGTTTTGTTATTGGGCTCAAGCTAATGCTATCTTGCCCAAAAGGCCTCTTGCTAGGAAGAGAAGTGCCCACACATATAAGGCACTTCACCTTTCCCTTCTCGAATGATGTGGGATTGCTCACCGTTCTTGTTTCCCCAAGACACAGGTCTTACAATATCTAAGTCTAACTTACCTCACCTAAATTCATATGAAGCCTTGTTTGATGATGAACGGTCAAATATGGGCAACTTCAATCTTCAATCTGCATTTCTCTTGCTTTGCCAACTTCATAACCTCACTCATGACTCAATCTAAAACATTCTAGTGCTTACATAGAAAATAAGCTTAGGCTAAGGAATGCCAATTTACATATATGACACTTACAATATATGATTTAGCATCAAGATTAAGTAGTTCCAAATATGCATCATCCTCTGGAGTTGCAACCTGCGACAAGTACACCCCTGGTGGTGGCCATACATTACCAGCCACAAGAGCAACATCTTGAAGTACTTGATCATACGAGTTGGCCTCAATATCCAATTGGTATTGACTCCTAATATTATTTGCTTGCAACCGATGTCTCACCACCAAATGTATGCATTTCAAGTGTTTAAAACATCCTCCTAAATCCCGTCTCAACCACTTTAGTGACTGTTTCCAAGTACACTTGGTTACGGAAACGTTGATGATTTATATCTTCGTCCAAGCATACTTGAAAATAGTCACTGAATAGAGCTTTAATCTCAAGGTCTCTTAAATATATCCGGAAGAAACACCATTCATAGCCGTGCTCTGCTGCCATACAATATTGTAACCCACTTCCTGCTACGAGGAAACAAGCCAAAAGTCCCTTTTTTTACCGTTAATTTGTCTGTTGTTATTTCCGTTAACCGCGCACGTTAGCAACGAAAAAGAGCCTGTGCGCCTCCCCACAAACCAAACGATTAAAAAAAGAGCAAAAAGCACTGATAACAGAGTGAACTCAACGATACCTCCACCAACAGGCACAAACTTCTCTCTCTTTTTCTCTTGGAAAACGGGACCCAACTTATGAATTCAGCTCACTCCGTTCCAACGATTGAACTCGGCCATGGCGATTTCGACTGTGAGTTCACTGTTCCGAGCTCGGATTTTCATGACCATGTCTCCGCCGTTGATCCTCGTTTGAGCTCTGTTAGCAGCAGTCTCAGCTCATAGTGTTGCTTCCTGTTCAAGTCTGCGCTAATTGACGGTCGTGATCTCGCTGTTGATTTCAGATCTGAAGCGTTACCCAGTAATCGACGGCGTCGATGATGTCTGAGCTCACAGGTTCTCCCCATCCCCATCGCTAATTCTAATTTCGTTGCTCATTGTTCTTAAAGTGAGGACTTAGTTGTGTAATCGATTTAAAGCTTATACTTTTTTATTTTTTGCTGATTTTTCTATCCATAATTCCAACAACTTTTTTAGTGAGTAAGCTTATTAATTAAAGGAGCTATTTTGCGTTTTTCTGGTTATGAATTGAGTGGCAGCGAGGTGCTCCGGTTGCACAGTAACCCTTTGTTTGGATGCAGAAAAAAGTACGGAAAAAGAGGAGAAATAATAATTATGGGTTTTGTCCCTTTATGAAGACATTCGATTAGGGCTCACAAAGTGAGTGATGTTTTTGTTTTCTTGGGTCCCTGCAACCATGTGAACCATTCTTTGTAAAACTTGCATTAGATGTCAGATTATGGCTGTTTTAATGTGTTTGTTCTGGAGCCAATCTAGCTGGAAATTAGGTAACAAGTCTAGAGCTTTTCTTATCATGAGAGCTTTTGTGAGTGTGAGTAGTTTTTTATGGGTGAATTGAACGCTAATTTTGAATCAACAATGCAGGAATATTGAAGAAGGTCCGATGGTTGTCGATGAAATACTTGCTTTTGTTTTGTTATGTGATATCCATCATCGATGCAGCACCATCAATATCTCCCATGGGTGCACCTGATATGCCAAATCTTCCCCTGCCAGCCGATTTGCCAGTGTCCCATAGACACTGGCAAAAACATTTCTTGCCACGTGCTGCGCCAGTTGCACTATCACCTGCACACCCTCCTTTTTATGGTCCCTTAATAACTGCTGGTCATCCCCCTGCAACTTCTCGATTGTCAAGGCCAGCAATGAAGAGGAGTGGCTTGGCACCTCCCCTTGCTGGCTTTCAGAATATTGCCCCAGCACAGTCGAGTGCTGGTACAATCCCTTCGGGTTTAGCACAGCCCCCACTCACTCCTTCCATTTCCAGTAAGTTACACTCCGAACTGTGTTATTTATTTTCCCCCCTTTTTTTATGAATTCAATAATTTCAGATGACTGCTTTATCATTTTTTTTTAAAAAAAAAGTAAGATAATCACTAATAGGTCTAATCTTCACTATTTTAGTCCTTCTCATAAGAAAAGAAAGTCACATAGACTTTTTCATTTTTTATATCTCCCTTCAATGGCCATCCTTACGAACCAAAAAAAAAGCCAAAAAAAAAATCTAGTAGACGTTTCATTAGCATCATGATGGTTTTAGTTCGTCTCTTTTTTCTAATCACTGTAAAGATGACTAAATGGTTTCTAGTTTGGCTTATTTTTCTGTTAGGATGATCCTTAAACGAGGCCTTAAAGAATGGTCAGATTATCAAGTTGGGTTACTGGATCACGTATGCTGTCCGTTTCTTTTCTTAGAAAGAGAGGTCCCTTTTTAGAACCGTATAAATAAATAAATAAATATATACACACACAAACCCCTTCTTAAGGGGGATCTCTTTTTCCTATTCACCAAAAGGGATTCTTGCAAGTGTGTGCAGTAGATTGTTGCAAGTGTTCATGAATTGTGCAGGGTTTAGCCAAGAAACTATGAAATTGCCACTTTTTTCCTGAGAACTTATTTGGCATGGGGCAAAGAATAAGGCTGTTACACTTTGAAGATGTGCAGTTTTGGCTTCTATTTTGACTATTTGGATAGAAAGGAACAAGATAATATTTGACAAGAGGATGGACGACGTGGTTTCTAAGAGTCAAATTTCTAGTCTCTCTTTGGGCCTCTTCGTCTAAGCATTTTATGGAGTTTTGAGTTGAAGTAAATTTTCCTTTTAAGCACTGGCTGCTGTGTATTCTCTTGAAGGACTTTTTATCCGTATTTCATTTATTATATACGTTTTTTTTTTAAATAGTTCCCAGTTCCCATAAATAAGCCAAATATTTATATGTTGAAGTTATTGACAAGCGATGAATTACTAAACTTCCTACCTAATTTCATATTAAAAGCATATCAACTACTCAATTCTTATTTATTCTGCACAATTTGCACAATGTAATTGTGCTGAGACCTAACTCTGTTGCTGACAAAGGTTTTTTTTTTTCATTCCTTCCAGACTGTTGCAAACCAGACATGGTATTGAGACGCGAAAGTCAGGGTTGCCACTGTGTTTATCCCATTAAGCTTGACCTCCTCCTCTTAAATGTTTCACAAAATCCTAATTGGAATCTTTTTCTTCAAGAATTAGCTTTGCAGCTTGGTTTGAAAGTTTCGCAAATAGAGCTGATTAACTTTTATGTACTCAGCTTGTCAAGGTTAAATATTTCGATGGATATTACTCCATATCCAGGTGTCAGTTTCTCGGCAAGTGATGCATCTGCAATAAACTCTTCTCTTGTCATGCACAAGGTTAATTTAGACCCCGCATTAGTGGGCGATTACAAACTCCTCAATATAACTTGGTTTAAGCCTCCACCTATTTCTCAAGGTAATTCTGACATATCCCCAATGTTTATATAATCTTCTATACTGTGTTTGTTTGCAATATGGCGGTAATCTTTATGGTGAGACAACTGTAATGTTTCAAGTTCTAAATGGATATATCTTCATTCTTTTAATCCAGACCAAAAAACTTTGAAATAGGTAATCTCTGCATTAATGTGTCTCTGTTTGCTTTTACCCTACTATATATATGTATATATTATTTTGGCTGTGTAGGGCCAGAGTAATAATTTTGCCCTACTGAAGATGTTGTGTGCTTTTGTTATGCTGGTTGGCCTACTTGCTTCATAGAAGTCAACTCTATTATATGAATCAGAATATTGACATGCTCATGTTTTTTTCTTTTGTTTTTAAAGCTCCTGTTGCTACATCACCATTTGAAGCCCCACCAAAACCATCACCGACTCATACGTCCTTAACTGCTTCAAGTAAAGGGAAACATTCAAATTTGAGTCTTATTATTGGTATTGGTGCCGGAATACTGTTAATTTCCATTATAGCTGTGCTCATACTTTGTTTATGCACGTTTCGTCAAGAGAAGACTAAAGAATCTAATATAGAAACAGGTATGTGGTTCCATTTTCAGATTCATACATTTTCCTGTTTTCTTCTGGTTTCAATGGTGTCCATGATCTTTGGGTATTATCCTGGTCATAACTTACTACTGCTAGGAACCATTGTGTGGACCAACCTTTAATTACGCTTTCAGAGTTTGCAGTCATGAAGATATTATTATCCAGATGATATTCCTATCTCGTTACTAAAAAAGCAATAAATGTAAATGTAAATCATGCCTGACAATGTGAACAAATGGTGTATGTCTGTGTATAAATATGGTTAAAGTTTTTTAAGTAGTTGCATTTTCAATGATCTAAATCCAGTTAACCAGCTGCAGAAAAAATTTGAAGATCTGATGAAAAGAGTTGCATGAAACACCAAAGCAGAAACTTGAAATAGATTTGAGTTTGACTTTTCTGCATTAGTAGTATAGATTTTCTGTTCAAGTTGCTTATTTCATGCCTTTTTTTCTTCCTCTTTTTTGTGGACTTTTTCAGCCCCAGAAAAGCAGAGCAGCGTCGAAACAGTTTCAGCTGTAGGATCTCTACCCCACCCAAGCAGCACTCGGTTTCTGGCATTTGAAGAACTTAAACAAGCAACAAACAACTTTGAAACTGCAAGCATACTCGGAGAGGGTGGTTTTGGCAGGGTGTTCAAGGGCGTGTTAAGTGATGGTACAGCTGTTGCAATTAAAAGACTTACTAACGGAGGGCAACAGGGGGATAAGGAGTTCTTGGTTGAGGTTGAGATGCTTAGCAGGCTGCATCATCGTAATCTGGTGAAACTTGTGGGTTACTATAGCAGTCGTGACTCCTCACAAAACTTACTTTGCTATGAGCTTGTGCCAAATGGAAGCTTGGAAGCCTGGCTTCATGGTAATTTCTTGAATCACATAATGCCATCTAAAGTTAACTGTTTCACTAAATTTATTTAATTATTACTGGGTGTAGCGTTTCAAAATAGAAAACATGTTATATCTTAATCATACTTTCTCTTCTTGATATGCATTGCTGACTATGCTCTCTCTCTCGCTCTCCTCCCATCTCAGGTCCCCTGGGAGTAAATTGTCCTTTAGATTGGGACACCCGAATGAAGATTGCACTTGATGCTGCCAGAGGACTTGCTTACCTGCATGAGGACTCACAACCGTGCGTTATCCACAGAGATTTTAAAGCATCCAATATATTGCTAGAGAACAACTTTCATGCTAAAGTTGCTGATTTTGGCCTGGCTAAACAGGCACCTGAAGGCAGAGCAAATTATCTTTCTACTCGTGTGATGGGAACATTCGGGTTGGTCTCAAATTCTACCATACTTAGCTTGTCATTTCTATCATTTGGAATGGCACTTAGATGTAATTATTTAATTTTACAGGTACGTAGCTCCAGAGTATGCCATGACTGGACACCTACTTGTTAAAAGCGATGTTTACAGCTATGGGGTTGTCCTTCTTGAATTACTCACTGGTAGAAAGCCTGTAGATATGTCACAGCCAGCGGGGCAGGAGAATCTTGTCACCTGGGTTAGTATTATTCATACAGCCCCTCATTCTTCTGTTTTTAAATTGACCATTTCTATCGAAAAGGATAAAAAGTAACAAGTTTAATATTCTTAGGAAAGAAAGAAAAAGAAAAAAACTAGTGGTATATTTGTTCCTTCTTTTGAAGCATAAAGTGATATTCAATTGGTCTTTTGCCATTATTATTTTGGATGGGAGAGTGAGACATTAGGTTTTCTATCTTCCAGGCAAGGCCAATTCTTAGGGACAAGGATAGGCTGGATGAGCTCGCTGATCCTAGTCTTGAAGGAAAGTACCCAATGGAAGATTTTGTACGAGTTTGCACGATTGCAGCAGCTTGTGTTGCTCCTGAGGCAAGCCAACGCCCTACAATGGGTGAAGTGGTACAGTCACTGAAGATGGTGCAACGAATCACCGAGTATCAGGATTCCATGTTAACCTCTTCCACTGCCAGACCCAATCACAGGCAGTCATCAACTACCTTCGAGTCCGATGTGTCATCTTCAATGTTCTCGTCTGGTCCTTACTCTGGTCTAAGTGCCTTAGATAATGACAATGTGTCTCGGGCAGCAGTTTTCTCTGAAGATCTTCATGAAGGACGATGATTGCGTAACAGAAGTCGACATTCTGTTCAAAGCATAGTTGACTGTCCTGTATAGCAATGTAGGAGCAGTCCCTCTGTGAGCAGGGGATATACAGGTTGATTTTTTTAGTAATAGGTAGGTTTTGTAATTGTGATTCTTGTTGTGGGGAAGGATGAGTGTCTTTTTTGTAGTCCTTTATGTGGGGGAACCACTGTTCAGTTTTCTCCATAGGCAGTGGTTCTTCCCACGGTGGATGAAATTTTGTATATGCTTTGTAAGCTTGTTTTATGAAATTGGGGTTTTAAGTGTTTCGTATTTATTTATCCATTTTCCATGTCTTTCAAATTCAATGTGTTACTTAGGATTCAAGATCCCAAATTGGAAAAATAGCATCCTAGACTAGTTTAAGAGCCCTTGAGCATCCTTCCTTGATGACCCGGTTTTTGGGGCAAGTTCTACCCATGCTCTTAACAACGGCTACCATCAAGGTCTAAAATATCGATGGTATAGGAAATATCGGTAATCCAAAATCACGAAAATTTTGATGGAAATATCGGGATATTATCGATATCAATAAAAATTGAATAAAAACCACATAAATTGTAAGAAAAACTTAGAAATTTTATTAAAACTTTGGATAATGTTTATTTAGTCAATTTTCAATTAGTTTATCACAAAAAATTGGAAAGAAATGCATTGTATGATTGGTTTAATTGATTTAAGTTTATTATATAGCAATTTGACAAACACTATGTGAGTGTAGAAAATATGTAGTCATTAATGAAAGAAGATTAAGTATACCATAATCATTTATATAAAATGATTTCCTACAATATTTTACACTTTATACATTGCATGGTAAGATGCATGAGTGACTTAGTACTACCTAAAGTTCCCCTTTGCGTATTATCACAAAAACATAGTGTTTGTGTTTTTTTTCTTTCCTTTTTTCTGTTGCATTGATATTTTCAATATTATAGTGATATTTTGACAAAATATTGCTGAAGTGTGAACGAAATTATCGATATAGATATTTTCCAATATTATCGATATTTATTCGATATGTGTATGAATACGTTCCGAAATATCCGTGACCCGAAAAAACGATAATATCCTCGATATTTCGTCAATGTTATCGATATTTTAGACTATGGCTACCACGGTCAGTGTCAATAGAGAGTGTCAACAAGTCTAAAAATTTTGGTATTCTAGAAAGTCAACGAGTCTATTGTTAATTACATGAATATTAATTTGACTTGTTAAGAGTAATTTGATTGATAATGACTTTCTTTTATATATATTATATGAATAATATTTTTTATTTCAAATCCGATGTGGATTGATCAGTTGAATCTGAATATGATTATAAATGGATTTGGACTTGGATTAAGGCTAGTCTCATCCGAATTCGATCTTGTTACAAGCCTAAAGGGACGAGATGTTGAATTGAAAGTCATGTCACATAATTGCACCTTGATTATCCTCAGTTTTTTCAACCAAAAAAAATTTTGAAAATATCTCTAAAGAAGAAGGAAAGGTCACAAGACGACTTATTTAGAGCCGCAATAACAGATAAAAAAGAGTTAATTGTGTAGGGTATGGATTATAGAAGAAAACAAATGTGGAAGTAAGTTCATATGGAGATCCCAGCTGGTTGTTTTGGAAGCGATCACTTCATATCGAAGTTGTCGGTCGTGTAACTCATGCATGTTATTGTATAGGTCAATATAATGAATTCTTATCCGTGCACGTGAATGTGTCTTAGCTTATTTGATGAACAACTGGGCACTTATTAATTGCTTCAAGACAACCTGTGCTGTATAAAACATGTGAGTTGCTACTCTTGAAGACAATATATATGCTATCATGGACCAGTCTCTGCATTCTAAGAAGGAGATGATGACTGTCTTTATTTTGTCATAATTTAGAATTTTAATAAATAATTTTATGAGATATGTGGAACAGTATTATGTAGGAAAAGTAGATTAACGAATGTATTATTAGGGTTGTGTGGCTGGGTAATTGATTATTAAAGGCTCGTGTGGGAGTGATTCTAGATAGACCAAAAAGAACTTATGTGGAGAATTACCTCTCTATATAATCTCTTTAGTGGTTTTAAGTGATTTTATAGAGAACCACACGAGAGGTACTTCTCTCCGGAAGTAATTATGACATATCCAGAATCACTCACATTAAGTGATCCACAATAAATCACCCTAATTATTAGATACATTATTCTAATCTACTTTAGTTCATTTTTTTAAACATGTGATAATGCACATGTCTAATAATAATACTAATAATAGTTCAGTGTGGATCTCAACGAGTATATGAACACGTGAAATGACACTACAATTATTAAAGGAGAGATAATAGTATAATTTAATTTAAGAAATGTTTTGAGTTAGTGTCCTTGGACGCATGATGACACAAACGCAAAGACAACTGCGTTTCGAAGCGTTTAGAGCCTCAAGTTTTGGGATATTTTTTAGGTGCATGTCGAATCAAGGTCACAAACTAAAAATGTCTCGTTACATAGTACATAAGAATTTTGCTAACGTACGTCATGCATGCGCAATTACGATAATAGCACAATTATTAATCAATGATTATACTAGCGTCACAGAACTATAAGCATGCAGACTGGCGCTAGCCTAATCCAGAGGCCTTGTAAGGTTGGAGGAGTAGTCCATTTTTACAGGAATGCGAAGTACTCAAGGCAAACAGGAGGACGATATAGTTTTCCAGAACAAGACATGACACATTCACGTGTCCCCGTTATCCACCGAATTGGTCCGAAATGGCTCTTCTTTGCATGCAGCATGCGATTGCGACGCTAGTGCTGAAAAATATCATCTTCTTTGTAATCAACTCCACCTTGAACAAACATGGCTTGTTTGCAGTACACGTAAGCCACCATATCTAATTCTATCCAGAAGAAGTACGCATAATTGTTGTTAATGCGCGCAAAAGAAAGTGTATGATTTATGCAAAGAAGAAATTATATCCATGGTTCTCGACCCACCACATATTATAAATAATTGCTCACATTATTCCGAACTTTTGAGAAACTTTTTCATGAGATAGGCCTATTCCGCAAACCAACCATAGTGATGACATGTTTACTAATTAAGTAACGAGAATACGAAGATAGATAATATGATAAAGAATAAAAGAGAATCGGATCAACTATCTTCTCTTGGTTGATTCAATTTATGAAGTGATGATTAAACCTAAAATTTCTTATAATATTGCTAAGTTAAATATTAGTTGGTGTCGTAGAGTGAGGCTTTCTTCTCCCAAGAATCTTTGGATCAATGAATTTGTAACATAGGTTTATTCGCAAGATACATGACAAAGGATAAATTACAAAATCAAATCAAGTCCACGTCAATAATGAGATGGATTTAACAATGTTAATTATTTTATCTTACACAACTTCCAAATAGAACAATATGTATCAAAAGCACATTAATGCAGTTCTCTTCCAATGAATAATTTGCCGGCCCTGCACAATATATTGACGCGGGAATCTGAGAATCTCGTTAAGCATAATTATCACGTTAATAATCGTAATTAGTCAACTTTATAAACAAACACTGAACTTGCCCGACCCGACTCAAATCCACGTCACTCTTCACTGTTTATTCTGCCACTTCTCTCTCTCTCTCTCTCTCTGTCACATACGACTTGTCGTCCTCAACGACGACGACGACCGAATCTCCTTGGCAATCTCTCTGAGCACAAACTTCTGAATCTTCCCAGTCGAAGTCTTCGGGAGCTCGTCCTTAAACACCACCGTTTTGGGCACCATGTAGTGCGGCAGATTTTCCCTGCAGTACTCCATGATCTCCTTCTCCGTCGGCTTCGGGCTGACGTCACTCTTCAAGCTCACAAACGCGCACGGCGTCTCCCCCCAGAACTCGTCAGGCTTCGCCACCACCGCCGCTTCGTTCACCGCCGGATTCGCGTAGAGCACGGACTCAACCTCCACACTGCTCAGATTCTCGCCCCCGGTTATAATAACGTCCTTGGATCTGTCCTTAATTTCCAAATAGCCATCGGGATGCATCACGCCCACGTCACCCGTATAAAACCACCCGTTTTTCTTCAAACATTTTGCTGTACTCTCCGGGTCTTTGAAATACCCCAGCATCACGCACCCGCCTTTGAACACAATCTCCCCAATCTCCGACCCGTCTCGCTTCACCGGAGAACCCGAATCCGGATCCACCACGTCCACCTCAGTCATCCCAATCGTCCTCACCCCTTGTCTCGCTTTCAGCTTCGCTTTTTCCGTCATCGGGTATTTATTCCACTCCGGCTTCCAAGCACATGACACGACCACCCCACCCGTTTCCGTCAACCCGTACCCGTGGCAAACCAAGAACCCGATTGACTCGGCCCGAAGCAGGACGCTCGACGGCGGCGGGGCTCCACCGGTGAGGATGTGAACCGGGTGTGGGAGCTGGTCGGATATCGGGTGGTTGACGAGCATGTTGAGCACGACCGGCGCGGCGCACATGTGAGTGACGTTATGGGCTCGGATTGAGCTGTAGATTTTGGGAGCGTCGAACTTGCGGAGGCAAATGTTGGTTCCACCCACTGCGGCCATGGCCCACGGGTACCCCCACCCGTTTGAGTGGAACATCGGTAGGGTCCACAGGTACACGCAGTGTTTGGGTACAGACCAGTCTATGATGGAAACCAAGGTGACGATGTACAAGCCTCTGTGGCTGTGCACGACGCCTTTCGGAGACGACGTCGTTCCGGAGGTGTAGTTTAAAACCATCGGGGCCCACTCGCTAGCCGGCCGGACCCACTCGAACGACGGATTCCCTTTCCTCACTAGATTCTCGTAAGTGTCGAGGAAGTAATTATTATCAACGGCTGGGATTGGTGTTGAGCGGTGCTCATTATCGGTGATGAGGATGAGAAGCGGTTTTGGGAGGTGAGGCGGGAAGAGAGAGAGTGCTTGGAGGGTGAGAGAGACGGAGAGGTGGTCAACGAAGATGAGCTTTGATTCGCTGTGGCGCAGGATGATGGAGATGTTGTGGGCGTCGAGGCGGGTGTTGATGTTGTTGAGGATGGCCCCGGACATGGGGACCGCAAAGTGAAGCTCGTACATGGCTGGGGTGTTGGGGGCCACCACGGAGACCACCTGGGAGCGCTTGACGAGGGAGGAGATGGAGGAGGCCAGCTGGAGGCATCGACGGTGAGTTTGGGACCAAGTGTAGGTGGTGGTGGTAGTGGTGGCGGTGTAGATGATGGATGGGCAGTCGCCGTTGACAACCGCCGCTCTTTCGAGGAGAGTGAGGGGAGTGAGAGGGCAGAGATTCGCAGGGCTTGGCTTCAACTGGTCCATTCTTGGGAGGTGTTTGAAATGGAGAGAGAGAGAGAGAGAGAGAGAGAGAGAGGATGAAGAGGTGGTCAGAGTGGCATAAGGAAAGGAAGGTGCATTGGTTTAAGTACACAAAAAGCTGAGGCTCTATCAGGATTCAGGCTTTAGGAGCTCGTACGGTCTTTCATTTAATGGAGGTAGGGTCAAGGGTCAAGCTGGTAAGTGGAGCCGGGGACCAAAACACGTGTAATAAAAACAAAAAAATGTTCGTTAAATGCAAAAAAGGAAAAGTCAAAACAGAACGAAGGCATGGTTTGTTAAACAAAAACATGGTTGTTGGTTAGGAAAAAAAAAAAAAAAAAAAAAAAAAAAAAAAAAAGATTCATCAAGAGTATTGTAATTTTATATTTTGACAAGAAATAACATATGCTTGCGATTTCCTAGCTAAATAATTATTCATGTAAATGTGAGTTAGGCGAATTGGCTAAGATAGCGTGCTCGTCACTTTACAACTTTTTAAAACGTATATTAAAGAAGATTTCAAGATTAAAATACATATTGTTAATAAGAATACCCCAATGCCATGTGATATTCGATCTATCGGTCATGAGTCTTTGTATATGTTGGAGCAAATGTCTTATTTTTTTCGTGTGACATATTTTTAGCGAAGTCAACATGATGGAAGATAATTTAGTTAATTTTAGACATTTATATGATTTTAGGATCCATTGTCATTGTAATATACTTTGTTAAAAAAAATAATATAAAAAAAAGACTCACAAGTATCACTAGGAGCTGGATATCTTTTTTACCTCTTTACTCTTCTCTAAGCAATCGTTCCTCCATGAACCATTGAATTCTGTTTAAATGATATATTTTGTTCGCCACACTGTTTATATGAGAGAAAGCGAGACCAAAAATAAAAGAGAGAAATGTTAGATCATCCTGTGCCGAGAGAAACTGGGGCGGAGGCCCTGTTACAAGATTTTGACACAACTGCTTTCTATTGGTGTAGGAAGTATACATAATAATTATTGTTTGTGGCTCCCTCACAATAAACAAAAGATGTATTTCTCTTTACAAGGAAAAGACTAGGTGATTTCTTCACAAAATAAAAAGACTAAAAGTGATTTTGGAGCCCACCAATATCTTAATAAAAATAAAAGAGATATTTAGTGATATACTTATTCTTAGCACTAATATTATAAATAAACCCTCCATCATTGAATTTCTATAAACAAACCCAAAAAAAATCCCAAAAATGACAGTTGGCCTTATTGAATTTAATATTGATTATTAAATTACTTTAATGCCCTATTGAGTGTTTTGGGTATTTTTATGAGATTTTGAGGTTGGGCTTGTTTTAAGAAATTTATGGTAGTTTTGTAATTTATAAGAAGTTAAAGCCTCTTTGTTATGTTGTAAATAGGTTTTGGGTGTGTTTATAAAGTTCATTTCATATGGGGTATTTTTATAATTTGGGCCACCATATTGGGTATATTAGTGAATCTCCCAAATAAAAACATCCAATCAAATAAAGTTTCAAAAAATCTCCTTTATCAAATATGAAGTGGACTTTTACCTAAATAAAAAGGATTGAGATTTTAATATTTATTCCTATATAAAGCAACATGAACTTAGTTTGAAGCAGTCGCACACATCAAAAAGAAATAATTGAATTTGGTTGTTTGCTCTCCAACATCATGCTTCAAATTTTTTAATTTCAAGTGAGATAACTTTACATAGTCATAGTTTTTTTCCTTTGTTTATTTATTTTTTATAAGAATATATTTGTATATGTTTATATGAGTGAAAACTTCTCACAGACTCTTTGATTATGTACATTGAAAGGAAAATTGCAGACAAGTTTAGCATTGACTCAATCATAGATAGTTTTCGAGATATGAAAGAGAGACGAGTGTTATTTTAATACCTAATTGAATAAACAATTATTTTTTGCCTTCTATTTTTCCAAACATTATGTTAAGGTTGAAAATTGAAATTTTTTAATGTCTTGTTTGGTTTATATGTTGGCCCCCCAACACATAAATTCTTGACTCTGCCACTGGAGAGAAATACTGTCATGTAATGGATATAACACTTTCTGTTATTCTCGGCCAATAACGTAATGATATGTTAAATTATTTTTTCACTTGTCATTGTGTTATTGGCCGAAAATAGCAAACAATATTATCCATGTTACAATAATTTTTTTTTGCACCACTAGCCATGCTTTTCCCACCTTTTTATTTTTGTCACCTTTCTTAGTTCGATCATTTTACCCTCCTTGAAGCTCTTCTCAACATTTAAACGTAAACTCCATTATTTACTACTATAAAGAAAAAGATTTTGTCCTATTGTAATTTATATCCGGTGTTGTATTAAGATGGGCTTTCATGTTAACAACAAAAGTGAAATTTACTTCATGAAAAGGCCATTAACAAACGCATTGAAAACTTGGACCAAACATATCAAGTTATCATGAACCTCGTTCAAAAAAGACACTTCAAGCACTGAGGTAATAAGTTGTACCATGAAACACATGAAACACATGAAACACATTGGACACAGACATCATCCGAAACTTCATTTTGGACAAACGTAGCAAGCAATCTCGTCAGCCCAAAGGTAAACTTAGCTAGACAAACAATTTAACGAACACATGGCGTGCATTACTCAAAGACTCATTTGAAGCAAATTTGTACCCAAAACAAAGACATGTCAAGCCAGCCCGTATGTTACACATGGAAAGGAGGACATCTAATTAGATTACGCATGAATTGTTTGAGATATGTGTTTGTTCTTTTTAATATATTTTCTTAAAAAATATCTTATTTTACTTAAAAAAAATTAATTAAATAAAGTTGTGCCAGGTAAATGCACAAACTATGTCAATCTTTCTTTAATCTCCTGAAGTAGAACAACCCAATCAACAATGAGTATGATGAGATGGGCTACAATTTTTAGGACCTAAGTAGGGTTGCTAGGCCCAAAGTGTGAGAGACATATCAAGAATTCTGTAGTGAGGGCCTTATATATAATCCTTATATGAGGCCTTTATCACTTAATCGTTGGATCAAATTAGTTAGCCATTGGATTAAATTGGTTAACTTGATTTAACAGTTAATAATAAGATATAAGACCTCACCCAAGGGTCATAAATAATGCCCTTACTATATGACTTATCTGATTAGTTTCTTGTTGTTTGGGCTTTGGGCCCTACTTAATTATTGATTCACTTCCTTCCACTAGTTGGGATAACAAGAATGACATTTTTAGGGACAATGTTGATGCCTAAAATTCAATCAACTTTAAATATGTGAGAGCGAGTGTCTTCAACATATAAGTGGGTTGGTCCAAAAGAAAAGGGGACAAAGAGAGAAGTCCTCATCAAAGTATACAAGTGATTTTCATTTTATAGGTGAGGGAGAGTCCTCACTTGCTACAACATTTCAATGTGAGACTTCTTGGCTACTTCGCGGCCATATGTTAAGGTGATAGCCTAAATTATTGACTCACTTCCTTCCACTAGTTGGGATAACAAGAATGACATTTTTGGGGACAATGTTGATGCCTATAATTCAATCAACTTTAAATATGTGAGATGCACGTGTCTTTGGCATATAAGTGGGTTGGTCCTGAAGAAAAGGGGGTGAAGAGAGAAGTCCTCATCAAAGTATATAGAGTGGTCTCTCATCAAAGTATATAGAGTGGTCTCTGTTTTATAGATGAGGGAGAGTCCTCACTTGCTACAACATTTCGAATGAGACTTATTGGCATTACTTCGTGGCAATACGTTAAGGTGATAGCCTATCAAAGTGTGGCACATGGTTAGTATGGTTGAGTTGATTGTTGGGTCAGTTATGGTATAAACAAAGAACAAAATATTTTCATGTCGCTCTCGTAGGTTCTAAATGATTTTAGGAATAGTTCATGGATTCAAGAGTAAATGGAGATCTTCAAACAAGTAAGCTAGTAGTTCCAATTGATATAGTTATCTAACTTGGCACTGAAGTTTTCTTATTTTCCTTCAACTTTTTAAGATACACCGTATGCTGCGGAAATGTGCATGGTTGGATGTGAATTTGATCATTTAGATGTTCTGCTGCTATGACATTAAACATCCGTGGCTTTTTGCCCTTTTTCTTGTAGTGTGGGAGTTGAATTTAGAATGGTTCCCTTGGTAGTTTTAGAGATCTTGTTCTAGTCTATCAACAGAATCTTGGTTGAATGCATTACCTTTGTTAACAAAAGCTGCATCCAAATTGTACCTGTGAGTTTTGTTGCAAGATTCCTAAAAAAGGTTTCCTAAACCCTTTTTAGTTTTATTTTTTGAGTTTTAAGTATGATTAAAAGGAGAAATAAATATAAATCCATATGATAATATTTTATTAATTGACATGACATAATCACATCAACGGTCGCATAAGATTATGAATTTGAATTCTAACATCCGTGCAGTGTGTGAGTTTAGTTAATATGTTATCGTCCCACCCAATAAAAAATATCCTTAAAAAATTGGTAAACTAATATGGTCAATTTTGTTTTGCGTGTCTAATAGCATTATTGATTTTTTTATCGACAATTAAATTCATTTAATACCTTGTTGAAGTAATTTTGTGTAATTTATTATGCAATTTTCTGTTTCATGGACCACCTTCCTTGCTGCCGTGAACTGACATTCAACTTTACAGCGTTGTCCTTGCATTCTTATATTTCAATTTCTTTCTCCATCAATCCTCGTCGTGTCGTGATCAAGGTTTTGTACACAACCGGAAAATGAGGAATATTAAATTATATGTCAATTTGAAAAGAGTAATACTAGTCTTACCATATTTTTTATACCACAATTATATATTACATGATGTAGTAGCTGATGTGTACATACCACATTATGTAAAATACTAGTTTCTGTTTTTCTAATTTTATTTATTAAAATACACTTCATTCATTTAATTGATGTGGCATATAATATGGACATGTCACATCATGTAGTATAGAAATATGGGATAAAAATGTAGTAAGTGTAGCATTAACCATAGAAAATTACATGAAACGATAGGTGGCACCTTGTCGTACCTAAACACTACCCCCATCAAAATCAAATCATTATCGTTCCTTAATTAATTAAATTAATTGACTAATTACATCCTGCTCACCCTGCTGCTGGACGACCCAATCCCTCTGGCCATCTCTCTGAGCACAAACTTCTGAATCTTCCCAGTCGACGTCTTGGGCAGCTCCTCCTTAAACACCACCGTTTTGGGCACCATGTAGTGCGGCAGCCTCCCCCTACAATACTCCATCATCTCCTTCTCCGTTGGCTTAGGACTTACGTCACTCTTTATGCTCACAAACGCGCACGGCGTCTCCCCCCAAAACTCGTCAGGCTTCGCCACCACCGCAGCTTCGTTCACCGCTGGGTGCGTATAGAGCACCGACTCAACCTCCACGCTGCTCAGATTCTCGCCCCCGCTTATAATTACGTCCTTTGATCTGTCCTTAATTTCCAAATAGCCATCGGCATGCATCACCCCCACGTCACCGGTGTAAAACCATCCGCCTTTCATACACTTGGCCGTCCCCGATTGGTCCTTCAAATACCCCAGCATCACAGATCCTCCTCTCAAAACGACCTCCCCAAGCGACAAACCGTCGCGTTTCACACTCCGCCCCGATTTCGGATCCACCACGTCGATTCGAGTCAGCACAACCGTTCTCACTCCTTGCCTCGCCTTTAGCCTCGCTCTTTCACTCGCCGGCAACAAATTCCACTTCCCCTTCCACGCGCACGACACCACTAGCCCCGCCGTTTCGGTCAACCCGTACCCGTGGCTCACCACGAACCCCATCGATTCGGTCCGGAGCAGAACCGCTGCCGGTGGCGGAGCTCCGGCTGTCAAGATCTGAACCGGGTTCTCGAGCTTTTCGGTTCCGGGAGGGACGTTTGTGAGCATGTTGAGCACCACGGGTGCGCCGCACATGTGAGTTACACGGTGTCGTTTAATCACGGCGTAGATGATTTGGGCGTCGAATTTGCGGAGGCATATGTTGGTTCCGCCAAGCGCGGCGATCCCGTACGGGTAGCTCCAGCCGTTGGCGTGGAACATCGGTAGGGTCCACAAGTAGACCGGCTCTTTGTGAACGCCCCAATCGATGAGGGAATCGACGGCCATGATGAAGACGCCTCTGTGGCAGTGAACCACGCCTTTCGGCGACGACGTGGTCCCCGATGTGTAGTTGAGGGTCATCGGGTCCCACTCGCTGGTCGGCGGAACCCACTCGAAGTCCTGATCGCCTCTCTCGACCATGTCCTCGTACATGCAGAGGAAACGATCAAGCGGTATGTGTTGGGGTGCGTCAGCATCGTCGGCAATGAGGACGAGGAGAGGTTTCGGGGTGTCGGGTGGGAAGAGAGAGATGGCGTCGAGGGCGAGGGATCCCGATTGGTGGTCGACGAAGACGAGTTTTGATTCGCTGTGGCGCAGGAGTATGGAGATGGTGCGGGTGTCGAGGCGGAGGTTGATGGTGTTAAGGATAGCGCCGGACATGGGGACGGCGAAGTGGAGCTCGTACATGGCGGGGGTGTTGGGAGAGAGAACAGACACCACGTGGCCGCTCTTGATACCGAGCGATGATATAGAGGAAGCGACTCGGAGGCATCGACGGTGGGTCTGCGTCCAAGTGTAGGTGGTATCGTTGTAAATAAGAGAGGGGCAGTCACCATAGACGGTGGCTGATCTTTCTAGAAAGCTGAGGGGAGTAAGAGGAGATGAGTTTGGAGGGGAGGGCTTCAGGTCTTCCATTATTTTCAGTTCAGTGTCATCAGAGTGCGTTTTGTTTTTATACTTACTTGATAGATATAGAGATAAGGGCAACAATAAAATATTTTGGAATTTTGCCAGGATAGTCATGCCAATCCTCTTTCGCGGCTGCCAACTTGTCTTTCTCAAGATTTACTATTATTGGTGTATACCAATGAAGCCTAAATTATAGAAATTTTTATAATTTAATAGGGCATTAAAGTAATTTAATAATCAAAATTAAATTCAATAAGACTAGCTGTTATTTTTTGGATTTTTTTTTTTAATTTTTAGAAATTAAATGGTGTATAGTTTATCTATATTATTCGTGCTAAGAATGAGTATATGACTAAATATCTCTATGAAATATGGAAATGAAAGAACATCCTTGCTTGCCCATGCCATCTGAAAGTGTGTTTCAAATAGTACTACTACAACCCTTGTACTTGTTAAAAATAAATACAGATTTGTGTAAATATAAAACGGATTAAATACGTCCAATTAAAACAATCACAATTAACAATAGGTAGATTAAAGGAGAAAGAAAGTCTGGCCTGTGAACCCAACAGAGGCATGATAAATGATGTCCTAAAGTCATAGACGCCTTTCTACGTGCAGGTAATGACGGTGTCTACAACTCCAAGATACAACCCAAAAGCCTCACATGATGTCTGGTCCGTTATGCAAGCCAACGGCATATGGGTATGCCAAGTGTTGATCGATTGCCCTAGAAATAGATAAAGAGAATTGTAGGAGATGGAGATGAGTGTGATTCAGATATGGAGTATGAGAGTAACAGAGAATTGTTCGTACTCTGTTATGAATGAGGAGTTCTTTATTTATAAGAGTCCAAACATCCTTTTATAAAGTCACGTCTATTGAGTCAACAAATATATATTACTCTTAAAATAAATAATCATTACTATTAAAAATATAACAATAATAATAATAAGTTTTGAATTTTAATAAAATAAAACAAAATAATAAATAACTAACAATCCCCCACAAGATTCAAAACTTCATAAGGAATAGTCAAAATGAAAAACAAGTAAAGATGAGGAAACTTGGGCAATTTGTATACCGTGCAATGGGTGTAGGTGTCTTCCAAACTTGAACCTACACTTAGTGTGAACAGCTTTCATATGAAGGAATCATAGTGAACTATGTCTTAAACTAGACCCCTTTGATTCAAATTACAACATGTTACACACACAGTACCGATCTATAAACTTGGCGCAGGTTAGCGCTATTAATGGCCATGCACTTAATCTTGATTCTCATGAAAGTTATTAGAGAACAACCTAATTCTCACAGTCGCGGCACATGTGACCCGTACCCTGCGAGAGTATGCTCGCCTCCAAACTCATTCATTATAATGTCCTTCCTTAATGTCACATCCATCAACACTAATGTCATAGGGATGAGCATGAGATTTTAATTAATATCTTCTATTTTAGAGTTCTGGAATCTAAGTCAATCAATATGAATTGTTAATACCCATTGAACCTTTTTCATGGGATCTCCACTCACAAAGGTTGGGTTACCTCCATTGTTGATTTCCTTACGGGCTTAGGCCCATCCCCCTCGACAAATCTAGGATTGTAGGATTGCATTCCTAGATAGACCTTTGGTCAACTGATCAGCAATATTCTTTTCAGACTTCACAAAATCCAAGGATACAACTTCCTTATTTAATAGGCTTCTCGCAGACTTATAGCTAACTTGAATGTGTCTATTCATTTTCTTATTTGTATGAGCTTGTCTTACTAAATTTATAACAGCCTCATTGTCACAATGAATAGAAAAAGCTGGTATGGGTTTGTTCACAAGAGGTATCTCAAGTAAAAAATTCTTAATCCATTCAGCCTCAGTGCATGCAGTATCAAGAGCTATAAGTTCTGACTCCATTGTACTTCTTGAAATTATTGTTTGTTTCTTGGATGCCCATGATATAGTTGTTCCTCCTAACAAAAATACATATCCTGAAGTAGACTTTACATCAGAACTATCTGTAATCCAATTGGCATCACTATACCCTTCTACTACACAAGGAAAACCTTTATAACATATTGAGTAATCAAAAGTTCCTCTCAAATACTTGAACACTCGCTCTAAAGCATTCCAATGATCTCTACTTAGGTTATGCGTATATCTGCTCAATCTTCCTACAGCATAGGCTATATTTGTCTGCCTTAGTTTTATTTGCAATATACATCAAGGATCCAATCATTTGTGAATACTTAAGTTGAGACACAGGCTCGCCATTATTTTTCTTTAAGCTCACACTAGGATCATAGGGTGTTGAAACTGGATTTCTAGTAAAATAGTTGAACTTTTTGAGCATTTTCTCAATTGAACTGGATTGATTCAAAGTAAAGCCATCTTGTGTTCTTTCTAATTTCATTCCCAAAATAATGTAGGCTTCTCCTAGGTCTTTCATATCAAACTTCCTTGCTAGATAAGACTTCACATCTTTCACAATTTTCAGATTTGTTCCAAATAATAATATATCATCAATGTAAAGACACAATATAACACAATTCCATCACACTCCTTGTAGTAAACACACTTATCATGCTCATTTATCTTAAAATCATATTCTAAAATGACTTTGTCAAACTTTTCATGCCACTGCTTAGGAGCTTGCTTAAGTCCATATAATGATTTAACCAACTTACATACTTTATGCTCCTGACCTTTCACAATAAATCCCTCAGGTTGCTCCATATAGATTTCTTCGTCTAAGTCTCCATTCAAGAACGATGTTTTAACATCCATTTGATGAACTACTAAGTTGTGTATGGAAGCTAATGCTATAAGGGTCCGAATAGTAGTGGTCCTAGAGACAAGGGAGTAAGTGTCAAAATAATCAATTCCTTTCTTTTGAGTGAATCCCTTGGCTACTAATCTAGCCTTGTATTTGTCTATGCTTCCATCTGGCTTCAATTTCTTCCTAAACACCCATTTATAACCAATTGGTGTAGTCCCAAGTGGTAAATCTGTTAATTCCCAAGTGTTATTTTGTAAAATATATTCAACCTCACTATTTATCACCTCTTTCCAAAACGGAGCATCTATTGAGATCATAACTTCTCTATAAGTTGTAGGAGCATCTATTGAGATCATAACTTCTCTATAAGTTGTAGGATCTCCCTCAACAAGAATGTATAAAAATCATCTCCAAAACTCTTTTCTACTCTAGGTCTCTTACTCCTTCTAGGTTCTGCTTGAGGCTCTTCTTCATTTACAACTGGGAGATTAGTACTAGTGGAGGCTTTATCGGAACCATTATTAGATATGGATCTATCTACTACTTGCTTCTGAATTCTAGTCTTGAAAGGAAATATGTCCTCAAAGTAAGTTGCATCCCTTGACTCCAATATTGTCTTATTAGAAATTTCACTTATTTCAGAATTTATGACTAGAAACCTATTGGCACTACTATTATGAGCATAACCTAAGAAAACAGAATCCACAGTTTTTGGTCCAGTCTTCTTCCTCTTAGGTTCAGGGATTGCAACTTTAACCAAACACCCCCACACTTTCAAGACTTGAAGATTATCAACTCTCTTCTTCTAAACTTCATATGGAGTAGTAGTGTTGTCTTTAACAATAACTCTATTTAATATGAAGCATGCAGTCAAAATTGCTTCCCCCCACAAATTGTCAGGTAATCCAGAACTCAATAACATTGCATTCACCATGTCCAATAAAGTCCTATTCTTCTTTTCTGCAACTCCATTAGATTGTGGAGAATAGGGTGCTGTCACTTGATGTATTATACCATGCTCTTCACAAAACACACTAAGATCATTAAGAGTGTATTCACCACCTCTACCAGACCTAAATCTCTTAATTCTCCTTTCTAATTGATTTTGTACTTCGGTCTTGTAAACTTTGAATTTGTTAAATACTTCATCCTTGGTCTTTATCAAATAAATATAACAGTACTTTGAACAATCATCTATAAATGTCGGTGGCCTATTTGAATCACAAACATCACTGTGTATAAGCTCCAAAAGTTGGATTCCTCTCAACAGACTTAAAGGGTTTTTTAGGTTGTTTAGCTTTTACAATCCATCATCTTTTTTATTTTCATCAAGTTTATGTGTCCCAACCTTCCATATGCCAAACATTACTGGATTCCATATTGAAAGCTTTAGGATGAATAACCTCTGAATATACATTTAACTTGAACAATCCTTCACTAATGAAACCTTTACCAATAAATACATTATTCTTGGTTATTACAACCTTCTTTGATTCCAATACAACTTTGTAGCCTTGCTGTACTAAAGAAGATCCGCTAATTAAATTCCTTCTAACATTTGGTACATGTCGCACTTCCTTCAATACTAAAACCTTTCCAGATGTCATCTTTAGTTCTATATCTCGAATTCCAAGCACTTGTGCGACTGTGTCATTTCCTAGAGTTACACTTCCTCCACTTGGTTTCTGGTAGTTTTTGGAAAAACCACGATAAAAACAAACATGCATGTATATTAGCTCCAGAATCTAATAAGGCAAGAGACCTTAAAATCTTCACTAAATTTGGTTCCTTTCTTTTCTACTCCTCTTAATAGCTCTTGATACTCATGAATTTGTTCCCCCACAGACTTGTTTTCAACCATTTTATACCCATTAAAATTAGATACTGTAAACCTATCAATTCCAGCATCCACAATTCCATATGCGGCCTCTAAAGCTTGCCAGAGTTCTTTGCCAGTAGATGTAGTAGCATGATACACATCATAAAGATGATCAGAAAGGGCACTCAAAATTCTATTATAACTATGGTATTCAATTTGTTCTGGGTTTAACAAAGAAGATGACTCTTTACTTGGTTGTGATTCCTCAAGGGCAGAAATTAATCCTAGGACAGCTGACCAATATTTCACTTGTTTTTGCCACCTACGAAAATTATGACCGATAAATTTTTCAGGTTTAACACTATTGGCTTCTTCTAAGTTTGCCATTTGATAAACTAATTTCTAAGATTAAGTGAGAGAGATCAGATTGCTATGACACTGTAAAAAAAAATTTAAAAAAATCAAAAAAAACAGAATGTCACACACTAGTTTACAAGCAATCTAAACTTAGAATAAATATTTGACACATGTAATTCAATTTTGAGATGCAGACCACAAAGTTCAAACTTGAATGTGCGAATTAGGTTTTAATCAAAACTAAATGGCTATCTATTATGTTAACCAAGAAAAACTAATATCCAAAAACTTTAACAATTATCAAAACCTATGTTTTCCAGAAACAGTTTAATTTATAGTTTTTCTTTGAATTTGTTTCTAAAGTGACGAAACACGGAAGTGCAATAAGCCTAATAACAAATATTTACACAAACTAACAAATTAAACACAAACAACCAGAAGACAAATCTATACGGCTTTAGAATGTTAAAAAAAAAATACAAATTTGTGTAAATATAAAACGGATAAATATGTCCAATTAAAACAATCACAATTAACAATATGTAGATTAAAGGAGAAAGAAAGTCTGGCTTGTGAACCCAAGAGAGGCACGATAAACGTTGTCCTAAAGCCGTAGACGCCTTCCTATATGCAGGTTGTGGCGGTGTCTACAACTCCAAGATACAACCCAAAAGCCTCACAGGATGTCTGGTCCGTTATGCACGCCAACGGGAGACGGGTATGCCAAGTGTTGATCAATTGCTCAGGGAATAGATAAAGAGAATTGTAGGAGATGGAGAATGATGAGTGTGATTCAGATATGGAGTATGAGAGTAACATAGAATTGTTCGTACTCTGTATGTTAGACCAAGAGCTAACTTGTCACAAATTTGATTATACAAAATAATAAAGGGGCTAAAACTACTCATTAGGCATCAAATTTGAGCAAAAGAAATTGTCTCACGCGATACAAAAAGGACGCTCACTCCCATTCCAATTGAAAGCACATACAAGTACACACTCAATTTTAGCAAAGTTAATAATTAATTAGAGTAGCAAAAACCAGACACTTTCTAACAAACAACGTTCATCTTCTGCTTCCTGGCCGTAACAAACTTCCTCCAAATTGTTGTGATCTCCCTTGTCTTTTCCAAATCACTCTTCTTACTCTCAAGTGCCCTTGTATCTGCCGGTTTCCCATCCTCTCCGTCGGCAGCCTTCACATTGGAGCTAAGCTTAGATGGAAGTATGTCTAGTTCATGCAACACTTTCTGGATATCATTCACTAGGCGTTCCGCCAAAGTGCGAGAGAAGTCTTCTCTAATCACGACGCACAAAACTGTGACATGTTGTGCATCTGGGGGCATGGTGTAGGCAAGGACAATCCATCCAAAGCGGCGGAGCAAGTCAGAGATTTCGAACTCGTCGTGGTGGTGGTTGTACCTCAAAGAAAATCCCACCAATGGTACCCCTTCGTCTTTAGAGACTATGTTGAAGCGCTTTGTCTTCTCCAATCATTCTTTTAGTACTATCATGTTTTCACAACAATTTTCCATGACATTCCTGTATCCCTGGTTTACATGCACAACATTCAATTAATTATGCCATACATATCTTAAGATGATATGATCACCAAGCTTTTTGTTGTAGAATATCGATTATTATCATGAAACTTCAATGTTTAATGAGAACATTGCATTCGTCTACTTATCTCTTATCACAATTAGATGTCTTTATAATTCTTGATTTGGCTAATTTTTTATAATAATTATCTCTGAATACAATCAATAGTGTGCGGTGGAAGGTATGGGTGGTTCTTGTTAAGGTTTGATGGAGTGTGCGGTGGCTGCTTTAAATTTTTTATGACTCAATCAATAGTGTTAAGTTAGGTTTAAAAGTGTTATGTGAATGGAATGGTATTTTAGGAATAATGGTGGGTGCAAAGATAGGATTGTGGTTTTTCAAATTTTCATGGTGGGTGGGAAGATAAGGTGGGTGAAGAAATAGGACAGATGTGTGGAAATAGCAGCACTCTTACTTTAAAAACTGAGGTGAAAAAATCCGGAAGTATAGTAGCCAACTAGTTGAGGGTAAAAAGCCCGAAGGGTTTAGCCACATAGGCGTGCTTGGCCCGATATTTTGAAATCTTCGTCCGTCTTGAAAAAAGTGACTAAGCCCAATTGGCCGAATTCTAGTCCCGCCTGAGCCTAAAAATTTAAGATCAATGTTGCCCCGACCCAATGATGTACCATAACCATACGCATAACTCCGTCCGCGATGTAAAGGATCTTAAATGATTTTGGCATTCAGGTGTTATTGGGTTTAATTTTGAGGGCTATTCTAAAGTCTATTTTTTTTTTTTTTTTTTTTTTTTTTTTTTTTTTTTTTTTTATTTTATATTTTTTTTAGATTGCTTTTTATCACAAATGGTCCCTTAGGTTTGCAAAATTATTGTATTTCGTCCCTAACGTTTTTTTTGTGACACTAATGGTCCTTAAGGTTATCCTTCACACATCAAAATGGTCCCTGTCATTAGCTTCCTTCAAATTTTCTGTTAAGTAGCTGACGTGGCATGTGTGTGGACACATCCAATAGTATTCATCCACGTGGCTTTAAATAAAATATATTATATTTTAAAACTTAAAATCCAAAAAAACAAAAAAAAACATGTACTATCTGCGTTCTCCCTATGCCAGCGCCTCCAACCATTGCGGACCCACTCTTTGCCTCTCTCTCCCTCCTCTCTCCCTCTCTCCCTCATCTTCCTTAGTTGTGGGTTTAATTGATTTGTAGGTTTTGGTCAAACAAAAAAGGACCCAAGTGTACTGCAACTATGCCAAGTCTGCTGCAGACACAGGTTCTGGGTAAAAACGAGTGCATAAATTCAACAAAAATGATTAGCTTCTATTTTAAAAACGGAAGCAAATGATCTTCCTTGGTTGTGGGTTTCATTCATTTGCAGGTTTTTGTCAAACAAAAAGGACCCAAGCGTTTATTTCATCAAGCTATGGTAGACGCAGAAACTACATCAAGCTATAGTAGATCAGCTTGTAAAAATCAAGGAAGATGAGGGAGAGAGAGAAAGAGAAGGGAGGAAAAGGAGGGAGAGAGAGGCAGAGTGGGTTTGCGAGGGTGGGTAGGAGGCTTGGGCAGAGGATAGATTCTTTTTTTTTTTTTTTTTTTTTTTTTTTTTTGGATTGGATTTTTTACAATTTAAAATATAGTACATTTTATTTAAAGCCACGTGGATGTATACTATTGGATGTTTGGGCTCCACACACCTGCCACGTCAGTTATATAACATAAAATTTGATGGAAGTTGACGATAAAGACCATTTTGATGTGTGGAGGGTAACCTTAGGGACCATTGTTGTCACAAAAAACGTTAGGGACGAAATGTGATAATTTTGCAAACCTAAGGGACCATTTGTAATAAAAAGCCTTTTAAATTTATTCTAAAAGTCAACATTTATGAAATTAAGGACTAAATTTTGGCTATAAACAATTAAACTCTTGTTGTGGTTCGATTGACAATGATAATATGGTGGCTTTGCTTTGATTTTTTTTCTTCTATTTATATTATATATAAGTTATAATATTTCGCAACCATTTAAAAGAAAATTGCACAAATACTCTCTGAAATATTAGGATTGTATATTTGCCACCAATAATTTTTTTGAAAATTTGCTAGCCAAACTTCATGTTTGGTTCGCTTTCCTTTCCTAGCACACACGGAAGTTAACTTTACAATCTCCTCATAGCAATTAGTTTTTCTTGCTGTAAACCGAATTGTATTCATGTCTATATTATTTTATACCTTAAATAGATTTCATGTATTAATATAAATAGGGACTTTGTGTAATATGTTTCATACAAGGAAATATATTCTCTACAGAATTAAGTTCTGTCTAAAAGTATTTGCTTATTTACTGTTTTAGAGTAGTTAAGTGAGAACGAGCTCGAGTTATAAAAGGTGAAACAATAAATAAGCCAAAAGTATATTCTTTTGAGAGTCCGTGGCATAAAAATTTCTAGACAACCTTCAAAATGACACACAAAGCCCTATGTAACGGACATTTTAAAAATTACTCGAATTTGTTTGAATGGTTTATTCGGTTATTGTGCTTACCCTAACCCCCAGAGTGGATGTCTCTATCGAAGGGAAAGCGTCGGAATTAAATTACGGAAAAGTTGTGCAGGGAGACTTACAGGCGAAGGAAGCGATTGCCTGCCTCCCTTGCCCCCATTCATTTTCAGTTTCTTCTCTGATTCAATTTCAGTTTTTATAAGTTGAGAGAATTTCAAGCGAAAGCAGCAGAAGCAGCCGGTGGAGAAGGAATGGGGGTGCTCTCAAACAAGATCCAGAGGGATCAACTCAGACCTGGAGATCATATTTATTCCTGGAGGCGCGCCTACCTCTATGCCCATCACGGTTCTCTTCTCCTTTTCCCCCTGATTTTTTATTTTTATTTTATTTTTCATTATTATTATGTATTTCATGTTCGTGATTTTCTGATGTCGTTGTTTTGGATGCATTTTCAATTTTGTATATATCTTTGTTGTTCGGTCTTGTGGAAATGAATCTTGAGTACAACAGTAAGATTAGACCATTGCCAATAGACATACAATAGCATATGAGCATTGATTTATTGATCTTTTGTTCGTACGAATTGAACTAAAGAAATGTCACAGTGACTGTAGGTGACAATGGCTATCTGTTTGTATTTTAGCCATTGTCTCACTCAGGGCATGGAAAATATGTCGAATCGCAAATTGTTATGCCCCTAAATTTGTTCCCAAAATGTGTGGTTTGATTTTAAATAGATTCATAATATGATATTCACCACCTCCTCCCCCTCCACAAGAATAATCCTGGGGTTGGAGTATGAACCTATTGTTTGGATTGATAGGAATGACCTAGATGAATCGATTATCTCTGAAGAGGTTGTTTGTTGAAGTTAATAAGTTTTGTTTGAAGCAGGTACAAAAGGAGTGTTGAAATCTTAGTTCTTTACCTCTGCGTCTGTAATTTTTATGGGTGAAAACAGTTTAGCACAGTTTCTTTCCCTTGGCATCCATTATAATTTAGTTTTTCTTCTTTGTAGTTTTCACCTGTTTTCCTTAATTGTCTATGAGGAGAACCTTTGTGTTTTTGACATTTAAATGCTGCATTTAGGTCACCACGGCATTGCTGATAATTTATCTGCTATGTGATATCAGGGATATATGTCGGGGAGGGAAAGGTTATCCACTTCACTCGGGGAGCTGGCCAGGAAATTGGCACAGGAACTGTGTTAGACCGCATCATTTTCAGCTCCTCCCCATCCCATTCCCCGGACAATCCCTGCCCAAAATGCGGCGATCAATCAAGTCTTGATGGTGTCATGTCTTCTTGCATAGATTGTTTTCTATCTGGCGGTGATCTCTACCTCTTTGAATATGGTGTCAATGCTGCTTTCTTTATTGCCAAAGCTAGAGGGGGTACCTGTACGCTTGCCGCGTCTGACCCACGACAAGATGTCCTTCATCGTGCTTTTTATCTTCTCCAGAATGGTTTTGGTAGTTATGACATTTTCAAAAACAACTGTGAAGACTTTGCAATATATTGCAAAACAGGTTTGCTCGTGTACACTAGCATTAGTGTGGGCAGGAGTGGACAGGCTGCTTCCTTTTTAGCAGCTGCAAGTGCTGTTATTTCTTCACCGCTTCGATTTTTGACTACTAGTTTTACTGGTCTGGGTGCTGTTGGTTGCGGCATGTATTGTGTTAGCCGATTGGTTTCTGATATCGGAATACGTCGTGATGTTATAAAAATTCCAGTGGAGAGACTTACTGCTCCGCGTGGCCTAGATGAGGCAGAGTTTGCAACTGAAGTGGTCAAGACAGATTAATTTGTGTGCATAACCCGAAGTTGTATGGCTTGAAGGGGTTTCTGTTGATTGTTGTATTAAGGCGGACGTTGCCATGATCGATGTGCCTGCTCTTCTTTTGAACTTTTTTTTTTCCAGAAAACATATGATCTTCGTTTTATAACCATGGATAATTTTTTCATTTGTTGGTTGGTTTATTTTACAAGGCAATTGTAAGTTGTAAGTCTTATGCACTTGATGTACTTGGTTCATTTACTTCATTTTTCCTTAACCGTGGCATTAAGACCGTCATGAGCAGGCCGGGCAAGAAAGACCAATACTACAATTTTCAGGAGTTCAAGGAAGCCTTGCTCTTTAAGTTCTCCCCCTGCTTCTCGGCTTATGTAGAAACAAGCACCATAGACATTTGTTCAATACCTATAGCTGTTGTTTAATCATATAATTACAACAAATACACGGATGGGAAGAAATCCTGTTGTGTCACAAAAAAAGTCCATAATCAACATCCAAAATACCAAATGTTAATCCAACAATGAGATTTCCAGCTAGTACGGCCAAAAACCACCTCCACCCGGCTTTTTTACGAGAAGCTGACTGTATTCCGGCCTCGATGTCTGCAGTTTACACATTCAAATGTTAAGATGCTGGTCACAAAAAAGTCAAGAGTTTTTCTATATATATTTTTTTGGGTCTTTTTACACAATAATAAAACTTAAGAGCTTAAGGATTAAGTATTTGGGTGAACAAAGAAAAGTGTGGGGTTAAAAATAGAAAAACTCAAAAATTAAACCATTTCAATTGAGATGGAATGAATAAAAAAGGGAAGAACATGAACAAAGTCACTGTCGTGTGCTGCATTAAGCTTCCGTCTTGGAAGGTTTAGAAACATCTATAACTCAGAACATCAAGATCCTTAAAATCAGATTGTTCGCCAAAAGAAAACAAAAGATACCAAAAGCAGGTTGAAACAGCAAAGAGGATCCTTAAAGTGGCCCTTCTTTATATCACAAATCATATAACCCCGTTGGTATGTAAGTGAAGGTTCAGAAGATCAAATAGTTGTTTCATTTTCACCTGGTGCATTTGCTGGTTGTTTTTACCCTTTACTTTTTCAAGGGTTTCTCATACCAATTTTTGTTCTGGTCTCTAATTAATACAAGCTGGTAATCCAATAAGCATCAACTTCAATAAATTTTTATAGTAGCTTAATCATCAAGCATTGGGTGAAAATAAGCAAAATTACCTTCCATCCAATGATCCAATCAGGTTCTCAAAATATTTTTCGTTTGTTAATAAAGTTTAGCAGTGAATTTAAAGTGCCAGAAAAGGTCGTTAGTGTAAACAATCTTAGAATTAGCAAGAAAAAACTATCCACTCATAAAGGAATCAGATAAATTTACCTATTAATGACACAACAAAGGATTTGGTGATGTATTGAATTTCTATTAATTGTTTCATTCCAAAATGTGGTGTTCTTATTTCAGCAGACAAAACCAGCCAAAAGGAACTCAGCAGACAGGAGCTAGGGATCAGGTGGTTATTAATTCAGAGAGAGGAACTTTGATTTTTCAGAGACACTAACCTAGATATAAATAGAAAAGCATCGCCAAGAAAATATTCAGAAACAAATATACCAGCCTAAATTTCTCGCTACCCTATTTCTGATTTTCTTTTCTAGTTATCAATCAATCTGTCACTCATTTTGGCAACCAACTATATACTTTATGGCCACACTCATTTTTCATCCCAACCTAAGTGCTTTTTTTTTCTTCCGACTACAAAGATCTCCCAAGATCAATAATTTTATTAAAATTCATATAAACTTAAAGGGTTTGGTTGACTAATCTCGAAAATAGATTTTACACAATGCAATGTTACTCTGAAAATGTCAAAAGGGCATTTTCATACAAGAATAAAGCATAGAAGACTATCTGGGTCTCTCTCCGTAGCTTTACCCTTTACTCTTCAACAACACAGCAAGCTTCTTCATACACACACCCCTTGTGAATCAGACTGTCATTTCTTGGGTACTATGTAGACACACCAAAGAGTTTGGAAATCACAAATTACGGAAAGGTTAATTTGGTCAATTTTTAATTTTTGCATGGATGGTGTGGAATGAGTTTTGTTGTAAAGAAGATGAGGAAAAGGGCTTGAAAAAGGTTGGGCAACCAGTGGTAGGGCCAGTATTGGAGGCTTCTCTGTCTCCTTCTCATTTGGGCTTTCATTTTTCATGATTATCTATGCAATAGGTTTTGTTTGTTTTTGGAGGTTTTGGCCTCAAATGCATCCTGTTTTGGTTATAAATTAATGCAGCCGAATTGGTATAACATTTCCTTGGAACTAAAATACATTTTGTAAGATTTCTGCTACAGTGTGAAATTTATAGGGATTAAAATGTGATGTATTCAGAATTTGTTCCTAGGAATGGTGGATTTTCATTGTTTCTTTGCTGGGTTTTTGTTTACGTTTTCATAAATGCAATGTCTGTGATCACATCAGATTTTGGCTTAGTTGTACTGGGTATAGGTTTCCTTGAGATGGCCAGGGAATTTTGTTCTTTATATGCACTTGCATTTAACTTTTTAGCTTCCTAGAAATGCATATGCCTAGATTCCTTCCTTACTTATGTCAAACCTCCATTTCAGCTACACTCCATGTGATGGGGCTTGCTACGCTAGCCTAGATAGAAAAGGCGCCATTTCTTAACTAACTTCTAGAGCAGACTACAATTGCAATCCCCTTAAAGAAGAGTTCCGAGGTTGAAAGATCAAATTAGGGGTGTAAGGACTGTTGAAATTACCATATGAATGGCCATTTAGGTAAAGAAACAAACTTTGAACACTACCAAACCTTAATAGGAACCAAGGTTTCTGATTTAAGCTTTTCTAATGTTCATCCATAACTCTGAGTCAGAATAACTCGTCTAAAAAACGTCCAAAAGTTTCATTTAATTTCATCACATACCCAAAAAGTTTTATTTGGCAAGTTCAATAAAAAAAAGTTACCAAATTGCAAGAATCTGTATATTTCAATCGTTGTGTAAGATTCACATATCGCATGAGGTGATTAGCAATATGAACAGAATCAATTTCAAGAGGAACGCGAATTGGGAAACCTAAAAGCATGGATTATAAGAAGAGAAAGAGAACTTACGAGATCTTTGAAAACGAGGAACGCGATCACGAAGAAAAGAACAAACAGGATTTCAAACTCGGCGAATTTGACGAACCCAAAGACCGACTGAACCCACCGAGTCAATGCGGACTCGTTCGAGTTCCTGCTCCCGACTCGCTTCCCCATCTCTCTTGCTCCTCCTCTGTCTCTTCTGCCTTCGGTTACCTTGGTAGTTGGTAGTAAAGGGGTTCGGGTCCGACAGCTCGAAGATGGCATTGATTTTCACGGGTTTCGTTTTATTTTAGAGAAATAAAAAATAAAAAAATAAAACAGAAAAGTCAGATTCTGAACAAAAAGATAAAAAATAATGGTCAATTTGTAATTTTAGCTAAATTGTGAAATGGTAAATGAGATTTCTTTATCTACACACATTGATAAAATGTCAATTTTACTACTCAAACTATTGTCAGTTTAGGTCATTTCTAAACGGACCGTGATTTTGGTTTCATAATTTTTTCCTTTCCTCCTATTATCTCTTTTTTTATCCTTGCAGAATTCTATTAAGAACTTGATAGCATGAAGTATAACTTGTATGTTGTGTTCTTTAAAAAAAAAAAAAAAAAAAAAAAAAAAAAAAAAAAAATTTATTGAGCGGACGTGATTGGTAACGACAACACCTTTATTTCACCAAATAAAATTATTTTTGCTCACCACCTTTTATAAAGCACATTGCACAATGCAATTGGCCTATATTGCACCCACAAACTAAAAGTTTTTCAAGCTTTATGGAAAGTGTTTTTGACACTACATATATAACACGCAATCTTATGAAGTGAAAATATATTATCGATATTTTGAATTTTTATACAAGAGTGCATTGAAGCCTTTCGGGAGTACAAATAAAGTTGCTCTAATTTTATTATTATTTTTTTATTTATAAGAAAACTAAAAACCTTACAACCGGAAACCACAATGGCACGCAAGCCACTGAATTGATTACCATTAATTTATGATAATGATAATAATAATATTGTTTTCATTTTGGAAAAAATATACAATACTAGTCATTTTACTTCTCTTGATGGAAAAAATATAATAGGACAAAATAATGATGTAAATATTTGGACTTGGAATGGCAAACAAATAGGGATTTGTGTGACTATTCTCGTGATCGACAAAATACACGAAATCCCTAAATTGAAACACGGAAGACGGGAAGACAGAGAGAGAGAGAGAGAGAGAAAGAAAGAGAGGAAGAAAGAAAGAGAGGCTCACGGTTCTTCTTGTTCCTACATTGTAATCCATGGCGTCAACGAGTCAACGACCCCTCCTCATCGCCCTCCTAACCCTCTCGATCTTCGCAATCTCAGCCACCGCAACAAGGCCCTGCAAGACCCTCTTCATTTCCTCCTACTCCTTCTCCCTCCGCCGCCTCCCATCCTCCTCTTCCTCCTCCGGCTTCGTCACCGTCGTCACCGAGATCAGCCGACTCCGCCCCGTCCGCTACGACGACCTTGTCATCCAACCCCACGAAGAAGACGATAAGCGAACTCAGGCGGCGTCGCTCTTTCCCTTGATCGGAACGACGTCGGCCTCCTCCTCGTCCTACGACCTCAACTCTCTCCGCGATCGCACCAGGGACATCCTGAGCATCGTCGTTTCTCTGCTCTTCGGCGTCGGCTGCGGCGCTCTCACCGCCGCTACCATGTACTTGGCTTGGTCCGTCTTCTTCAGTCGCTACGACAACGGCTCTGCGTCTTCCTTCGATGACGATTTCTATGACGCCAGCCCTAAGAAGATAGGTTATGTAAAGATTCCGGAGGTGGCCGCGGACTCCGTGCCAACACCACCGTCCCCAGTCAAGGAAGCCGCCGCGGTGTGAATATGACGATTATGGCAAATTGGTAATTCCATAAATAGTTTATAATTTAAAAAAATGTTGCCTTTGGATGATGGGCACGTTGTGACTGTTGTGGATTCGTGATAAAATAAGCTTATATCGGACGCTGTGGTATGTATTTATCATTTTATGTCTAAAATATTGGCTCTTGCCCTTTCTCTATATATATTATCTGAATATGATACATTTGGGCTGTTGTTTTACTCTATTATATATTTCTGTAATTTTTTTACATTATGTTGATGCTGATCAATGGGTTCAATTTAGCATACACATATGCATATGTGTGTACCTACATTGAGTTTATACCCTTGCTACTTCACTTGTTCTAGGGTCTTTTGTTAACTGTTTCTCACCCATTTATTGTTGGGAAGGTGAAAGATTGTCTCCCTGTTGTATTCATGACTGCATGACTGATTTTGATGGTATTTGTGGTTGACCTCATTCTACTTGGAGATTTTTCACATCAGGTAGGGAGAAGGCAATCATTTTAATCTTTGTTTTTGGTACGGTTAACTGTAAATTTTCTTACTTTATAGAGTTATGTTTGCTGTTTTCTTTATTTGTCTCGGTTTCCTATGGAAAGATGAATTTTTTTGAAAGATATGCTTTATAGAAGGCTTGGCTATTTGTAGGTTGTTAATAGGATGATTGGGAAAATTTGGTGATGAGCCAGATAGCATAATTCAAATTGTAGAGGTTATGTTAACATAATACTGTGAATTGTTGATTTCATCAATTAATCCCGTGTGCTAGCATTTTACCATGTATACTGATAGTTGGCAGTGCATACTCTACAGGAGTAAAAACAAAAATATGGCGTTTTATTTGAGAATATTTATACTTATTTGTGTGAACATGGTATATATTGAATGATACTAATGTATGTACCATTCTTTGGCTGTATCTTGGATAGCATTATTTTCTCAGTTATTGTAAGTGGGCAGTTGTATGATTAATATGTTAAATTTTAAATAATAGGCTTTCTTGTTTTTAAGTGGGAAAGAGAAGCACATTCTGAAGTTGCATGGATGATAGCATGAATATCTCAAACCAGTTATGTTTAGCGAGCGTATTGTTAGTGATCTTGGGAATCATGGGATTTAAGGGCTGTTTAACCATGAAAGGTGCTGGTTCATAACTAGCTAGGAACGCTTGCTAGGGGTGTTTAGAGGTCACAAGAACCATTAATTTCGGAGCAAATTAGTCTTAAAAAAGGGTTGGATTGTGATAATTCCTTGGTGGCAAGTCATTGAGGAACAATAAGGTTTCGAGGGGTTAAGATAAAAAGACTTTGTTATGGGTTGGATGTGAAAAGTTTTACACGAGAATATTTCAGAAGTCATAAGAGATGGGTTATGGGTTGCAGGTGAAATAGAATTTCAGAGGTCAAGTTATGGCCATTGTGACGGTAGACGATAATCGCGCGAAATAGTGTTGCTGCGCACTGGATTTAGTGGTTATATTGTATTTGGTAGATAAAGAATCTAGATATGATGAAGCCTTCATGTAGCTGAAGAGTGCGCACTGCGCAGTAAATTCTTGAATAGAAGGGAAGAGGGAAACAAGAGGAGGTTAGATCAACTCTCAAAACTAGGCCTTTCCAGTTGTAAATCTGCCCCGTTTGGATCCCCTGGGATTTGAATGTGTATTTAGATTTCAAATCTATGAACCTATGCATTTGAAATTCATAGATTTCAAATCTACATGTTTGGATATAAAGTTGCAAAGCAAGAACTGTAGTTAGGGATTCCAAACAAAAAGTCAATTAATTAGACATTGTTACAAAATTACAGTGTTATAGTAATAAAAAAAAGGGAGATTCATTATTATACCAAATATAGGGGCCAAAATTATAAAAATACCCCATATGAAATGGACTTTATAAACACACATAAAGCTCATTTACTACATAAAAAAGAGGCTTTTAACTTCTTATAAATTACAAAATTGCCATCAATTTCTTAAAACAAGCCTAATCTCAAAATCTCATAAAAATAACTCAAAACACTCAATAGGCATCAAAGTAATTTAATAATCAATATTAAATTCAGTAAGGCCAGCTGTTATTTTTTGGGTTTGTTTATAGAAATTCAATGTTGTATGGTTTATTTATAATATTAGTGCTAAGAATGGGTATATCACTAAATATCTCTAAAAAAAAGGTTCCGGAGAAATGGACAGAAATAATTGTCAAAATTACATCACTTTTCTTTTCCTTTTGGATCATCACGTTCTCATATTTTCTAACCAACTTTCCATTCCACTAAACACTCCAGATATGATCTACTTTTATACTGATTACTCGTATTATTGACACACATATTTGGAGATTTCAATATTTAGCAACAATACAACAAGAGCAACCAAGATCTGAACTTGCTCGTGACTTGACTTGTGAAGCTCAACTGTCTTGGACTTGCCGATAGTTTGGTTGCCAAGATTGCAAAGGGAAAATGTGGGTGAGATTGGAGTGATGACAAACCACAACCATAGATTTGAATCCAACTCAGAGAACCAGGTGCCCCTGATTTTTCAGGGTAAGAAGGGGTAGAGAAAATGCCTCGAGCCAATGTTCGAGTACCAGGCACCATGGCGGCCTTACTCAACAAGCACCTTTATTAGTAAGGTTGCCTTAAACGATCAAGAGCAAGCCTTAAACGAGAAAAAAAAATGTAGGGAGGGCGAGAGAGAGGAGAGATGAGCATGCAATTTGACAAAGTGTTTCAGATCTAAGATATGGAAGACCTAGACATGAGATGAACCTAGACATAAGATATGCAATTTAATCTTTCAACCGTTATGGAACTGTTAAGCTTGTTCTTTTTGGTCCTTATAGAGGCAATTCAATCTATCAATTCAAACTAATGACAACGTTATGTTTTGCTTTTGGATTCAAGTAAAGACATTGTTTCACTTAAACAAAGAAGTCTTATGGATTAAACTTAAAGCAAAATTGCTTAAAGGTTAATTTCCAATAAAATAAAATGATATTGCCTTTCACTTAATCAGGATATTGTTTCTAGCTCCTGATTGAAGCAGCATGCGGGCATTTTTCCTTTAATTGCTTATAAAAACAGTATAGCCGTTCGGCTATACATATTTAATCTAATAAAAGTAAAATATTTTTTTTTAAAAATTGAAGAAGTTCTATTTGCTCAATAAACGTACCTATATTTATTTTTGTTTGTCCACTACCACTATTTACGTAATAAATCTAAAAAGATTATGATAAACCTATAAAAAAAATTTAAACTAAAAATAGAAATTTTTTACGAACGGGATCGAGAATCATTATTAATTCGACACAAGAAAGGGTTGTGGAAAATTCCGTTTCTTGTGTCAAGGACTAGTAGACGAACAATCCCCCCTAAAATCCTTTGTTCCTCTCATTTATACTTTGGTTTATATTCTCCGCTTATTTATCTTTTGTTTTTCTAATTTTTTTAAAAAATAGTATAGCCGTACGGCTGTACTCGTTTGACGCGGTCTTTCCAGACTATCTTAGAATTTTTTAAGAAATAGTATAGCTGCGCGGCTATACTCTCTTTCTTATATTTTTTTTCCCAAAAATAGTATAGGCACCCGGCTTTACTCGTTTGACACGTGGCACCTAGGCCCGAGCGCGTCCATATAAATAGTCTAGCCGTGCGGCTATATTGTTTAAAATGAAAATTTAATTTGGGAAATTTCATCGGGATAGGTTTTTTTTTAAAAAAATATAAAATTAGTTTCTTTACTTTTGTTTTTTGGCCTACTTCTTTGATTTAATATATGTAATTAAGTAATATGTTAGCCTTTTTTAATTACTTTAATTAGTAATTATTTTTTAAACAACAAATGGAATAATGAAATTAAATATGGCGTTTGCTCCACTAGGATACAACTTTCTAAATCAAAGTCCTGGCACTAGGGCTTTCATTTCTAACGAAATTTGTGTGTTTATCTATGCGGCTATACAAGAATGATGATATGCATGTGCTTTGCGAATTTACAAGACAAACTCAAAACATTATATGATATTTGGATTTTAAAAATAATTCAAATAATTAATTAACTAATCATTTCGAGGTCGGGTGCACGGGGCCTATAAACAATAGAGGAATACAAACTCCTTGCACTAATAAATCCATTGTAGTTGTAATTGTTGATTATTGTGGTTCAACGGGGTGTGGAACCATCAATCTTTCTAAAGATGCATTTGCGAGAATTGCCAATTTGGATGCTGGAAGAATCCAAATTGACTATACTAGGTAATCGTTGATTATTGTGCTTCAACCCCAAAAAAAGAAAAAAAAAGGAACATGAATTGCAAGCATTTGGATTTAATTTGTTGCCACAACATAATAATGAATGAAGTATAAACTTGATTTGATAGTGCATATGTTTTTAATCTTACGCGTTTCTACTTTGCAGGATTCCAGGGATTGGCGGGTAAGTTCCAGGATCCAAGGAAAAGCAGCATATCAGATCAAAGAAAACAAGGACAAGAAGCATATGTTTTGGAGACACATCAAGAAAAAATATAAATATTGCAGAAACTCCTACCTTTTTGAGCATATTACTGTTGTTTGTTATTGTTCAACTACGAGTTTGGATAATGTAGAGGTAAATGCTCATAACCACTTGAGTTATTGCTTGCATTGTTCAAACCTCGGTGTGTTTAATGCCATGCATAGGCCTTTCTGTTGGATATGTGTTAGAAGAGTGATTTTTGAGTTGCTAAAACTTGAGTTACTAAATTACTTTGTAATCATCCCTGTCAAACAAATGAGACTTTAGATGCTTGTCAATTGCGAGCGACGCCATCAAAATATTGTCCCTGAGCACGTGACCTATCTCCAACAACAAACTCAAAAACCTCACCATTGACTCCAACTAGGTTACATATCTTTTTATGTTCAACTACGAGTTTGTCATACATATGTATGTTTAATGTCAAGAAGAGGCCTTTCTGTTGAATGTGTCAAATCTTAATCGAATGTATAAAAGTGTTTACCTCTAGAAAGAAGTCGATCCCAGAAGAGTGATACAAACGGTTCAACACTGTTGTGATGCTTGGCCGACGACATTTGAGTTGCTAAAACTTGAGTTAATCAGTTATTTTGTCATCATCCCTGTCAAAGCAACACGACTTTAGATGCTTGTCAATTACAAGCGACGCCAACATGATTTCGTCCATGAGCACATGCGACCTATCTCCAGCAACAAACTCAAAAACCTCGCCGTTAACTTCAACTAAGCTACAACCTGGCACCTTTCTCACCTTTTTTTCCTCCATTCCCTTCCTTAGCACTGTGACATCATCCCACTGGTTGGCAGAGGCATAGATGTTTGAAAGAAGAACATGCACACCGCTGTGGTCTAAACTTTTCCCGGACAAGCGCTCAACCATTTCTTTACCCAACTCAACATCTCCATGAACTCTACAAGCATTGAGCAATGCACCCAAGACGTAAGAGTCTGGTTCCATGGGCATCTCTCTAACAACCTTCTTTGCCTCTTCTAGCATCCCAGCTCTCCCTAGTAAATCTACCAAACAACCATAGTGCTGGATGCCTGGTTGTATCCTGAAAGTACTAGATATACTTCCAAATATACGCAATCCCTCATCCACCAAGCCCATTCGGCTGCAAGCACTCAACACGCATATAAATGTAACTTCATTAGGTGCAATTCCTTCATCCTGCATTCTCGCAAACAGCGAAATGGCACCTGCACTATCACCGTTATTGGCCAGCCCCGAAATCAAACAAGTAAAAGCAAAGACATCCCTACTCGGCATCTCATTAAATACAGCACGAGCAGTTTCAATACAACCACACTTTGTGTACATGTCGACGAGAGCAGTGCCCAACACTATATCTAATTGCATCCTCTTCCTGTTGACATATGCATGTATCCATCTTCCCTGATCCAGTGCACCAAGAAAAGCACAAGCAGTGAGTGAACCAACAATCCCGGCGTGGTTAGGCAAAAACCCAGACGCCTGCATATCGACAAAAAGCTCCAAGGCCTCCCTAAACAACCCAACTCGCACATACCCATTAATCATAGCGCTCCAAGAAACCGCATTCTTTTGAGGCATTTGATCAAACAGCTCCCGTGCAATGACAACTTGGCCAGACTTGACATACCCATTAATCAATGCAGTCCAGGTAACAACATCTCTATATACGCTCATGTCAAACAATTTACGAGCTGGGTTTATGAAATCACAAGTCACATACAAATGGATCAACCCGTTCTGCACAAAATCGTGAGATTCCCAACCAAGCCTAATGGCATGGCAATGGAGCACCAAACCGAAAGAGAGATAAGAGAGGTCAGCGCAAGCTCTAAGAAGAAAGGAGAAAGTGTAGTTGTTGGGCAAGAAGCCACTCTGAATCATATCACTGTATAGAGATACGGCTCTCATGGACTCATTGTTCTCAGCTAAAGCTCTGATCACGACGTTCCAAATGTAGGTGGTTCGGTAAGGCATATGACGAAAGAGTTGAAACGCATGTCGTAAATCACCAGAGTTGGATACAGTACAGAAGGTAATGATCTTGGCAGCTGCATAAGGATCGAAAAGGGTACCTGAAACTGTGAGGTGGCTTTGAATTTGCTTGATATGCGCCATGCTGAGACATTGATCCAAGATTGATAGGGCTCTCTTACTTGATTTCATATATTATTTTAGAGTTTGGAGTTGGGAGTTGGGAGCCAATCTGATTACTTGACTGAGTTTGTTTTGAAAAATGACCCCAACCCCATAATATGTCTACTTAAGGGAAGTGGAATGATACAACAAAACAAATGCCAAGATAAAAATTCAGAACATAACCCAGTAAGCTTCACCATTCTTCTCATAATATTCTTATTATAAAGCTGAGCTTGCAATGCTTTTGCAGAACATGGTGTTTACAAGTAATCCCTCTAAAGCTTGTGAAATCCAATATGAATATAGATGGGGAGCTTTTCCTTCCAAAATCGGCCCATGATGTTCCAAAGCGTAGCACAATGCAAAAATTCCTAAAAATGATACACTTGAATTTTAAATAGTACCGCAACACGGCTATACTGTTTAAATATATTCAAATATTTTAAACGTCTAGCCCAGGGGCTATACTCCTGAAACATATTATTATTATTATTATTATTATTATTACTATTTAAAGTGTATTGCCGCGCGGCTGTACTCGTTAAATAGCCGTTCGGCTATACTCTTAAAATATATTAAATATATTAATATTTAAAGTGTATAGCCGCTCGGCTATACCATTTTACATGTATTAAGTATATTAATCTTTAAATAGTATAGCCGGCTATACTATTTAAATATATTGGAATATTTAAAAAGTACGGCCGCGCGGCTATACTATTGAAATTTTAAACAACCACACCTTACAAACCAAAAGTGACTTTTGGCCTACTAATTTTTAAGATAACGAATGACAATAAAGTGAGTCCAGTCACATAATTATAATCAATTAAATTCTTCTCAATATTTTAATAAACTTTCAAGCATAGAACTTGAAAAGGATGAGCAAACAATTTTATCCCATGCAATCGCAGGTGTGGTGCTTCTAGTATTTTTCATCAGACAACCAGGAAAAATAGCTAGATCAGGAATAATGCCACACCCACAAAGCTGCACTCCATAATCTATTAATTTCTCGACGCTAAATTCCTTGCTGGAACCAAAGAAAAAAAAGATAAAATGCTATAAATCTTCGACGTTTAATGATTATCTCTTCTGAGTTCCAAACTTCAAACATAATTTAACCACGTATCATATTCATCAGAGCTAAACAGTCTCTGAAACATAAGTCATATAATACTGATAGAAATGCACGCTGAAAGGGGGAGAGAGCACCAGATTGAGCATATACATTCAACTGGAAGTTTCTCCCTTTGTAAGAGGACTAGAACCAACACGTGGAAGTGTTTCATACAATTAGCTAAGTTCAATATTCAAGTGAGCCAAGAGATGGGAGCCCGGAAACAATGTCTTGAGCTTCACCGCCACTGCTGTTCAACCTTTGACCCGTATTCGGGTTAAAGGGTTCAACTGCTTGGTCCCCCATTTTGTGTACATCCTCGGGAGAAAGTATCTTGATATACCAAACATTGTTCACAAATGACCTGCATATCATATGATTTCATATATTAGTCAGACCTCCAAAAATGCCGTTTCTAATTGTTCCCTACTATAAGGACAGTTCAGTGAACTAGAGAAACCACCTAAAAAGAAAAGTTGAAGTGAAGACTAAAGAAAGTTTTCAATTATTCTTGGTGCTTCTTTGATTAACAATGTTAATTCAACATCAACATGAAACCACTCTAATTCTTCATTTAAAATTTTAGTAAACCAGTAATTTGACATCCAGGTTATCTGTGTGAGGCTCATAGCTCCAATGGTACAGCACTTCCATGCAATAGTTCAACCTCACCCTTCCCCTCATCCCCTCTCTCCCCCCATTCGCTTCCCTAGTCCTCAAGCTCCCTTTTGACCAAGATAAACAAGGCAGATTTTCTAAGGCTTGGTTTAACAGTGAGATTTTATTTTTTGCAAACTCGCTATATGAAATAAAGAGAGAAGAAAATGGAAATATCGAAAATTACTGTGCAATACACGCAATTTCAAATGTGTTAGTGCTCTAATTTAAGGTCTTATCTTTATTGACCTATAGACAAAATTTTAGCATGTAACAAAGCCAGTAATTGATTCAATATTTGTGGCAAGCATCATTGGCTAACTTTTACCCAGAAAACTTCAATCAAAAGAAAAACTTTACTATAAAAATATACACAAATAACTTAAGATTATCTATTTCTGGCTACAGTGGGGGCCTGGAGTTTAGATATTGACTAGGCTTTAAGCTGTATTACCCTTCCTTAATCTGTTACCAACACAAAGGCAGAACATCTTCACTTATTCCACCAAAAAATTATACGGCTAATTTTGTTGAGTTGAACAAGAGCATAGGGTAATTTTGTAAGGTTAAATGAGTCCACATCCTCCATAAACTGAATCTTCTATTTTACATCTAGCCCATTTTACTTTCTTTCACATGCAGATCATGCGTGTCTTGTAATAAGTGAACACTTGATCCAGAAAATTCCTGGACAAAAAATGCTAAAAATGGTGTAAATAGATTAGGACCAAATCAATTTCCCCATAACATTCAAGAGCCTCTTTAAATTATATCATTTACTGTTCAGGAAGACTTAAAAGTAGTCAACAGAAAGGCCTACAGTCTTCTGATTAGTATAGCCAAAATAATCATAAAATTAAAAAACTTTTGTTGCTTTACCACTGTTAAAAGAATCATAAGATTTTGAACTTGGTGTTTTTAATGGTGTCCTTGAAACGCACCTCCAGAAAAACTGACAAAGGAAAACCTTGAGGCGGCATCTGCATGCCTGTGTCTTACGAGAGGCACAGCTTGGGTACCAATCTCTTCTTAAAACTCTTAGGCCAAATGGCATTGTTTGGCCTGGGCTTTTAAAAATTTTAACAGCCCATGCCAAATGGCCTGAGTTGCTAAAATAAGGAGAAACCATAAGACCAAATAGAAATTAATCTCCAAAATCCATTCCCCTCTTTCACAGCTCCCAACCACAACCCAGGAGCTCTAAGGTGCATCCCACTTGTCATCAGAAGCTCTAAGCCCCATTCTCAAGGTACCCAGTTATCTTTTTCTTTTGTTCCTTTTTTCTTTTCTTTTTTCAATTCTTCCCCTCCACAAGAAGTATGTGGGGGTAATTTTGGAAGTATTTGTGAATTATCATACAAAAAATTGAATGTAGCATGTGTTGAGATTACTTGTTCTGCTTCAATTATAAATAATAACTTTTAAAACCAATTTTATATGTTTCAATCAAATATATCAATTTGAGGATCAAGAGGCTTGCGCCTTTAGTTTTGAGTAATACATAGTATTATGCCTTCGCCTTTGAACACATCGATTAGATTGTGGGACAAAGGTATTCTATATCCTAACCAATTTTCCACACATGGGCATCCCACCTGGAGCCCAACACGTTAAGTTCAATATAAATTAGGACTATGAGGTTGCACTTGCAAGAACTCAACTTAGTATCTGTCACTCTGGATCCATGCTTAGTTTTGTTTGTTTACTACTACTATTGTTCCCAAAAAGTAAGTTACTAGGACCTGATCCAATAATTATTTTATGTTCGAATGATGATGAAGACCATATTCCATTAGCTTAGTCATTGTTTCTTTATAGGATAACTATTAGTGTAATTATCAAGGATTAAATTCGGATATGAGAGGAACTCCATGCATACAAGTATCCAATGGCAAACAGCTATATGTAACTGAACCAAGAACTTACTCCCACGGGTCGTCACCAAGGAGAAGCACATCATTCTCCCTGTCAACGAATACAAGCTGCCAGCCTGATCTAAGACGGTCTTCCAACTTCCCCTCAATTCCGAACATCTGCCCCAGCTCTTCTCGCAGCTCATGGTAACTGCTGAACCGGGATATGTCCAATGAGCGGCCAACCGAACCTGACTTGTAAACCTGCACTAACAACACAGTATCATCCGTCCAACAATTTTAAAAATGCAAGAAAATTGAAAGAACAAAAACACCTAATTACTTTCATCTCACACCTTGACAAATGTACAATTTGGGGTTGGTGGGTCAACTTGCCCTGCACTGTGCAACAACTCAGACGAGTCTTGCATGCAACCATACAGAGAGCTCTGAAATCCAGAGTCTCCTAATGGCATTGACATGTCAGCATCATTTGAAGAAGTGGCAAAACTGGGCGCTGTGGTGGGGAACAGAAGTCCAGATGATTCAATATTAACACCAAAGAGAGTAGGATTCTGGGAATCTGAATTACAATTCTCTTGCTCAACTGCATTGTCTTTCTCATTAAATGGTGGAAATGACATTGAGTTGGCAAAAGCATTGACCTGTGCATGTGCATACTTTGGAGCCCAAGATTGTTGAGGTAACTGCTCAGTTGGCATAGAATGACCAGCCCTGGATGAGCTTAAAAGATTTCCACTCCCTTCAGGACAAAGTGTACCAAGCATGTTCTGTCTGGGGGTAGTAGATGCTGAGAACTTTGTGTTTGAATCACTGAAGTCTGTTTTAGGAAACGATGGAGATGGCACATTCATTTGCTGACTCTGTTGGAGCTGTTCAGTTTGAACCTTGAGTGCATCATGATAGGTGTTTTGCTGTTGCTGCACCTGCTCCTCTGTTTGATTGTTAAATTGTTGCTGTAGAAGGTGCTGAGGCAGATTCTCCAGTGAAACTTGTGGTTGTGCCTGCAGAATATTATGAGGGATTGATTGCTGAATTTGCTGTTGCAACTGCAACATTGGATTGTGGCTACTCGACTGCTGAACATACTGAAAGGGCTGCTGAAAGTGCATCATATGTTGTCTTAGCTGATCTCCACTTCCTAGATTCTGCAAACCAGCAGCCAACATGGCCTGGTACTGCGGATTGTGATCATTTCCAATCAATGTTGAATCCAATCTCTGTTGCATCCAAGGAAACATACCAACAGGTTGAAAGTTCATGGAGTGAAGACCTTGCTCTCCAGTTCCCCCCCTAAGCCACATTAAGCTGTTGGCGTCATCTCTATTATCTGCAGTAACAACAAAGATAGAATAGAATTTAAGCTATTTGGGCCTCTAATACACCTTTGGAGTGAGCTTCATGGAAAAATTCTGACAACAGACAACCTGATGACAGAGGGTAATGGAAACACCATGGTCTGCCTTTATAGTGAATTATGTAGTGTTTCAATGAAATACCACAGTTTTGACCAAAACCATATAAAATGGCACTACCTTGACTGAAACCATGGAAAGTGGAATTCTAAACGGGTCATGCTTATCTCATTGGAAAATGAAATGCTTGCGTCTTATGTTGGAATAAAACGAAGGAATATGTGCCACAGCCTTCTTGCTCAATGTATTTTATATGAGAGTCAGTCATGAGATGATGATGCCTAAAACCTCAACGATTCTTAACATGAGAAACTACAGTACAGCATATTGAATGGAGAAAAATAATATGCGTGTGATTTTCAACAGCCCTAGACTCTTACTGTCTTACTGTCTCTTCCTACTATTGTCAGTTGTATCCTGCCATTCTCAGTTTCCTCAACCTTCCTGCATGGCTGTGCCTAGGTACATTCTTGCTTACCAAAGTATTTAAATACTCAATCTTTGTTCCCTAAAGTCAGTTTTGTGCTAAAATAAAAAGATTTAGACTTAATCAAAAACCTGTCCCCAATCATTTTTGCCTCAGTGAGAGACTACAATAGCATGGAGTAGATATGAGGATAAAGGCACCAAATAATATTGTCAATACTAAACATTAGCCCAGTACATGCATAAAGAAGAGTATTTTACTGAACCAGTTTTGAAATTTAAAATTAACACTTCTCCATAAAGAAATTTACTTGACCTCAACTGGGTCACTCTAAGAATAAGCATATCAAGCATAAGCGTATCAAGATGAATCCACTCAACCCCAAAGGCAAGAAAAGATAAATTGAAAACTGCATTTGGTTTTTCTGAAGATAAAGGCACCAAATAATCAGCCCACATATAGCTTTTACCTTGCATAGATGAGGCCCCAGGATGCCAAGGGCGTTTTAGTCGAAGGGGAAACAATGATGGGTACATGGGGAAAGTTGTCAAAGGCTCAATCTCCCATAACGATACCCTGGGCTGCCTCTCACCTGCAGTGGACTCATCCCAACCAACCTACAAATAGGAAAGAACAATATGTTAAATATAAAAACTACTTTCAAGGGAGAAACAACATGGTCTGGACTCATGAATCCTGTTACGGATCTACATAGTTCATCAGTCATAAAAAAGGAACACTGTAACAACTTTTTGTTCTCTCTTTCATATCCACCTTTTCTTCTTTGATGAGTGGAAACAGGTTAATTAAAAAATTGTAGAACCATAAGAATTCCCCTTTTTTATTGTACGTTCTAGTATTGCATGAAACACCATCCTAGACAAGTTGGTGTCATTGTATAATAAGCACAATCAGAGAAAGTAGATGGAGATTTTTTCTGTCTTTAAGAGGTCATGTTATCCTTCATCAAACAATACCAGATACTGTCCTACCTACTACATTATATAGGATTAGAAGTGGAGTCATATACAAATAATTGGAAGGAAACTTTATTGCACTACAGTAGAAAAATTATGCTCTATTACCTTGACAGACCGCCAATGAGAATTTGGCCACCGAACAGGATCCAGATCACTTATGCCAGTTATCGTACCCATGTACCTTGACAAGACAAGCATTGGATATGTCAAAAGTTCACATCTAAGTATAGCAATGCTTCGCGCATAAGGAAACATCAATGTTTGCTGATATGAACTTGTTGCCTCAGTATTAGGTATGTTGCACGAACACTTCAATTAGCTAAAGTATTGGAGTGTCGGACACTCGGACACAGCTTGGACACGCATTGGACACAGTCAACCCATGGTCCAGACACGGAAGGGTCAATTTTGTATTTTTAAGAAAACTGGGGTCAAAACACAATTATTGAAACTTTCTGAGGGACTAATTTGAAAATTTTAAAAATAACTGGAGGGTCAAAATTATAATTTCGAAACTCTTTTATACTTATACCAACTACCTTCTCAGCCCTTCCTCTCTCTCCAACTTTCCCCACCTTTTTCTTCTCTTCTTTTCTTAGTTTTCATTATATTTTCTTCTTTTCTTGGTACTTGAGAGAAATTTATGTTTTATTTTGTGTGGTTTTAATTATTATGTGGATGAATCATGAGAAGTACATGAGTGCTTTGTTTTATTTATGGTATTATAAATTGAAGTATGAACATGAACAGTTTGTTTATTTAATATATAAAAACATTATTATAAATTTATTTAATTTTCAATTGCCATGTTAGTGTCCTAGTTTTTTTATATTTTCCGTATCCCCATATCCCCGTGTCTCGTATCCGTGTCCGTGTCCGTGCAACATAGGGTAATACCCAATAAAAAAGATTGATCTTTTGGTGGTTTAATTCTAGAGAAATGTGCACCAAAATCAATAAAAACAACTTATGCTAGTGTAAGTTATAACCAAGCAATAAATGATTCTACAGTTGCAAGAAACCTATACAAATGACATAAGTGATCATTAGGTTAACAATACTAATACCGTAGTTAACCGTGAAAAGCTATGATACCTTCTGACACTTGACTCTTCAGTCTCAAATAGCATCCGAAATCGCATCCCAACTGAAACACGTGTGTGAAATACTGCTTTAATGTATTTTGATAGGGGTATGACAAACTCAGATGGACTAGCCCTGGACATCATAAACATATAAGCAGAAAGGTAATACAAGCATTGCAGGAAAACAAAAATCTGGAAGACTCTTTTGCCACCTTGGATTATAAAAAACTGTAAAACAACTATTAGTTGAAGCAGCATGAGCAGCAGCAGCAAGAAGTCCAATATGCATGCTATCACTTGACAAAACAGATGACGGCATCACAGTTTGTGGTCGAGTGGCACGGCGAATACCCAAAAGAAGCTGATTTTTTTCATTCCTATTATGGGATTTACCAGAATATTAATGTACGACTTTACATGCAAATACAGAAATCACAGGAAAAAAGAAGACGAAAGATATACCAAATAAAAAGAACAGAATCTCCTGCAACAAGTCGTTTGGCACTAACAAACACACTCCAGCCTGTGGTAAGAAGATGTCGTTTGGGTTGGCCTGCAAGATGAACAAGGTATAGAACAGGTCAGTTTTTCCAAGTATCTCCTTATAAGTACTAGTGGACCACTTCGGCACATATAACAGCATTATCCACTCAGCAGTGTAGCAAAATTTGTTTTTAAAGTACTTTCAGCAATAGAGATAACCAGTTTTTATTAATATTAGAAGAAGGGGATATGGATAGGGTACAACTGAGTTAAGCACGTCCATCAAGGAACAATTTGAAACAGATTGCATTTAAAACTGTTTCATATAGAATTACCCAAAGAAAAACCTTACGAACAAACAACAGTAAAATCTGGCTATGCAATCCCCTCCCAAGTGTTCATAAACTCAACTCAACCAAGCTTTAATTCCAAATAATTTGGGTCAACTACACAGATCATCTTTTACTGTTAATCCTACACAACTATATCCCTTTTTTTTTTGGAAGAGAAACATAATTTTATTAAAGTAGGAATGCTAATTACAAAGAGTGGATAAGGAACCCACAATCTGGGAAGGAGCAAGTAAATACAACAAAATACAACTCAAAAAGATGGAAAATAAAACTATATCCCTTTATCATATCTGCAACATGTTCTGCTCATGCATTTCATCCTCTTTTTAGCATTATGGCACTTTGGACTTGAATGAAATTTCTCCCATAGCACTTGCTGGTCTTTACCACACGTTTGTGCCCTCACTAACATTAACCGGATTCTTATCTTATTTTATCCACTAATCCATACAAACACCATCACCTCAGCACTTACTCTTGAGGCAAGTTTTGAGAAGAGATATTCTGCTTTATAGAGCATATATATCTTCAATAATCCTACAAAATTGTACTTCTGACATTTTAGGTATTCTACAATCACATAACAGTGGAAGCATTGATAATGGAAAGCAAGCAAGAAGAAAAGTTGTCTATATCTTAAGCATGAGTACAAACTCATAAACTCGGTTTATTTTAACTATTTTATTTACTATAATTACTATTTCACTATTTATTTGGCTTTATTTTATAATATTTTGGATCTTTCCCATTATATAAGGAATTAAATATTTTATTGCATGAAATTTCCTATATATGGAGGTTAGAACTTAGAAGTCCTGTATATTTTTTGGGCTCACATACTTTGATTTGATAAAAAGAATTGCCTTTATCCAACTTTACCTCTCTTAGACTCCTCCTTGATCTCTTTCCACTTTTTTCTTCTTTCCTTCATTAAACCTCTATTCTATACTTTTCTCTTATTGAATATGTTCTTCTATTCTCTCTGTAGTCTATACTTTCCTGTTACACATCTATTTGGTATCAGAGCATTCTTGCATATCATTCTTGCCCTGGCCAACTATTAAAGCCCAAATTCAATTCATCATTTTTGCAACCATTCCAGGCATCACATATTCAACAGAACCTAGCCATGGGCCACCTCAGATCCACCACAAATGCAAACTACATGTACCACTGCCAAAACCGTGTACGTCATACATGCCAATCTAATCATAAGTTATTTCTTTCCCAAACATAGACATCATAAGAATCAGAGCAAGTAGATCTCTTGTTTCCAGGATGTGTCATCTGGAACCGTTGCAGCACATGCCCCCACACACCAGCAAAAGTTCCGGTGTTTGGCGTCATGCACTGCTTCCTCCATGCAACTACTCCAACAGCAAGGGCACCACTGATATCAGAAAGAGCCAATCTATCTAGCACTGTCAACACAGCAGTGATCAGTGAACTGCTCATCCAAGATGAATCCAACGATAAAGAGCAACCACAGCTCAGAAGATATGTGTTATCTAATTGCCACAAATCTAACACGGAACCTGGCCGTGTGAAACATGAAAACAAAAATATAAAAAGAAAAGAAAACCAACTTATAGTACTTGGAGTCATACAACCATTAGCCCTCAAAAGCTCAAGTTGTTATGGAATGGACCAACAATGTCTATTGAGTTAACACCTGGGACAGCCAGTCAAACATCTTCAAATAAAGCCTTCACTCACAACATACAGCCAATGTTAGCAGCACTTTCCCAAAAGGCTTCAACATGGATTACATGTTCTCTTATCTACCATAATGTTCATTACTAATTAGTAATTTACCTTGATATTGCTACAAGGAATATCTCATCCAACAACCACTGGTCAAATATCATTACCCTCTCAACAATATTAACAACTATATCAACCTTGCTGACACTATCAAGAGATTATTAGGTTTCTAAATGTCACCAATTTATATTACTCTATTAAATGGAGAGCAATGTTCTCTTGCCAGACTCTGAACCTAATTCATTGATCCGTTTGACTTTTCCCTGAATGTGTGGTCTAGATTCACAGTCTGGCAACAAAAGTCTGGCAAGAAAACATTACTCATTAAGTGGAAAACGTGGCCTGTGCATAATGATTAATATCGTCAGTATGCTGGATTATCCGAAAGGTAAAGGAGATCACTCGATAAAACACTGTAAACATGAACAAAATAGCAATATGTCCTCTTATTTATCTTCCTCATATGTACTTCTGCCCAAGAATAACAAACTTATTCCTCACATGTCCCCAGTTCAGGTGACTAAACTCTGTCAGGGACCACACCAGGTAGATAAAATCTGATCAAAGAACATCTCATCGACAAAAATACTGTTCCAAGATTATTCAAGACAACCTTAACCACAGTAGTGAGTCTAGTGACCTCAACACATTCATAGGAGACTGAGTGTCCATTACATTAAACTGTTTCTTTCAAGATTTTGCGTTCCTCTGAAGCGGTTTTTAATTCATACATTATCTCACTGCTGCTTATCACAATCTCTTGTGCACGTTAGGACTTAGGGCTAAAATATTCAGTGGGATTGGTGGAAGGGTGGGAGCAGGTGAAACATCCAGGAATTTATGCATATTGTTAATAAACACTTAAGTGCTTTATGCACCATTGTTGAACATGATATGGCATGGGATGCATGTGCTGAAGGCAATACAGCAATAATGAACTTAATGTGGTGTCCCACAGAGGTATAGAAAATTTGGCTAACATCTCATTTATGAACAAAGAAATGATCATATATACCATGCATGTGTTATACATTGATGTGTTAAAACAGAGTCCAACAGAATCCTATAATGATACCTAGTCAAAATACAGGATGCATGACAAATAGGTGGATTAGTCCGCTGGATATATGTATAACACCTGCATGTGTTATACATTGATGTTTTAAACAGAGAGAGATCCTATCCTAGGAAGAGTACCTATGCAAGAAAAGATGCATATACAAATAAGTGGATTAGTCCACGAAATCAGTATTAATACCATTAAGACAGCATGAGCAAAATTTTAAAACTACAGTACCAACAAGAAGTTACTTGGGCATCAGCTGAATCAGGGTTTTAAGTAAACAATCAATGATGCAAGCATCTTTAGCTTTCCATATAAACTTCTATACGAAAAGCAGATCAAGTCCCCCAAAATACAAGAACCTCACAACCCAATTGATCCTGCAGCTACATGAATGATTGTAACCTAAAATTTCTTCCATTGCGTAAATAACAGAAGAAGATGAGAAACTACAAATTTATGCTTGTCTTGTGCGCATGATGACTCTGAAAACTATAGTTTTATGTTGCAAGTCATCAGAAGAATAGATCCTGATAGAATTGGCAGTTGAAGCTTTTTGAACTTTTAAAAAAATAATCCTAACTTAATGCAGAAATTATGCATTACGCAAAATAGATGGAAAAGTGAAATATAAAAGCCCTAAAATACAATGCCACAAAGAAATGCTCCAGATCCTACCTCGGAAAATATGCCTAAACTTCCATTCAACATCATGGAGATCCCTAGCAATAAGTTCCTGCGCTGGTGGCTGTAGTGAGAAATCCTGCAGGATACAACAAAAGGGTTTAAATAAAAAATATCAGCAACCAAATACGGTCAAATAAAAGAATGGAACAGACAAGAAGAGTTTGAAAAGGGAAATACCAGTGGAGGAAAAACTTTCTCGGCAGCACGACGAGGAACAGAGAAGCCTCCATGTGTACTAGTATCACTCGCCGTCAATGTCTTGCAAAAGTAATTTGTGGGTTGCTTGCTTGGAATTCCTAACTCCATTGGAAGAAATGTTTCTTTTTGCTCTTGCTGTGTGAGAGTGTGTGTGGTTTCAACAACATTACAACTTATTATGTTAAGCTAAAACTCCAACAAATTAAACCAAAAAAATATCAAGAAGAAAAAGAAAAGAATAATTTACTGGCGTCAAAGGCTGTAATGTCATTTGGGCATATACTTCATCTGTCTCCACATCTGCCTGAAATCCAATGCTTAATCAATTCCATTTGTGTTCCAATTTTTAACTTCTTTTTTTTCTTTCTTCTAGAAGAAATAAACAAGTAAGAGTGATGTAGCTGAATCAAAATTCACAAAGACAAAGGGAACCCACATGCATTGTGACATTGTGCAGCTGACAGATCAACTGGGGCGGCAAGCTCGGGTAGTTTGGTATGTGGGCATCAACTTGTTTGTTAGTAGTGGCAGCAACCTGGTCACTGTGGCCCTGAGGGAAGTAAACAACACGAGTTCCAGGCGTTGGCAGGGAAACCAGAGGCCCTGCGCATGCATGCCATAGCTCCGAATTCAAGCACTTCTTTTCAGCTCCTCCTCCGGCTGCTGTCATTTTTAAGCTCAATTTTAATTTTTTTGTTTTTATTCTCAAAAAGCAATAACAATGACAACAACAATAGTAATGATTGAGATTTGAGAAAAGTTAAACATAGAAGTCAGAAATATAATAAACAAAAGCAGAATATGAGGAAATTTTAAAATAGGGTTACCTTCATGATCCTGCTGACCCAACCCTGATGTTGAAAGCTTCATATCAATATAACTATCAATATCAACCTTAAACCTTTCTCTATCTATATAAAAACCATAATAGAAAACCCTAATTTTACAGAACCAGCCATAGCCATCAAAGAGATAAAAATGAGCTCTACTGACAACTACTGCTACTTATTGGCTTCAAGTCACCCCCTTTCTTCACCATGCTCGACAAAATTAAGATCCTTTTTCCTACTTAGTCCCAAATTGAAGCCCCAAATGGAGGAAACCCCTCCCTCCATAGAAACATCATGCTCTGCTCTAAGAGATCGCCATGGAAACAAGCAACAGCTGAAGCAGGAAGAAAGCTCTGAGAGACTACCCAAAGTGGTTGTTTTAGTAAAAAGCTTTTTCTTCCTCCTTTTCCGGTCTATCACTGTCCATTCGATTCAAACCCCAAAGTGAGAGAAAGAGAAAAGGAAAGAGAGAGAAAGAAAGAAAGAGAAGAGAGGAAGATTTTGCTTTGAAAGTTGAAACTCACAGTGAGAGAGAAGAAGAGAAAGAGAAAGAGTGATGGTCTTTACTCTTTCCCCTCTTATAAGGGTCCCGACCGAGCTGGACCTCATACCAGAAGAGAGAGTCTGGGAGCGTTATGGGAAAGCTCTAATCTTGGCCGTCCACGGATCCGTACTTTTTAATCTTAACCGTCCACTCTGAGACTGATGTGACAGCAGCCATGTGCCACCATACTTCAGTGGTCCTTGTCAGAGTACGGACTATGTTTTAAAGTGTTACGTAATATTTTTAAAAAAAATTCCTCATCATCGAATTATTCATACTACAATAAAAAATTATCCCACACGAAAAGAAAAATGACCCATCCTACCCAACTCAAGAAAAAAGAAGTTATGGGTGTTATATATATCTTTTCTTTTCTTTTTTCAAACAAATGATATTCTAATTACTCTAATCTGCAAGAAAGAAAATCAACTTCTGGTGCAAGAAACACGTACATTTGCTTTAAACAACTGATCTAACCTACATCTGCTATATTATAGCCATTATTTAACACACGCATTTTCTCACAACTTTTTTTGTTTGAACCTCAAGTTTGCGTGGCATTTACCCAAGCACTTTGAGTAGATATCAATTTGTGTGGCATTATATGTGATTATATTGTCTTTTTAACCCTTTTTTTTTTTTTTTTTTTTTTTTTTAAATTCCCAAGTAATATTGTTTGTCCCCAGCCCAACCTGGTCTCAACCTCAGCCCAGCCCAAAAACTTCAGCCCCGCTTACCGTTCAAGCTCTCCCACTCCTACTCTCCTTTATTCTCTCTCTATCTCTTCATATGCTCCCTGTTCCTCTCCATCTCCAGCACTAGTAGCTGAGAGAGGGCCTCAAATCCTCTTCATAATTTATTCTTCCAGTCTTGTTCTTGTTGTCCTCTTTCTTCCAACCCACCCATCTTCTCCTTTCCTCCACCGTATCCCCAATCCCAATCTTTATCTTCTTCGCTAATCTTCTCCAATCCCCTACTAATCCCAGGTTGGTTCTAAGTTTAATTCTTGATTCATTCTTTTAACATGAAGCTCACCAGAACAATGGCATTCAAATCAGCTATAGTGCAACCCAAAAACCCACCACTCTTCAACCCCACATTTTCTTGCTGCCTGAAACCATCCGTTCAGTTCAGGGAGAAGCCACTGAAGGATTTTGAATTCAATATCAAAAGAAGAATTGGGGCAATAGCAGCAGTAAGTTGGGCACTAATGGCGGCGAAAGAAGCAATTTTTGTTGAAGCTGCGAATGGATTTGACTTGCAACTGGTAGCACCTGGCCAGACAATTGAAGAGGCAGAGAGTGGAATCAAAGGTCATGCACAAGCTCTGTTACAAGTGAAAGAGCTCATAGATTTAGAGTCATGGAGAGAGGTACAAATAGCTCTCAGGAAGAGCTCAGCAGTCTTGAAACAGGACATTTATACCCTAATTCAAGCAAAACCTGCAAATGAGAGGCCCCAACTGAGAAAACTTTATTCTGACCTCTTCAACAATGTGACCAGAGTAAGTTTTTGCCATTTCCACCCAATAAACATAGGACTTGACAAAATTATTTCAATTGACTTGACCAAGTTTTTTGTGCATTGCAGCTTGATTATGCAGCTAGGGATAAAGATGCATCATATATCCGACAATGCTATGAGAACATTGTTGCAGTTCTGAATCAAGTGCTATCTAGAATATAAAGTATCAAGTAATTGTTCCCTTCCTTATTTTCTTCCCTGCAAATTATATGCATCTAAAGATGTTGTGGAGGAATTTACATGAAGCATAGCCACTTAAGGTCGTCTGTTAACAACGAGTTATTTTTCTTTATGAGTAAGCTTTTGTATCCTTCATAGAAATTGAAAGCACCTGTTACAACAGGATCATTATTTTATGATGCAATCCACTTTCATAAGGCTTCATTTGCCGGAATTGTAAAACCGTAATTCTTTTGTTGAATATGAGTTTCTCGTTCTTGGATGAATGGTTCCTGTGGGTCAGACAGACACCAGAATTGTAAGTTATAACTGAGGGTTCTGTTCTGTACAAGTCACCGTCTTCTAAAATTGTAATATTTCTAGATTACCTTGTATATGATTAAACTAGATCCCACATATTTTAATTTCCTCTACACCAACTGGTACTTTCTTTCCAACGTTGAAAGATATCCTAAATTTAAATCCTCCACTCCCAATAAAAATAAAAATAAAATCCTCTACGCATAGAGTCGTATATAAGGGATCAGAAAAATAGCATGCGTCTTTAAATAGGCATACTTGTCCTCAATTGTTCTGAGAATTTCGAAGTTATAATAAGGCAGCAACTTCAACCCTACAGCTTGTTTGCTGTCTTCTAGCTTACCAGAGAAACACACCTGTGCGTCTTCAATCTGCTGCTAGTAGTATTCTGCTCTTAATTTGTGTTGCTGTCTTCTAGCCAATTGGTGATTAAGCACTACGTAAGCATGGTGGAAATTTTCCTTACTTTTGCTGCTGAGGGAATACTGAAGAAGGTGGCTTCACTTGCGGCCCAAGAATTCAATCTTGCCTGGGGATTCAAAGCAGAGCTGACAAGGCTCAGTGAATCTTTGAACATGATTCAAGATATCTTAAGTGAAGCTGTCGAGCAACCGCAAGGTCGGGGCAAGGCAGTAGAGGAGTGGGTGAAGAAACTTAAACATATAGCTTATGATGCTGATGATGCGTTGGATGAGTTCAAATATGAAGATCTTCGGAGTAAAGTAGGGCTCCGAAACCAAATCCACATAAAGGTATTGATCGCCCTCCTATCCCAGTGCTTTTCATCTTAAAATGGCACATAAAATTAAGATCATAAATGCATCCTTGGTGAACCTGGAGAATAGAGCATCTGTTATTGGATTAGTTGCAAAAAATGTTATGGCTACAACGCAGTACGTCCCTCGTGGAATTGTAGGGGACAGAGAAACCAACTCATTCTTAGATAAAGATGAAAACATCGTTGGAAGGAAGGAGGTTGTGTCAAGTATAATTACAACCTTGATCAACTCCAAAAATCTAGAAAATGTTTCGATTATGGCCATTGTTGGAATGCCAGGCCTAGGAAAGACAACTTTGGCTAAGTCAGTTTACAATGAATATGAGAATAGACACTTTGATAAGAAAATATGGGTGTGCGTATCTGACACTTTTGACGTACATTCTATATTGAGTCGAATGCTAGAATCCCTTAACCCAACAAGGGTTGGGATCACAAGTCAGGATGCACTGCTTAAGTGAATCTCTGACAGTTTGTGTGCCTAACAAATTAGGTTCATATTATTGTTCTTTCTCCTCTGTTTTTTTTTGGTAGCTCTGTGACTCTGAGAATGTGAAGGTAAAAGTCCCACGTTGAAAAGTTGAGAAACCTAGCAAGTTCCATCTGGCTGAACTGAATATGATGCTTTCAATTGTGGTGTCTCAACTGGAACACCAAGCTCAGCAAGCTCGCTTTAGCTGTAGGAGTGGGGAGACGACGGTAACTTCATGGTTCGGATGACCTTAGGTCCAATATATTTTCAAGGTTAGCTAGAATATCTGGTGAAGCACTAGCAGTAGCTTGTGATGATACCGTAAATATATAGTCAAGGTTGCGTATGGCAATGTCCTGCAATAACAAACACAGCTTCAATAATTAAATAATTAAGTAGCACGTAAACTACAAATCTGCAAAAACTTGGATCACAAGTCCCATAAACAGAAGCATGAGACAATACTACATCGTCTTGTAGTTCCTAAAGTGTTCAAGACAAATGACCTGCCCTCGACTATACTTTTATCTTCCAAAAGAAGATAAAGCAGACTGTATTGGAGATATTGATAACTAAACCACAAAAACTTACTGGAAAAAAAAACACTCAAAGGCCACCCAGTATCGGCATATACCACCTTATATATTAGGCCCGAGAGTGGTGATATCCAGGTGACCCAACAAGAGGAATCATATATATATATATATATATATATATATATATATATATAACGTGAGGTCCAAAATCACAGATTATTATGATGTGAGGTCCAACATTCCTGTTGTATAATAAGTTCACAACTCACCAAAACATTGGAAATACACATAGGAATGAATGATGGAACCCTATCACACCAGAATTGTGGCAAATCTGGTAAAGCCCATTCAGGTTATTCTCAGTAACTTTCAGAAGTATCTGTAACAGGGCAAATCTCCATCAATCCTCTTCTTCTCAGTTTATCTTTATGCCCATTCATGCATGTATATATTATTCGAAGAAGCTTTTGACATATGGCATGTATTGTGTGTTAAATGTATACCGCTTCATGAAGACAGGTATAGCCGCGCGGTTATATTCGAAAATAGAACATCTTAAACGTATAGCCGCCCGGCTGTACTATGTAAATATAATATTTATAAGGCATAGCCGTACGGCTATACTCCATAAATAGAATATTTTAACAGTACAGCCGGTCGGCTATACGCGATAAATAGAATATTTTAAAGGGAGATTCACTAATATACCCAATATAGGAGCCCAAATTATAAAAAAACTCTATATGAAATGGAATTTATAAACACACCCAAAGCTCATTTATAACATAACAAAAAGGCTTTTAACTTCTTTTAAATTACAAAATTACCATTGATTTCTTAAAACAAACCCAACCCAAAATTTCATAAAAAAGCCCAAAACACTCAATAGGGTATCAAAGTAATTTAATAATTAAATTTAAATTTAATAGTACCATTTGTCATTTTTTGGGTTTTTTTTGGGTATGTTTATAAAAATGAAATGATGTAGGATTTATTTATAGTTTTAGTGCTAAGAATGGGTATATTACTAAATATCTCTATTTTAAAAGTGTATTCACGCGGCTATACACGAGATAGAACAATTTAACAGTATAGCCGAGCGGCTATACTCTAAACATCGGTAGCCATTTTCCCTCCCTCCGGATATTGAAGATTTTAAGGCGTGATAAATTGTCAAGCCTGCCGAGTGGTCCCGTCCGCGAATTGAAGATTACAGCTCGTGATGAACTATCAAGCCTACCGAGTGGGCAAGAAAACTTGACTTCTCTTCAGAAGTTGGAAAAAAGTAAGTGTGGTAATTTGAAATCCATTTCAATATTAATTCAGGCTTTGACATCCCTCCGCAAATTTGAAATTGACAGGTGTGATGGATGTTATCATTGGCAGATTCTACACCGCTCCATGTCTTGACGAGTTGTCTATAAGCTACTGCAAAAAACAGGAGTCTGTTCCAACTTTACAGGGATGCGCATCCCTCCGTGAATTGAGAGTTTTCAAATGTGAAGGATTTGTAAGCATACTGAGTGGCCTAGAATCTTGTACTTGTCTTCGTTTTCTGCGTATCCAGTATTGTCAAAATTTCAGGAATTTATTGGATGTGCTACAGAGCCCTGTATCTCTTGAGGGGTTAAGAATAACTGACTGTCCTTATCTAGAGACTATTCCAAGCTCAGACAACCTCAAATCCCTCAGTCTGTTGTGGATTGAAAAATGTAATGCATGAAAGTCGTTTTCCTCTAGTAGACTGGACTCCTCTATGCATTGGGACCCACTTGTTGTATTATATATATATATATATATATATTGCGTCATGGATGATGTTGTCTTTTAACATGTCTTGCCTCCATTGGCCGCAACATATAATATATAAGCTCACCTCCCGGTCTTCATATATAATGTGTATGTTTGTTAATTAAGCAACTACCTTGTCCTTAAAATGGTAGGTCAAGCTACGCAGGCACTGAAGATGAAGCAAGAATATCTGGGTATGGTATTGCCAATAACAATTACATCAATATGGTGGTGGAGTTGTCTGATCAGAGGCGTTGATGCAAGCCCACAGATCAATCTACTAAACAAGGGCTGCAGCCAATACAATGCCACAAACTTGCCTGACTTCTATACCAATCTCAACGCCACTTTCTCAGACCTCAAAACACTGCTCAACAAAAACAGCACCCACTTTGCCACGGCACAGCAGGCCAGGGGTTCGGATCCCGTCTACGCCATGGTGCAGTGCAGGAACTACCTCTCCGCCGCTGACTGCGCTGCTTGCTTCGCCGCCGCAGTGTCCCAAATTCGCAACTGCTCCGCTGCCAACGGTGCCCGTGTCATATACGACGGTTGCTTCCTCAGGTACACCCTGGTCCCTGCTGTTGCTCTACTGCTCTTCCATGATTTAGTTTTGTATATTTATTTGTTTTCTAAACGAAATGACAACTAGATACACCTACTTGCCGGAAACAAAACACAAATGCATTAATATCTATCAGGTCATACTATTTCTCATTCTAATAATTGCTTAACTAAATGACATTCGTGCCCTTATTATTTTCCAAAGTTTCCATCTGCTCCACATAATAATGCCTAACCCTTTCTAGAATATTGAACTAAAAGTCTATGGCTCCTCACCCCAATTGGCAGTCGGTGTCATAATTCAGAAAGTACAGAATTAGAAGAAGTCAAATATACTTGGAACATATTGCATCCTTCCTAGGGTCGTCGTTGTCGTGGCAGCCTAGCATCTTTCCAAGTTGCTGCCAGCCAATACCACCAATAGAGCTAGATATTAGTGGGATTGGTCTAATCAGTAAACAGGTATGGTGATCGTTGACCAAAAACAAGTTTAATCATAACTTCATTGAATCAACACTAAGTCGTAGCTACAAAATTTGATAATTGACTTCAAAGTCGTTAACAAAAATAATAGAGATGTTCTAACATTAATTCTCACATGATGATGTCAGTCTTATGAAATTATAAGATTATCGTGGAAACTATATGTAAAAGAATTCGGAAAATAATTTATGAGGGATAATTTTTAGTCATCAACTTTTTATGAATAGTCCTTCATCTTCCAAGACAACAATATCCATGTTATGTCTTAATTGCACATCAAATATAGCCATTTTGTTAGTCAAGTCTAGCCTAGTCAAATCCTCCATGACAAACGAGGCCTAAGGTTATGAATTAATGATCCTTTAAAAAATGTAAATAATATTACTGGAGAAATAATTTCGATAGCTTAGTCAAAGTTGCCGTCGATGATTATTGTCGATGAAGATTGATCAACAAATTAACCTATAGACGCATAGAAAACGCTAACAATAGAAACCAAAAGTACTGCCAAAGTCAAGTCACTTTTTTCTTTCTTTTTTAAACGATAATCCAATAAGAAAAATTTGGCTGTGGAAGAAAAATAAACATAGCGTGTTGCTAAAGTTAGTCACATCGTTGTTAACTTTGTCTGGTTGGTTTAGGTACGAGAGCGCTGGGTTCTTTGACCAGACTACCCTTCCTGGTAATGTAGGGCTTTGTAGCAATAAAACTGCATCACAAGCTACGGCATTTAGTGCAGCTGCTGGAAAATTGCTAGTGGATCTCCAACTTGCAACACCAAAGATCAACGGTTTCTTTGCAGCAACTAAGAATGAAGTTGTTAGTAGTGGTAGTGGAAATGAAACAGTCTATGGTGTGGCACAATGTGCAGAGACAATCAGCAAGACTGGTTGCCAAGATTGCTTGAATGTGGCATACGCCAACCTTCAAAGCTGCCTGCCTGATACGGATGGCAGGGCCGTCGATGCCGGGTGCTTCTTGAGGTACTCTAGTACTTCTTTCTTCCCTGACAACCAGACTACGAACATAGCGTCCTTCTTAAAAACTGGTAAGAATAAACTTTTATCATATAGTCATTAAATTTGTTCACTAAATGATGTGTCATCGTTACATGTAAACTTTTTAGAAATATATAAGCTAGCTAGGCTTTACATGAATCCGAATTTGGATACATGAAATATTGTTACCTACTACATATTTGGTGAACAAATTTGATGTCCCTAACAATTCTATGCGTACTAGTAAAGTACTTTGTCTTTAATTTGGAAGTACCCGAAAGCATAATGTTTTTCATATATTATCTCGTAGGAGGCAATTCAAGAAAGAAAGCCATCATTATTGGAGTCGTAGTTGGAGGTGTAGGTCTTCTTATTCTCATTGTTGGAGTTTTACTCTATTTTAAACTTTCAAGAAAGCCCGAGGCTGCTCGTAGAGGTATTCTTCTGCCACAACCACAGAATTCGAACTTGCATTTCCTCTTGCATATATACTATTATTCAATTAGCTCATGCTCTAACCATGTTTACATATATATAAACATAAAAAAATTGCTCGTACATGTCTTCAATTGTTTAAATTTACTCATTTTTAGGTGATATTTTGGGTGCAACCGAGTTGCAAGGACCAATGAATTACAAATATAAAGATTTGAAGTCAGCAACAAAAAACTTCAGTGAAGAAAACAAACTTGGAGAAGGAGGATTTGGGGACGTCTACAAGGTAAATTATATGCTAAAGAGCTCTAAAATAATTTAGTTCAGTTCAGTTCAATACGGTCGAATATGGTGTACTCTTTTCTGACATGCATAAAGTTTTGAAAATAATGGGAAAGTTGCATTGTCAAGCTTTTGATTATCCATGGGCATATTTCATTTTGTTGCTCAATATATAATCCCTAACGTTCATTTACAACTACATGATTGGACAGGGTACTCTAAACAATGGAAAAATAGTTGCAGTTAAAAAACTAGCAATTCTCCAATCCGACAGGGCAAAGGCGAATTTCGTAAACGAAGTGAAACTGATAAGTAACGTTCATCACCGGAATCTCATTCGTCTTCTTGGATGTTGTAGCAAAGGACCAGAGTTACTTCTCATATATGAATACATGGCAAACAACAGCCTCGACAGATTCATATTTGGTAATTTTAGGCTTCTTTGCTCAGCTACCTCTAAATGTATGCTTACATATAAATTTTATTGTTTTATTTGTTCATTTAAAAATCTGTTTTTTTCTTCTTCTTCCATGGGAAATAGGTCCAAAAAGAGGCTCTCTCAACTGGAAACAGCTAAATGACATAATCCTGGGTACAGCTAGGGGTCTTGCCTATTTACATGAGGAGTTTCATGTATGCATCATACATAGAGATATAAAAACCAGCAATATTCTTTTGGATGACAGTTTCCAGCCAAAAATTGCAGATTTTGGGCTGGCAAGGCTTCTACCAGATGATCAGACTCATCTTAGTACCAGATTTGCTGGAACATTGTAAGTTAAAGTACTTCACTTCCCACAGGCATCAACCCCTGATCCAGATCTTCCGCCAAAAATGTTATGAATCTACTATATACATGGCCGGTACAAAAGGGCGACTCTGCTAATTTGATCTTGTGTGACACTGACAGGGGATACACAGCACCTGAATATGCAATTCATGGCCAATTGTCAGAAAAGGTGGATACATATAGTTATGGTGTGGTTGTCCTTGAAATCGTAAGTGGCCAAAAGAGCAGTGAAATCAAATCTGATGCTATGGGTGAATTTCTACTTGAAAAGGTAACTTCGAAACTGTATATATAATTCTTCCCTGAGATTTCTGTTCTGCTTAATTACTTCAGAATTGTAACATGTTTTATTTTATTTTATTTCTTTTTCGCATTAATGATTAGGCATGGAAACTGTATGAGAATGGCAAGCATGTGGAGCTGGTGGATCCAAATCTGGATCCAAATGAATACAAACCAGAAGATGTAAAGAAGATTATAGAAATTGCTCTGATGTGCACTCAACCATCAGCTGCTCAAAGGCCTACAATGTCCGAAGTTATAGTTCTACTTAAAAGCACTAGCTCCTTGGAGAATAGGGCGCTCACTAGGCCTGTTTTTGTTGATTCTGATAAGAGAGTGAAGGGAGACACATCAACCTCTACTGCTTCCTCCACATCCAACGCCACCGTATCGGTTTCTCAAGTTTCAGGTCGCTAAGTGCTAATTAAAGCAGTATATTTCAACTCTTGTACTTAAAATTTGGGAGTTTCCTTTGGTTGTTTATAGTTTCAAAGCAAAGATGTATTTTTATGTCTACTAGGATTGTTAACAATAGTGATTTCACACTCCTTTTTCTTCATTTGAACTCCTCTTGGTCTTTCATGTAAAGCACAAATGCTAGTTGTATGGCCCAGAGCCAAACATTTGATGTACTTTAAATCTTTAGTATTCAATAATACTGCATAACTGCTGATATTTACATGAATGTTTCATAAAATTGAAGTGGAGAAGAAACTATCTTAAGAGTTGAGAATGAGTTTGGGTGGCTTGAGTGAAAACACTTTATCCATCAACACAAGGGGATGGTGAAGGCATCTTATTATGGCGGGATCATTTGCATCCTCCAGAGCCTTTCTTTTTCAGAATACGGGTAGATTTTAATCATTAAAATAGGAATGTAAATGCTAGATGTTACAAACATACAAATCATAATCATAATAAACATTACGTAGTTACAAACATACAAGATCCATCCACAATTGGTACATATACAGCAGAATCAGAGCAGCATTGTTCCCTCACAGATACACACATCACCTTAACACATGCTCTTATTCTTTTATTGAATTACATGGAGTTTCTGACTATGTTTCTTTTTCTTTTATTCTCTTATTCGTTTATGGAATTACATATATTACTTGGAAGCAGCAGACCCGGTAAAGGGTGCCTAGAATGATACTCGAATATCAAGCAATGTCATCAACTGAGAAATAAGCTCTGGTTGGCCATGCCACGCTGCTGCGGTAACCAGATTTCCATCAGTGACACAACGATCTATTGGATCTGCTTCCACAAACGTCCCCCCTGACGAAACCACACGAGCCTTAATCCCTGGGTATCCAGTACATTTCTTCCCCTGAAATATAGCCAATTAAACCAATTATGACATGCTAAAAAGTGCCTAACCAGATTATAAGTACATTAACCACTAATCAAAAGAAACAGAAAAAATATCATCTCGTTTGCGATTTTAAAGAGCACTCACCTCCCTCTTCCCAATATATATTTACAATTGATAGGTTAATTGGTCACAACAGATCAGCTCAACAGAACCAAAATACGGAGCACTAGATGTAACCTTTTTTTCTTCCTTTCCAAGTACAATCTGTTTTACTTTTCCTTTAATAAGTAGCATTAAAACTGGAAGCATTATATTAATGTTTTAGTGACAAACGTTTAACCACTAAATGCAGGAAGGAAATATGTTTTTTCTTTAAGAACCGTACCTGCAGAACACCAGCAGCAACTAAAATTTCCAGGCCATGGCAGATGGATGCAACTGGCTTCCTGGCTTCCATAAATTGCTTCACTATTACAATAACATCCTCTTTTAGTGCCAAAAACTCTGGAGCTTTACCTCCAGGGAGTACAAGAGCGTCATAACTTGAGGCATCTATGGATTCAAAGTCAGCTGTTAAGACAAAATTATGTCCCGGGATCTCACTGTACGTTTGGCCGCCTTCAAGATCACGGATAGCAGTTGGGCAGGTATCACCGGCTTTCTTCTTGGGGCAAACCACATCAACATGGCATCCTAGAACTTTGAGGGTCTGATAAGGCACAGTTACCTCATAATCTTCCGCGTAGTTCTACAAATATTGGGGAGGGGAGCAATTAAATGATGATGATTAGTAACTAACAGTTTAATCATTGGCTATATTTTGTCCTATATTTGTCATTGCAATATAAAAGAAACAGAAAAGAAAGCTTACTCCAATGATGATGAGGACCCTTCTCTCTGAAGCACATATGCTGCCTCCTAGTGCCTTGAGAAAAAGCCCAATGAACTCAGGATTGCCATAATATGTGACCCCAGTAATTAAATTATCATCAGCAACACACACTGACAATGTATCGGGTTCTACCCAGTGAGCACCAGCAGCAACCAATCCAGGTTTCATAGTTGAAACCGCTGTGCATTTGCGACCTTTAACAGCGCCTGCAGGTGCTAAGACCAGCAGCCCATGGCAAATAGCAGCAATTGGCTTTCTGGAGTCAGAAAATTTTCTCGCCAATTCTACAACTGATGCCTTCATAGCAAGATGTTCAGGAGATCGTCCTCCTGGTATAACTAGACCATCATATTTGTCAAATTCGATGTCATCAAATGTTGCATTCAGTGTGAAATTGTGACCACGAGATTCGGTATTAGCCTGTAACCAAAAAGGTACACAAAAGAAAACCAAACACAACACACACATTAAAACAAGAGTAATGGTTAGGTGAATTCAAGCTTCTTTGTCTTGCTTGTCTCTCAAACTCAAACTCATCAGAGGTTGTTTTCCAACGACTGTGTTCAATATTAAATATATAAAATCTATTAAATATATTCCTCTTGTTTACAAATAAAAATGAACAGGAAAGACAGATTGACCTGGTCAGTGGACTCTACTTGAATGGTTTATGGCAGTGGCGCAGATATCACCAGCTTTCTTGACAGGAGAAACTGCATCAACAGAGACTCCAAATGCCTGCAGTGCTTGAAATGGGACCATTGCCTCGTAATCTTCCATGTAGTCCCCGCATAGTAACAACACCCTCCTCCGCTCCTCACCTTTCGGATTGCCCATTTCTTTTCTTATTTCCTTCTTTAGTTTCTTTCTTGCTTTTCTTTTTCCTTTCTTCTTTCGTCTTTTTCTGAGAGAGAGATGGTCTGACAAAGGAAGGAAGGCCTGCTTTAAATACTAATACTCACACAAGCGTTTTTGGAGGTTTGTGGAGTCAGCTAGATACGTCGCACGCAATTTGAGCAACACATCGCAGTTAGTTATCGTGGCATCTCTTTTCAGTTCGGAACTGTTCTATTAGTTTCGAGCCAATCACCATATCCAAGTTTGATACCTTTTTTTGTTGTCTTCTTTACCGACCAAGTGAGTCTCAATTATTCGAGGAAGATTGAAACTTGAGTTTGTTCTCTTCACGGACCAAGTGAGTCTAAATTATTGGAGGATGATTGAAACTTGAGTGCAAAGAGGCGGATTTATTCTCTTATTATGAATACAAGTGATGGTATAAATTATTAGAGAAATATTCAAACTTGAGTGCAAAGAAGTGGACCCACTGTCTTATTACGAGTGCAAATGATAGTCTAAATTTTTAGAGAAATATTCAAATTTAGTGCAAAGAAGTGTACTCACTGTGTTATTGTAAATATTCGAATATTCGAGCTCAATGCTTTCCTTTAAAAAATTTAAAACAGAAGCTCAATGCTTCCAAGCTAATGTCCCTATACCATAGAAAAGCTCTTTAATCTTCCTCTTGCCTGCATTGTAACACGTGTGTGGCCCTATAGAACAGCTAATGTCCCTACGCTATAAGGACCATGCGGATAAATAAATGTTAATGTTTATCTCTAATAGGTATGGATAAGAAATGTAATGTTTATCTCTAACAGGTCATGCTTTTTGAGCCGTGATAGTTTTGGAATAGCGTTCGCGTGGATTTTACCTCGACTGCCATGTTGATTTTCACCAGAGCAGCAAAGCTGCTTGCTTTGTGTTATGAGGTCTGGTTTTGTCAACAAACTATATTGCTTGACCAAAAGAAAATGCAATATCATGTGGATCCTCATTGCTGTTGCGGGAGGATGGTTGTGAAAATACAAGAGCTAACTCTGGACAACATGATATTCATTCAGGTAAAAATTCGAGGTGTACAGTGAGAGAGATAGAGACCAAGGGGACCGATGACTAATAAATCATAGTGTCCTTCTAAAACATAAGTAGTGTAATACAAGCTTCATCCACAACCAAACTTGCATGGAACATGGCATATACATATCAAAACCAGAATCACTTGTTCCCTCATATATACAAACGTCACCTTAACATAACACAGCATACATGCCTTATTCTTTCATGAATTACATATAGTACATGCAAGCAGCTGACCCGGTAAACAGCCACTAGAATGATACTCGAATATCAAGCAATGTCATCAACTGAGAAATGAACTCTGGGTGGCCCGGCTACGCTGCTTCAGTAACCAAATTTCCATCCACGAAGCAACGATCTATTGGATCAGGTTCCAGCCATGTTGCTCCCGACAAAACCACATTAAGCTTCACCGCTGGATATGCAGTACATTTCTTTCCCTAAAATTTAGCCAGTTAACAACAGTTAGAACATGATTAAAAAAGGTCCATAATCTGAAAATAAGTAAATCAACCCTCAATCAGAAGCAGCAAAAGGCAAACAGATTACGACTTCAAGGTGGTTTCTTTTTTACCTTGTGATTAAATACTCACCCTGATACAACTTTATATAAACAGAAAATAGGGAGTGTCCCTCTTACAAAATTGATGATACTCCCAACTCTTCCTAACACCTTCTGAAAAACTGAAACTACCTAGCTCAGCCAAGCCTTTTGGTTTTCCTTAATTACTTGGTAATTTCTTGTTTTACCCCATTCCATCTAGCATAGATTTTTACTGCTTCATATATTCCTTCAGAGAATTCTGCATTACAGTACACACCTTCTGACTTTTATATTACCGCACAAATGTTCATGCACCAACTGGTAAGCTTGTTCATCAACACCCACAACAGAACAAACATTTAAATTTACGATCAACTACATAGATAGTGAGTTATAGAACAAATAAATCCACCGATTATCTGTATTGTCTCTTTTTGGTCGAACATGTTTAACTTCCCACACAAAATTAATTTTACTCTAGCATTTTAGTTGATGTTAAAAAGCGTAAGAAGTTAAAATTTTATGGAATCTACATTATATAAGTGTATATCTACCACGGAAATGCTATAATGAGGGTTTGTGGGTGAGGGGTTCAATACCACTATCCAATGATATAAAGGAAATTTTGAACTTAAACTTTCTTAATGATTGGTTGGTTGGATTGAACCCCTCACTCAAACCCCCCACTCACATCCCCCTCATTGTTGCAGCTCCCCTATCTACCATATCATGCTTGGACTTTAAATTCCAAAATTTATAATCTTGATTTTGTTATATGATTTTGGACTGTTAATGAGGATTTTGCATCCTTGTTTGTAATAGAGATGGCACTGAATCTGCACAAAATCAGCAGATGACAACTTTCTCTTCCTTTTGATTTACGTGGATGATATTATTGTTATTGGTAATGCTTTGTCACAGGTTCAAGCTTTTCTTAAGTCTTTTAACCGTTAGCTTGCTATGAAAGATTTGGGGGATCTCCATTAATTTTTTTACTCAAGCCAAATATGAGGCCGATCTTCTCAAAAGGGCCACCTTACATGAGGCTAATCCTTGCCTCACTCCAGTTGCCACTGGCTCTCTTCTTTGGCTCCCCTCTCTCCGATCCCACTGAGTATCGCAGTCTTGTTGGCGCGCTTCATATCTCACCCTCAGCTGTCTAGACATCTATTTTTGCCGTCAACCAAGTTTGTCAATTCATGCATCAACCTACTGATATTCATTGGAAAGCCGTCAAGCGTGTTCTCCGTTATGTTCTTGGCACTTCTCATGATGGCCTTGTTTTTCACCCTGGTGACTCTTCCATGATTGCTTTCGTTGATGCCGACTATGCTGGTAATCCCGATGATTGTCGTTCTACAGGGGGATATTGTATTTTCTTTGACTCAAACCTTGTCTCATGGAGCTCCAAGAAGCAGCCCATCGTCTCCCGTTCTAGTACCGAATCTGAGTATTGTCAATGAGCTCTCACCGCTATGGAACTCTCATGGATTCAACAACTCTTACAAGAATTACATGTCTCTTTGCCTTCACCTCCTTTGCTTTGGTGTGACAACACAAGCTCTATCGCTCTTGCTTCTAATCTGATCTTTCATGCACACACCAAACATGTCACGGCCCGACTCCCCTAGCACGATATTGTCCGCTCTAGGCCTGGCT